ACACCCACACCCTCTCTCTCACTGAGTGCTTATTCTCTAGTTTATTCATAAATGTATTCATCATTTTAGATAATAAACCATCTGTAATTCATTAATTATTCAGAGGAAAGTCTTATCTGAGTATTTTAACTATAATGGGTACGAATACAGATTCTGATGTGGATCCATCTTCTCTTATAACGCTTATAAATGGATTTCGTTATTCAAAAATAATTTTCACTGCCGTCGAATTCAAGCTTTTTGATCACCTTTTCGATCAGCCATTATCTCTCGAACAGCTTTCGACAAAGCTTAACATATCACATATATCATCATTGGATCGTTTTCTCAATGCATGTATCAGCCTGAAACTAATTGAACGACATGATGATAAATACAGCAATACACCATTAGCCAATCATTATCTTGTATCGACAAGTGCCGATACGTTGAACGGCTTTGTAAATTACTGCAATGACACTGCTTATCCTCTTTGGACCCATCTCGCTGATGCAATTCGCGAAGATGACTCTCAATGGAAAAAGAAATGCAAATCCATACTAGACATTAAATTCGATTTTCGAGCGTTCTATTCAGATAATACTACAGAGAGGAATTTTATAGGAGCCATGCAAGGACTGGGTGCACTCTCTTTTCCAGCGATCGTTGCCAGTGTTGATGATTGGAATCGATTCAATATATTATGCGACGTTGGTGGTGGAAGTGGTAATTTAGCGGGTATCGCTTGCGAAATGAATCAGAAACTAGAAGCGATCATTTTCGATCTTCCTCAAATAGAAAAACATGTACTTCATTATGTGGAAAAACTTTCAGCGTCTGTTGGCAGCCGAATCCGTTTTCATGGTGGTGATTTTTTCTTGGATAATCTTCCTCAAGCTGATATATATACATTAGGACGTATTTTACATGATTGGACAGAGGAACAATGCAGCCAATTGTTAAATAAAATATATTATGCCTTACCGAAACGAAACGGAGCAGTTCTGATTGCTGAATGTCTATTGGATGACAATAAGACAGGCCCACTGCCAGCAGTGATTCATGATATAGGTATGTTGATATTTATGAAAGGTCGAGAACGAACATCGAAAGAGTATTATGACATGCTCAAGCGTATCAGTTTTAGGACAATGAAATGTCAACGAACGGGCAAATATCTTGACGCAATCATAGCTTACAAATAGACTTGTCTTGAGTTATCATTTCATTAGATAAAAAAACATAACATTATGTTTTTTTATTTTAAATAAAGATCATTATTCGCATATATTTCTTACATGTGATGTTATTGTGTCATGAAGCTGAACTCATATTGAACCACTTACTTAGTCGAATTCTTTCTAGTTCTTAAAGTATCTAACACAATTCGACAACTTTTATTTGGTCTGTTAAAAACTGTCAGATTACTTTTTGCGGGAATCCGACAGTACGTTGAGTGTGGGTGAGTGTATGAAAAGAACTGCCATGACACGTTTGTATCTTATTCAAAAACCTTGAAGAATGGCAAAAGGTTCTACATAAGAAAATTATGATTAATAAATTCGAAGATATGTTGAGGGTGGGTCTGAGTGTGGCTGTAGATGTGCGTGAGGATTAAGAAGACACCCACACCTACACCCACACCCACACCCTCACCCTTAATTAATATAGAAGATATATCAAGTTAATTTTCCTTACAAGAAAGAACTACAATTATAAAATTTGTTCGTATACAAGTACAACAAGCAGGTTTAACATATACAAAAGCTGTTGTTTGGAAGTATTTTTTCGGTATGTTTTCTTTTTTTCTCTTATTATCATATTAATTGTTCACCCAACCGCTAAACAACCATTTCAGGATTGTAAGGTGTGTTTCGTCTGCTTGAATTTGATTTTGTTGTTTTTTTCTTGCACTTCTTATAGCTTTATATAATTAACTAAAATATAACAAAATAATTTTTATATTTATAGGAATATTAAAGAAAATATTCATGCTGTTATTTTAATAAATGAAATAAATAATAAATTATGTCTTGATTGTCCATCAAAATTGAATAATATAACATTAATTTATTGACAACACTGGAATACTAAAATACTTATACAAAATGGTCTTTATCATTTAAAAGATGTTCAATGGCTGGATAAATATACAAGTGAAAATACAGCTCACCTTCTTGCATCAATGCATCATTGAATTCGACGAGCAAATCAAAATCATACACAGAAATTACCACATATCAATAATCATACATTTACGAAATTTGTTGAAAAGTAATTGGAAATGATGCATATTTATTTGAATTCGAAAAAAGAAAAGTTTCTCATTTAGATTTGTCAAACTAATCAATGAAAAATCATCAGATATTCATGAAAATCATTATGATGTTCAACGTCTTCTTGAACAAATTTAATATCAACATGAAACATCAATTAAATTAGAAAAAGAATTATAATAAGAGAAACCTGTACTTGAAGACAGACTTCAAGTATAAAATTTTCTTAATGAAATTTTGATATAAAATTTCAAGTTTTTTCTAGAGTACTGTACGTATGTTAGTTTAAATAGACCAAGATATGGTTGTAGTTGAACAACAAATCCGTGCTCATAAATCTCAAACACGACGAACAGTTCAATTAAAACGATTATTACCTCAATATGAATTAGCACAAGAAAAAAATCTTTATAAATGTTTAGCTATTGCAACTGATGCAAAAAAATTAAGAGAACAACTTGATATGTAATCATTACAAGAATTAAAATTAGTTACTAAAGCAGAAAAATCAGTTGGAGATGCATTAGCTGCTATTATTCTGATTTGTAAGTTTAGAATATTTTTCATTTTTTTATTTTTGTAAAATTTCATACTAAAATAGTAGAATCTCCAACAGCTGATATAACATGGCAAAAAGGTGTGAAAAGACAATTAGCTAATCTTGATAGATTTATTGAAGGAACTCAATTATTTGATAAAATGAATTTAACAGAAGAACATATTATTTTAATTAGTGCAATTATTGATAATGTTACAATTGAAAACTCATCACTTAATCAAACATCTTATTATAATGCTATTTTAACATTTTATAAATGGGTTAAACGAATTTTACAGTTAGTTATTTCAAAAAAAATATCATTATTACTATTATTTTATATAGATATCATACACTTTTACTTGAAAAAGTTCGACCAATACATCAGAAATATAAAGAAATTGAAGAAGATGTATTAGAACAAGATCAAAAATTAATTTTATTAGATAGTAAAAATTAAGTTAGTTTCTTATTATATATTTTATTTTATATATTAAAATAGAATACATGATTTCGGTATTAGATCTCGTTTAAAAGATCTTTCACAACAATGAAAGAAAATCAATTAAAAACTGCATCTGAATTAAATCAAGTTTATTGAAAATTTCTTAAATATTTTTGTATAAAATCGAAAGAAATTAAAATATTTATTTTCTAGATTTCATCTCGGGAATTAGGACGAACAAGTAAAATATTTGAAACAAGTAGAGAGCGTCAATCAACATTAAATGGTACATGTACAATTGCATCAGCATTTTTAACTTATCTTGGTCCATGGATATATGGATTTCAACGTCTTATGTTAACTGCTCATTGGATTTAATGTATTCGACATAGAGGAATGACTATTGTTTTTGATCAAATATCAAGTATAAAGGGTTGAATTATAAATTGGCAATTAAATCCTATTAAAAAAAATTTACTACAAGTAAATGAATAATTATTTTAATTTGAAAATTCTAAAGAAGATTTGTTTTTAGATAATTGACGAACAAAAATCATTTAGTGGACTTGAATATCATCAACTGTTATTTTCTTTAATAAAATTTTTATTAGGTGATCAAATGCATTATGAATGGTTAAGTAACGGAGTTTTACCATCAGAAATGGAAAATCATACAATTATTATTAAATCAATTGAATATCCTCCACTTCTTATCGATCCATTTGGACAATATGATCAATGGATGAAAAAATATTATAATCTACCAAAAATTTATTTTGATAATCAGTATGTTTCATTCCTGTACTAAATAGTTAATTTAACATATCTTTCTAAATCTAATATTTAATCATATAGAATTATCGATACCCTTTTCCATTAATTCTCATGATTCAGAAAAAGATTGAGAAGAAATATTAAAAGCATTTTTTTTATTTTACAGATCAAAAGATGATGTTGTAATGTCAATTGAACAATCATTTTTATCTAGATCAAAAATTTATATAAACAATTGTAATACATTAGATAGTGTTCTATATTCATTAGCACAATGGAAAGCAACATCACAAGAATCGAATTCTAATGCTGGTATATCAACTTCTTGTTTTTTTATTTAAATCTAAAATATCTGTTTAGATTCAACCATCTGATCAAAAACAAACTGATGAATATTTAAAAAAATAATTCGACCATTTATTATAACAATCTTATCGTTCGTAGCAAACAAAAAAATATTAAAAATTATCTATTTATTTTTTTTGTTTTCAGTCAATTATCAATTGATGATCGTTTAGAATTTATAATTCTTCTTGAAATATTATTAAAAACAGCAGTTGAAAATAGTGATGGAAAAATGAAATAATTTAATTAGAATTTTTAGCAACTGGTTGACCAAGAATTGGTATAAATCTTTATCATATCCATCAACATTAACAAAAAAAAACAAATTGAATTCAATCAGATCTTATTTGGTTTGAACTTCTTTCATTACCAAATTTATTTAATCAAGATGATCAACTACATCATTTATCAGAACCAATTTCAGAAAATGATCAACAATGGAAAAATTGGTATGATAATCCTCAATTAAATTTATTTCATAATTTAAATAATCAGCAATTTTCTCAAATTGAAAAATGACTTATTAATCGTCTTTTATGTTCAGAACATTTTATTAATACATTATCTCAATATGTTATTGAACAATTTGATTTCAATACAATTCAAATAAATGATTATAATTTTCAAGAATACCAGGAGAATTTTTAATAAATAAATTTGATTTTCATCAATATCGTGAAGATACTTTAAAAACTAAAGGAAGAAAAATTAATCATATTGATTGTCAATTTACAAATATAGTTTATGATTTAACCGATAATGATATAGTATATTAAAAAAATGTTCATCAATCATCATTTTCTACTCTTATTAAACAAATTCGTTGTAAGTTATCTAAATTAAAATAAATTCATATTTATTCATTTATTTATTTAAGTCAAAGGTTAACATGACGTTGTCATACCAAAAGATGCATCTGTAGATTCATTTAATTTATCTTAATGCTCGTCCTCATCATTATGATTGTTCACTTGAAGGAAAAGTTTCTTTATCAAATTTATTATACAAAAATTCGAATAATAATATTCGAGAAATAATTAGTCAATTAATATATAATAGTTCATCTATACTCAATCAATGTCAAGGCGATGAACTTACAGTTATTTATGACTCAATATTAATTCTACAAATATTTGAACAAAGTTCTTTTACGGCTCAATGGACAAGAAATTTTCTGTAATTTGTTTTAAATATAATTAAAACTAATAACGGTCAAAATCTAATGAAAAAATTAATTGAAATGACATTTCTAACACATTTACCATCAGTAACAAAATTATTGAATGAATTATTTCCACGAATATCATCGAAAAGTTCAATTAAATTAAATAAATATCATTTCGAAATTCCACAAAATTCAAGTCAATTTAATCTTCAATGGCTTTTATCAAATTAACATTCAAAAATAAATTTTCATTTTAATGATTATGCATCAAAACAAAAAACTCTTCAACATCAATTTTATCTTTTTACAAAACAATTAAATAAGTTTATGGCATGATACATCAGAAAATATTTTTCAAAAATTAAATATAGGGGTGTCACTTTAACTTTGCTTTAATAGTTAAAGTTAAAGTTAGAACTTTAACTTTAACTGTTAAAGTTAAAGTGTTTTACTTTAACTTTAAGTGTTAAAGTTAAAGTAAAAACACTTTCCACTTTAACTTTATTTAAAGTTAAAGTATTTTAAAGTAATCTGATAACGGTCAAAATGAATAAGGGGAACATTATGGGTGGCACGTTAACTTTAACTAATAAAGTTAAAGTTAAAGTGACACCCCTAATTAAATATTTCATTAATTCATGGTAATATTCATTTATTAAAAGAACGTTTACTACCTATTTTAAATTTACCATCTATTAAAGATTTTAAACAAGATCTTATTAATATTGCTCTTTATCAGGTATATATTCGACTTTTTTTTATTAATAGAGAACATTTTCTTGAGGGTATGGGTATGGTTATTGATCGACTTTCTACATCACACCCACACCCTCATATCTTCCTTAAGTTTAGATCTAACGGCGTTGAAAATGAGTTTCTTGATATGAAATAGGTCAAAAGATGATAAAAAGAATCAGCGTGACGCAAAATATTTACTGCTAGAATAATATAAAAGATTCAAATCTTTTTTATCGAGATCAGCAGTAAATGATTGGTAAAGATTCTCAAAAAGTCGTGTTTTTATTTAGACGTTGTATTTGAAATATAATATTTTCTTTGATATTTGTGTATTTTAGATTTATACGTTTTTAGATTGCTCATTTATTTCTTGTATTTACCCATTAATTAATATTTGGTAAATTCCAATGTCAACTCCTAATAATCGATTAGAACCAGTGGCAGTTGTAGGCATAGCCTGTGAATTTGCAGGTGATATTCATTCTGCCAACGATTTATGGCATGCATTGAAGGACAGTCGAGATGTGGGTAGTGCAATCCCACGTGATCGACTCGATCTCGATTCTTATTGTGCTCATATGTTTAACAAGGATAATGATGGGCAATTTCGACAGAAACTTATTCGGCGAGGATATTTTGTATCAAATAATCAATGGGATATGTTTGAACCAAGTTTCTTTGGTCTATCCGACGCCGAGGCAGGTAGTATTGATCCATGCCATCGACTACTCATGCTCAAATTTGTTCATTTACTTGATGATGCTGGTTATAGTATAGAGAAAATGAATGGTTCACGAACATCTGTGCATATTGGACAATTTTCCACAGATCATGCTATAACATCATTTCGCATGGAGCCTGAACATCGATCGAGATTTCATGGACCTAATAGTTTACTGTACAATGCTGCTGCTCGACTATCCTATCATTTTAATCTACAAGGTCCTAACGTATCATTGGATGTTGCCTGTTCATCGTCGCTGGAGGCTGTACATCTAGCTGTGCAAAGTCTTCGCACAAATGAAGTAGACATGGCTATATGTGGTGGAGTGAATGCTGTCTATTCACCAGAGAATCTTTTATATGGTTCGATTATGGGCGCTGTATCACCTGATGGACGGAGTCGATCGTTTAGCGTCGATGCAAATGGTTATGCAAAAGGTGATGGTCTTGGTCTTCTACTGCTAAAACGATTGAGTGATGCTGAACGTGATAATGATCGTATATATTGTGTTCTTCGTGATGTACTTAGTAACCATGATGGGAGCGAAGATAAGAACAGTTTTGTTGTCCCGTCAACTGCTGGTCAGGCACGTCTACTCAATGATATTTACAAGCGAGCAGACTTTGATCCTCGACGTATTTTTTATGTCGAAGCACACGGCACTGGTACGCCAATAGGTGATCCCATCGAAGCTAATTGTTTAGGTCTATTTTTCAATCGATCTTGTTTTGATCCACCATTATTAATTGGTTCTGTTAAAAGTAATTTAGGACACACAGAAGGAACAGCTGGCATTGCCGGATTGATTAAAATTGCTATGTGTATGCATCATCGAAGTATTCCACCAAATATGCACTTCACATCATTAAATCCGAATATTGAAGCACAACGATATAATCTTCACGTTATCCAACATTCTGTACCATTTCCTGTTAGTAATGACACTGATTCCATAGCTATGGGCATTAATTCATTTGGCATCGGAGGCAACAATGCACATGCTATTGTTGAAGAATATCACCCAAGTGAAACTTCAGCTATGAACAGATCTGAAAATGATATGGAGAGCAAACAATATTTCATTTTTATCTTTTCAAGTGAGTTACATAAACATAAATTGTCTAATCAAATAGTGTACTTACGTTTTTCTCTTCTAGCAAAAAGTCGTAAATCTCTAAACCATCAAGTATCTCAATTCAATCAATGGTTACAAAAGACATCAATAACTGATATGAACAATAATTATGCATTTCTTCAACGCATCTCTCAACAACTTCTTCTAAAGCGTACTATTAGTCATGCACACCTAGCCATCTTCGTATTTGCCGATATTAAACAACTTCAAGAACAAATCAACGCCTTTCTCGTTCAAGAGTCATTACCCGGTCTTTCTATATCCATGCGTCCAACAATATCACTAGCAAAGATATGTTTCGTTTTTAGTGGACAAGGTCCTCAATGGTGGGCTATGGGTCGACAATTGTATGAAAGTGAACCTGTTTTTACTCGATGGATTCAAATGATCGATGCTGAAATGGCAAAGATCAACAATGACGAATGGCATCTATTGGAAGAATTGATTGGCAAAAAAAGCGAAAGCGAATCTCGTATTAATGATACAAATATTGCCCAACCAGCTTTATTTGCTATTCAAGTTGGATTGGCTGCTCTACTTGTCTCATGGAATATTTATCCTTCGACAATTGTGTCACATAGTGCTGGAGATCAGGCAGCTGCTTTTGTTGCCGGTCGTCTCACTTTGCAAGAAGCTGTTCTTATTGTTTATCATCGATCACGTCTTCAAAATCGTAATACACGACAAGGTGGTCGTATGTTAGCCGTATCCATGAGTGAAGAAGAAGTACGAAATAAACTTCTCAAGGGTATTGAACATCTTATTTCTATTGCTGTTGTTAACAGTCCTCGTTCAGTAACATTAAGTGGAGATGAAAAGATTATCGATGAATTACAACAAACTCTCTCAACATTTTATCCCAATGTTTTTAAAGCTCGTCTTCGTATTGAAAATGCATTTCATTCTTATCAGATGGATCGATTTGATATAGAAAAAGAGATGTTATCATCACTTAAAGATATACAAGGACTTCCTCTAAAAGACTCTCAACAAATGTTTAATCCAAAATGTGCTGAAGCTCATCTTTATTCGAGTGTAACTGGTAATAAATTAAATGATCACATGCCAGTCGATGCTCGTTATTGGTGGTCAAATGTGAGACAATGTGTTCGATTTCATGATGCTATGGCATCAATTCAACAACATGATGCTCCAACTGTTTTTCTTGAACTTTCACCACATCCAGTCTTGGCTACATCTATTCGAGAGTGTTATGAATCGACAAATAAACAACCACTTATTCTTCCAACATTGAAACGAAAAGAAAATGAACAAATAACATTACTTACTAGTCTCGCACAACTAACAACATCATCTCATGTTTGGCAACAATATTTTCAAACTCGAGATATAGCACCGATGATAGACAGTGGGCAAATATTTGATGATTTTCCATTGTATACATTTGATCTTAGTTCATGTTGGTATGAATCAAAAGATTCAGTTATGACACGTTTGGCTAATCGTATTCCTATTCATCCTCTACTTGGTGTTCGTCAATTAACAGGACAAACAAGTGCTACATGGAAGAGTCTCATCAATATTAATCTACCACAATATGCTTACTTGAAAGATCACAAAATTCAAGATGCAATTCTCTTTCCTGCTGCTGCCTATCTTGAACTTGTAACAGCTGCCTATCATCAATTATTTCTATCATTCGATAAAAAACAGTCTTCAATCATTTTAAAGCAAATCAAATTTGTCAAAGCTCTCAGCCTGAATGAGCATGAGCTAACAGAAGTATTTACACAAATTATCGTACCAGTTCGTGAATGGTTTGTCTATAGTCGACCATGGACATCAGCTGGTTCAGATTGTATGCGCTCATCAGGCATGGCAAGTATTGATGTTGTCGATTCTTTTATCGATCCAGAAACTCTTAATCAATATTCATTACGTGAATTCACTTTACATGCTCATGGTCAAATTGAGATGGACGGTGCTCAACAAAAACTAACAACACTACTTTCTTCCAGACCAACTTACAATACTTGGTCCACGACTGACGCAACCAGTATTTATAATCATTTATCAACACGAGGTTATCAATATGGACCTTCTTTTCAAAACATACAATCATTATGTGGTACGACATCTACAGTTATTGCTCAGATCCAAAGCAATCCTGATACAATTATTGATCTCTCTTGTTATCATTTACTTCATCCAACTATATTGGATAATTTTTTGCAGCCACTTCTAGTTTTGTTACCTGGTGTTGATACTACATTCCTTCCAGTTAGTATCCACAGATTTGTTGTTACGAACAAGATGAGCACATCCCACTCAAACATGGAACTGCATGGAAACTATCATGATATCGTTTGTGGCCTAGGTCAAGAGCGAGCATTTAGTATTGATATATTGATTCTACCAAGTGGCGATACGACAATCAACGAACCGATGTTCATGTTTGAAAGTCTTGTAATTCAACAAGTTCAAGGTGTACAATCTGGTCGATGGACATTAGACAAGTCCATTTTTGACAAATTAAATGCAGCTGCTGATTTGCCTAATGTAGATCGTTGTGAACAATTAGACACAATTATAAAAGACTATTGTATGGAAAGAATATGGATCGATTCACCAATAATAACAAGCGTAGCTGATTTGCTTCCATTGCTCGATCAAATTCGTAATGGCGGAATCGATGCTGTTAGTAATCAAGATTTGATTGATTCAATCGAACCATTCAACGAATTAGCTGCATGTTATGCTCAATTATCAATAAAAGGTCTCGATCTAAACCTTGTCGATAATCAGTATCATTCTTTATTAAATGCATGCCACTCTCTTGCTACTATATTACATGAACCAATAACATTACATTCTACACAACTTCGTCTTAGACAGTTATTCGATCATTTTCCTCGTCTGAAATCACTTTTGACCTTAATGGATACATATGGTTCGCGTCTGAAAGATGTCTTTACTGGACAACAGAATGGTTTAGATATATTTTTGGGAAACAACGAAACTGAACGAGCATTGCAACAAATAAAAACTATTATGAGTGCACATAAAACAGAGCAAATATTTCATGCAATATGTCAACATCTTCACATCTTAAACGGTCAGAGTAGCCATGGATTACTCAGCGATCGACGATTACGTATATTTTGGTTTGCTAGTGGTGAACACTTGGACGTTTTACCTGTTCTTCATCTTTTACTTGATTTATCACGTCAAACAAGTTTATGGATTGATTTACATTATACGGATATGGATCCAGTGCAGCTCGCACAAGCCGAACAATTATTTGAGGCGCATTTGGCTGATCAAACTCATTTAAGCATAATATACGATCAGACAATTGACTTGTTTAACAATAAAATTCTTGAAAAAATTCCATTCGAATCGTTTGATATCGTGTTTGCTGCAAATAAATTGCAGGAGACTAAAGATTTGATTAGATCGTTAATTAACCTTCGTCATCTACTTGTTCCCAATGGTCTTCTTTTATTACTTGAATTAACTGATGTTCCTCTCTATTTTGATCTTATATTTGGTTTACTCGATGATTGGTGGTTACCATCTAGTAATGTACGTGCTCTTCATAATATTCATCAATGGAGTACAGTTTTACAAGAAATTGGTGGATTTGAAGATATTGAGACGGTGATGAGTCAGTATGAAAGTACATTAATTATCGCTCGCAAGACAATAGCTCACAAAGTACTACAAACACTTGACGAGAGAAAAAATCAAGCATGGTTATTCTTTGGCAAAAATGATCCTCAAAGTCTCAGTCATAATATCATACCACTTTTACCATGTTCAAACATTCGATTTTTGGATATGTGTGCATCAACGACTGATAAAATTCGTTCTGTACTTGAAACAATGATGGATAGCTATACACAACTATATATTGTTTTTGCTTGGCCATTTGAGCAAACTTGCGCCAGTGACAATAGCGATTTGGCATTTAAAGAACACGAAGAGACTATTGGTGGCACTTTCATCCAGCTTCTTCAAATAATTCACGCAATATCGCCTACTTTTTTCCCGTTTATATTTGTTATCACAAGACATGCGCAGCTAAATACTGGTTCGAACTGCAATATAATTGAATCACCATTTATTGGTCTTGTACGAAGTTTAATGGTTGAATATGAGCAATATCGACTGAAGCTCATTGATCTACAAGCACCACCAGCTATGATTAATGAATCGGGACTTGTTCATGCTTTGACACAATACATGGTAACTTCTCGATATACAAAGAATACTTCTGAGATTGTTCTTCATCTTGACACAAATGAAAAGAAAGTCAAACATATCACATGGTATTATGAAATGTTGAAAACACATGACAAAAAAGAAGATCAATCAAAACTAAAACAAATTTGTATTATTCCTCAACAAGATGCTAATGAACAACCATTCCGTCTTGGTGTGCCTCCGTCTCGTTTTCTCACTGAATTAACATGGATTCCGGACAATAGAGCTAAAGAATTATTACCAGGCATGGTAGAAGTTCAAATTCACTGTGTAGGCATTAACTTTCGTGACGTATTGAAAGCACGAGGTCTGTATCCACATACTCGTACGTTTGCACAATTGGATGAGCATCAGCCACATATGAATCGAGACACTGAACCAGGTTCAGATTTTGTTGGTACTGTTATACGTGTTGGTCCTACTGCCAGTTTTCAACCAGGTGATCATGTCGTAGGCATCTCTGTATGTGGTGCGTTTCATTCGCATATCATTGTCGACTCAACGCAAGTAGTATGTATTCCACCGGAATGTCCTCTCACCGATGAACAGTTATCAGTTATGCCCGTCATATGTCTAACAGTCATCTATTCTCTCAAATATCGCATTCATTTGCGACGTGGTCAAACTGTTCTCATTCATGCTGCAACGGGTGGTGCTGGTCAAATTTGTATACAATATTGTCAATGGATTGGTGCTCGTGTTTTAGCTACAGCTGGAACTGAAGAAAAGCGACGGTTCTTACGTGAACATTGTGGTGTTGAATATGTATTCAATAGTCGAGATACTTCTTTTGCTAGTGGTGTGAGAAGTATTCTACCTGATGGCGTTGATGTTATCATTAATTCTTTATCAGGTATTCTTCTACAAGAATCTATTAAACTACTTGCTGATCACGGTCATTTTGTTGAATGGGGAAAACGAGATGTGTTTGATAAGACTCAATTGTCTATGTTTGACTTTCGATCAGATTGTAGTTTTCATGTCATTGATTTAGTTTCACTGTCTATCAAACATCCAAACATTTGTACTGCTATGTTGCAAGAAATGGTTGATTTATTAATTCAAGGCAAACTAAAAGCAATCGAACCCACAGTTGTGTGTGAGCCATCACAAGTGATTGATGCATTTATGAGATGTAATAGTAGTCAATCTATGGGCAAAACTGTTGTTCGTCTAATCAATTCTAATGAATCACTCTGTTTGAACAGCGAACATTATAATAATTTAATCGAAGGTAATCTATACTAATTTTTCATTCTGATTATAATGAATATAAATTTAGATAATGATATTATGTTTCCTTCGACTGTTTGCCAGCAAGGAACAATTTTGATTTCTGGTGGATTTGGTGGTCTTGGATTGACAATGTCTCGGTGGATGATAGAGAAACGAGGTGTAAAACGTATTATTCTTATGAGTCGTCGAACACTAGCTGAGCTTGAACAATCTTCGAATCCACAATATGGTGATTGGTTACGTTTGAAACAAACAATAAATGAATATCAAGCTCATGTTGATGTTGTTCAAGCAGATGTAACAAATTTTAATCAAGTATATGATCTGATCGAAAAATTGAGTCGAACTTCTTATCCTGTTCGAGGAGTTATTCACAGTGCTGTGGTTGCAGAAGACCGAACTTTAGCTAAAATGACACAAGAATATCTGACACATGTTTTAGCAGCAAAAGTTCGTGGTGCTTGGATTCTTCATCAAGTAACACAGCTCACTCATGCTCCTCTTCACTTTTTCGTCATGTTCTCATCAATTCGAAATCATCTACTTGAAATGGCATCGTCTGGTTACAATGCTGGTAATCAATTTCTCGATGCTCTTGCTCACTATCGTATGGCTCAACAAAACTTGCCTGCTCTCTCAGTTAGCTTGCCTGCTGTAAGTGGTGCAGGCATGTTTCATCGACAACGAGATATGGTCGGCACTTTACAAAGTACACATGGCTTTGAAGTATTACCACCAATAGCTGTATTCGAGTTGATCGAACGCTTCCATGCAAATCAGAAGACTTGTCCATGTCCTATTATTTTTGCTGTTAATTGGCAAACATTATATGAAAGACGTCACAAATTACCAATATTTCAATTGAATAAAATAGTAAAAGAACGCTATACTGCTATGAAGCTCGCAGATATATCAAAAGCATTAACTGGAATTAACAGTACAACTACTTCGAACTTGAATCGAAAAGAAACTATTATTGAGCGAATTCAAATGGCTGTAGCACGTCTTCTAGGTGCAGCCGATACTGATCGTATCCTAGTTGATCGTTCACTGACTAGTCAAGGTATGGACTCATTAGCAGCACTGTCACTCTATAATTGGTTAGGACAAGAGACCAGTGTTTATATACCATTAGTTGATTTACTTCAAGGATATTCTATTGAAACTATTGCAACAGTAATTCATAACAAGCTCAACGAACGACATCAAGTTACATCATCGACTACTAAAGAAGAAAACATGTATACTGATCTAATCAAAGAAAATAAAATAAAACTATCTTATAACTCTAGTTACACTGGGATAGAGAATATCATTTGTCTTCAAAATCCATTACAGTGCAATAGTAATATTTTCTTCTGCATTACAGAGCAGATACCAACCAATACTGATAATCTAAATAAATTATTCATTGACAAAATATCTGACCAACAAAGTCAAACAAAATCAGCTATCATTTATGCTTTCCAAATACCATCAGTAACATCAACAGCATCAACATCTACTTATGCTCGTGATATGATTTTGCAAATGCGTCGTATCCAACCACGTGGACCTTATGAAGTAGTGGCTGTCCGCAACAAACAAGGAGAAATCATTGCACATGAAATGATAAAACAACTCAAAGATTATTTAATGATTATCGATATTAGATTGATTCTTTTGGACAATTAGAATCAGCAGTAACAATAACATTAATACTCTCCGGACATTGATTGTAGGGTTCGTTTGAATTCGTTTTTTTATTTTCTAATTCTAATATTTATCAGATATCACACTATAGAAATACTTGTAGCATTCTTAATCATCAAAATATGGAAATTTAGAAGTAAGGGTTATACATCTCAGTACTTCAGCATTAGTATCTATTTTACAGTCAAACACAAAAGAAAATTATCCACCCTCAAAAACTTTACATAGAACAACTAAAATAGATCAACCCTTATACTACCAGCAGAGATCATTGTTAATCCCATCCTCGACAATCTGAAAATTCAGTAGAAATAACTGAAGTTCCTTGCTTTTTGAAGCGTATTAGCGTGTTGCAAGAGTTAAATACTGCTATAATTAACTCATGAGACATATCAATAGCTGTCAAAACAACCAGGAAACTTTAGTTATTTCTACTGATTTTTCAGATGGTTGAGAATGGGGCCAAAAAATGATCCCGGCTGGTAGTACAAAGATTAGAGATTTTACAAATATTCTATGAGATAACCTACATTAAGTTTAGATCACAATTTTATATAACAGTTTAAACTTTATAAAACTAAAATGAATATTTTCTCTATCAATTACGTTACACTAAGCATTTTGTTATCTTTCTGCACTCTGAATGTCAATATTACATGTTATTTATGAAAGTCATCAGAATTCTTTCTACTCTCTCCACTCATTTTGATTAAGTAAGATTAAAACATTGAGTTTTATACACATTGCGATATTATACTGTATCATAATTTCTCCATGTTGTTGAATTTACTGATGAAAACTCAATATTTTGATGATTGAAAAAAACATTAGTTTTTTGATTATTTTATATATATTTCTATATGATATTTGTTCTGAAAAAAAGATGTTTTGTGTGAATATTTACTAATAATTAATCAACTTATATGCTAATACTATCAAATTAACATAGTTGTTTTTCTTCTTATCCAATATTTCAGTTTTCAAATTACAATAATAAATAACAAATTTAATGATGTTCAACTTTTTTCTGATATCTTCAAATTCATGGTTTCTTTTCGCTTATCTTTTTATAATTTCTAGATTGTAATCGGCTTTTTGCATTAGAAATAGATAATTTTATAGTTATTTATTACAAAAATGTTTCAAAAAAAGAAGCAAACAGCAGCGACTACTGATCATAAAGTACAGCGGCTGAAGATTTCTGGTCGAACAGAAGCTGTAGCTTCATCTGCTCAACAGCGTATCTACATGCATGAAAATCTTTATTTTAGTGGTTCCGATTTGTCTGTCTACAATAGTCTGATTCCATTACAGATCAAACGGGGTTCTGTGTCGATAGAACATATTCGTTTGTCCTTGGTTTCATTAATTCAGCAGCATACCATTCTTCGCACTGCCATTCGTTTCAATCCAATTAGTAATCAGATTGAACAATACATTCAACCGCTCACCGACGATATCTATTCGTTTCAACATTCCCGAAGTGTTTCTACACTGGAACAACTTGATCGCCTGTTGACGAACGAATCAATTGGAAAATATTTCAATGTTGAGAACGGAAAAGTTTTACGATGCCATGTGATGCAACGATCTGCTGAGCGTTATGATGAATCACTACACGAAGGTGATCTTATTATTTTTGTGGTTCACCATATAGCATTTGATCTCAGCTCTAGCAAATCATTTCTAAAAGCCTTTCAGCGAGCATGCTGGGCGAATGAATATCAGCGATCAGTGTTAACTATTCCACAATATATTGACTTTGCATTGTACGAACAGGCACTGCTAGCCGACACAGACACAGAGTCAAAAATGAACAAGGCTCGTCGGTTTTGGGCTAATCTTATGCATGGATACGACTGGGATAGGATACGACATTTGGTGCCCGATGAAGGCCAAACTGATCGACGTCATTCTGGCCGTGGCTATTCAACTGCATTTACTATCGATCAAGATGTTGTCGATGCAATGATGTTGTTTGCTTCAAACAACAACGTGACAATGTTTTCATTGTCTCTTGCCTGTTACTATGCATTTTTATTTAAGCTAACCAATCATGATGATGACTTATGTGTAGTAAGCAGCGTAGCCAATCGTCTTGAGAAAGAGACACAAGATATGATTGGTATGTTTGTCAATCTTCTATTATACCGGATCAAAATTGATTCAAATCATGCATTCAAACATCTCGTGCAACAGGTGCAACAATTAAGCAATAAAACTCTCGAGCATGCTTCTTTACCTTATCAACAGATTATTGATTCCCAAGGCAAACGAGAAAATAATGTATTACCTTCAACGTTTTTCCAGTATGAATCTTTGATATCATCAATGATACAGAAAAACTCAATCGAAATATCTGTGAGTGAAGGTTCGTTTGTAAGTTCCTACAATGATCGAAATCTAAATCATCAAAACGGTATATCACGCTTCGAGATGTCACTTACAATTACACATGACCATCATACGCGAACTACAGAATGTTTTCTGAATTGTTCGGCTGATATATTTAAACATCAAGATAATGTCAATCTACTATCAAAGCGTTTCCAGCATATCCTTAAGCAACTCTTTTGTTCTTCGATTGTAGGTGAACCAATCTATGATCAATGTAGTATATCTATCAGCAACTTATCACTTAATTTACCCGAAGAAATCGAAGAAATACAAGAAGTAATCTTTCACAGATTACCGGCTATTGCAAATGAAGGTATGTTTATCCATTCTGATGTTTTTGAATGTATAACTATGCCATTCGTATAGATGTACTAACAAATGATATTTCTAATGTTATAAAGCTTCTCACAATAACCTTTTCGAAAATCTTATTCGTGAAATACTGAGCAAAAGAATGAATTCAGCAACAATAACCAAATAAAAGGATATATTCTATATTGATTCATATTTTCAACATCGGAGTTGTAGAATAAATGGTCGAAGTTCAAATACTTCTCTCTGAGATAAAGAGTAACTAAATTCAGTTTTGAAGATTTACAAAGATTAAGTTGAAATACTATCATTAGTGGTGGTACTACCTACCTGAAACTGACCATGAATTGTTTGGCTGCACTAAGTGTACGCCAACAAGAAATCCTACTTCGATCATAAAAGTTAGAAATTGAGTCCATTTTACCAAAATTAGGAGAAGACTATTCTAGCAATATGACGGTGATATCTCTAATCGAATCTGAGATAGACAGAAACTAATCTTTCAGCCTTTTTTCAAAATCTCATTTCAGCCGCGTCTAGACACAAAATCTATTTCATTTCATTCGTGTTCGATTGCTACGATTTACACGCCTTTAAATTCCGAAAAATATTTATTTATATAAAAACCTTCTAATATGATTATCATCTAAAGCTGTAATCAATTCAGATGGAAAAATACTATACTGCTCAATGTACAACTCATATTCATAATAAGTAGTTTCAAAAATTAAAATCTTTAGTTTTTATTTATTAAATCATTATAAATGAACTCTAAATACGAAATTTTCATTGTTCTAGCACCAGCTTCCTATGCACAAGCTCGCATATGGCTCGATGAGCGAATTCGTTTCGATCCAGACAAACCTCAAGTAGCAATTTATAATATGCCTTTTGTTTATCGTCTCTTTCCAGAACATACTTTATCAATAGAACGATTACTTCATGCTCTCCAATTAGTTATTCTAAAACATCAATCACTTCATACATCACTTGCCTTTGACAAAGACAGAAACCAAGTCATACAACGAATCATTGAATTGAACACTAATCATAAACAAATGATTTCAGTTATCGAAAGTATTTATGAAACAGATGAACAACTCACTAAGATTATGCATAATGAAAAACGTAATCCTCAAGTTTTTAATCTTTCTCAAGGTCTTGTCTTTCGATGTCATATTATTCATTATAAACAAATCTCTTCAAATCATCTTCTTTCTCACAAAGATCTACTTATCTTCAATTTTCATCATGCTCTATTTGACTTTCCATCAATGCAGATGTTTCATCATGATCTCAGTCAAGCATACACAACAGGCCAATTACTATATGATGACAACGCTAATCTACGTTATATCGATTGTAAACAGAAATACTACTTCAACTTTTCTCTTTGTTAACACATTCTTTTCTTTTGTTGTATAGATGCTGTTATTGAACAACAAATGTCAATGACTGGTGCAAACATGTTTTGGCTTGATGCTCTTCGTGATTGTAAACTTGATCAGCCTTTGTCATTACCATTTGATCGATATCGTCTTGCAAATGAACATCGAACTGGTCGTGGAACATCTATTTCTTTTGATTTTGGTCACGATCTTTCACATGACTTTCTTATTCATGCATCATCAAATAGCATATCACTGGAACATCTCGCTCTTGCTAGTTATTATGTGTTTTTATTCAAACTGACGAATGGTGAAAATGATTTATGCATTGGAATAAATACACATGGTCGATATAGAGATGAACTCAACTCTATCATTGGAATGTTTGTGAATGCTATACCTTTGCGATGTCAACTCGATCCTCATTTATCATTTAATAAACTTACCAAGCACGTTCGAGATAACATGATAAACTGTATTAAGTATTCATATTTTCCACTTCAACGTATTCTCAATCAACATCCAAATATATCAAATCCTGTATTTCTTGATACATCATTTGAGTTTATATCATCTATGTCAAAAGATGAGAAAAATGAAATAATGCTTGGTGATAGTCGATTTTGTTTACTACCTTATTCCATCAAGATTAGTGAAGATGAAGTAATGAGTAAATTTGACTTTATTCTTAGTTTTCAACATGATCTGAATCTCAATGAACTCTCATGCACCATCGATGCTTCACTTGATTTATTTAATGCTGAAACAATTTGTGTAATAGCACAAAGATTTCAGACAATGTTACATCAACAATTCACATCTTTCGACTGTACAACAAACAAACCAGTCTATGAAATACAATTAGCATTACCAAATGAACAATATCTGGTGCAATCATTGAATAATACACAAATATCGTTTTTATCTCCTCTCACTTGTATTCATCATGAGTTTGTATATCAAGTAATGAAACATCCACAAAAACTAGCAGTTGAACTGGACGAACAATCATTGACATATTGTGAACTGTTATATTATGTTCAAGTGTTATCTTCTACTCTTCTTAATGAATATTTTATCACTTCAGGTGAGGTCGTATGTCAATGTGTTGAGAGAAGTTTGTCAATGGTAAGCTAATTAAGATGAGTAACGGTTGATGTAAATATGAGATTGATTTTTGACTAGGTAATTGGTATAATGGGAATTGAAATGGCTGGTGGTGTATATTGTCCATTGTCACCTCGAGATCCACAACATCGTTTGCATGCACTCACACAACAGACCCAAAGTCGTCTTGCACTTATTCATCATTTAACTACTTCAAAATTCGATCATGATATTGCTGCACTTGATATTGATTCAATATTAAAGAGTAATAATATGGATAGTGACATAAATTATAATTGCTTTTCAAGTGTGATGGTGAAAAGTGAAGAGATAGCATACATTATTTTCACAAGTGGTTCAACTGGCACACCTAAAGCGGTTTGTTGACATTCACTTTTCTAATATCTGATTGATTTTCATACTCTTTCACAGGTTCAAGTTCGACATAAGAACTTTATTGATTGTATGCATTCTTTAGTTTATATTAACTCATTTAATAAAGATGATACAGTAGTACAAATGACACGATGCTCATTTGATATTCATGTTCAAGAAATACTTGGCACATTGTTAGTTGGAGGCACATTGATTATGCTTCATCTAGGTGGAACGATTGATCTCAATTATTTATCCGAAGTCTTAGAGAACAAACAAATCACATATCTACACACTGTTCCAAGTTTATTGCATAGATTTTTTATTTCTGTCGAGTAAAATAACAATTTGCATGTCCTGAAACATCTTCGATCAGTTTGTAGTAGTGGTGAGTGACTTTCAAACTAGTTTTGTTTGCTTATCTAGTGGATATTTATTGTTATAGGTGAACCTTTTTCTGTTCATTTGATTAGTTTAATTGTGAACATCGGTATAACAAACTGTATTGTATGGAATTTGTATGGTCCGGCAGAAGCAACCATAGGTTCTACAATTCATTGTATGTATGTTACAAATGATGTAAAGAGTATTCCAATTGGTAGACCATTTTATAATTACCGATGCATGATTATTAATCAATATTTACAATCATCCGTCACCAGCCAAGAAGCTGAGTTGCTAGTGGGTGGAGTGGGTGTCTTTGCTGGTTATCTCGGTCGTGACGAATTAACTGCAAAAGCTCTTCTTGAAATAGATGGTGAACTATTTTATCGAACTGGTGATCTTGTTAGAATGGATAACAATGGTCTTCTGCATTATCAAGGAAGAAAAGATCACCAAATCAAATTACGTGGTCAAAGAATTGAACTTGGTGAAATCGAACGATGTCTACTTAACACTACATCGATCTCTGCTTGTGTTGTTATGAAATGGAATGATGATTATTTAGTTGCTTATGTTCAGTCTTCTCATACCACAGAAGAACAACTACGTGAACATTGTCAATCTCATCTTCCATCACATATGATTCCATCTATATTCATTATACTCGATAAATTACCTTTGAATCCAAATGGAAAAATAGACAGAAAACATCTACCACCACCTAATTTTTCATCGTCAACTGATAATATTGGTGATAATGTGCCGCGCAACACCTTAGAACAACAGTTACAAGATATATTTAGTCAAGCTTTCCATATTGAATCTCCTCATGTTGATGTTCCTTTTGGCCGACTTGGTGGAACGTCATTGGATGCTGTCCTTGCACTTACATTAATCCGTGAACAGGTCTCTAATAAAGTTGACATTGGTCTTTTATTTACTAATCCATCTATTCGACAATTGGCGAAAGCTATAGAACCTTTATTAGCTTTCGAAGAACTACAAAAGACAGCTTCCACAGTCAATGAAATTCATGAGACAAGTGTTCATCTGACGCCTTCATTCGTAGTTGAATCTTTAGGTGTTGTACTTCTTGTTTGCCAGTGGTTGTTGCCAATCATGATAATTCATCAATGGTGCCCACTTCTTTTTCCTATCTTACCAATATGTCATCTTCTATTCTATGTCATTTGCTCACGTCTACTTTCACCGCGAAACATCAAAGACGACAATATTTTCTCTTGGAACTACTATCGTTGGTGGTTTTTAGATCGACTATGGAATAATAATACATTTTGGCTACAACATATACTTGGTACACCTTTTTACAATTACTATCTTCGTCTTTGTGGTGCTCGAGTTAGTCTTAATGCACATATTTATACCACAACCATGGATGCTCCATGGTTGTTAGATATTGGTGATGGAACTTGGATTGCTGATAAAACGAATCTAAACTGTTTATATTTCAATGATGACTATACTTTTGCATTACATTCAATTAGAATTGGCTGCTATTGTTCAATCAGTGCCCGATCTATTCTTTTTGGTGGAGTTGATATGCAAGACAATATTATTGTTCAGCCTATGTCATCAGTCACTGACTTCATCGGATCTCGAACGATTATCGATGGTGACGAACATAAATCAGCTTCATCAGACATCTCAATCACATATACTAACCGATTATTATTGAAATGGCACAAGATCTATCAAGTTATTACAATCATCTCCCTCACCTGTATTCATTGTACACTCTTAGCTATTGTCTACAAAGTTTATTCAGTTCAACAAGTATCACTACCTATTAGTATTGCTTTTTGCTGGACTTTGTGGTCAATTATTGCTTGTTTTGTTAGTCTCTTTCTCTTAAAATTCGTAGTCGGTTCTTGTGTTGCTGGTGAGATATATCCAATTGTATCATGGTCATATTTACATAAGGTGTGGCTTCGTCAATTAATTGTATCTAGTTTTCATTATGCCTGGTTACTACCAACTCATCATGATCAACTTTATCCGTTTATTCTTCGTTGGCTAGGTGCTCAAGTCGAAGATGATGTCAAACTCGGTGATATAGACATCTTCTTGTCCTACCCAACAAATTTATTAAAACTAGAAACAGGAGTCACTAGTTTTGCTTACGTTTTATTAGTTCCTACTGAGATGACACTTGAGGGTGACCATCGTGTAGATTATCTAACGCTTGGATCCCATACAAACCTTGCGAATGGATGTTCAATTTTACCAGGTAGTCATCTTGCATCTCATACTATGGTTGGCAATTTAACACGTATCACTCGAGAAACAAATAGCAACAATGGAGATGTTTACATTGGTGTTCCAGCACGTGCTATGCCATTTCAAATGCCCATCAAAGAAGTTATGAAAGATCAAATTAATACTGTTCCATTTTGGAAAGCTTGTTTTTCTCGTTATATTAGCAAATGTCTTCTCATAAGCATCTATTGGTCATGTGGTCTTGTTGGTGGACCAATCATTCATACAATAATTGTTTGCAGTTTATATCGATGGCATTCATATAGAGACACAAAAATAAGCAAACAAATAATAGAAAGACTACAAGAAGATCATCGAATTTTTATCGGTTCATTTCTTGGCAATACTCAATGGCTAATTCGGCTATTTCGAGCACATGGTGTGAATATCGGTGACAATGTGATCTTACCCGATGTTTCTTCTATTTTTGATTACAGTTTGGTGACTATTGGAGATAATGTTCGACTCAGTATCAATGCTCATATTGTGGTAATATATTCATTTCTTGTCATTTTTCATATGTATATCATTGTTCTCTACATTCATTTCAGTGTCACACATTTGAACAGCGTATTTTGAAACTGGTTCCTGTTACAGTAGGCAACTCATGCGTTCTTATGAGTGGATCAGTTGTAATGCCAGGTTGTAAATTAATGGGTAACAATCGGCTTTATCCTTTTACACTTGTAATGAAAAATGATCTATTGCAATCAAATACACAATGGAAAGGACTTCCTGCACGTAAGTCATTTAGATAGATGAAGCTAGGCATACTAGTATATTATAATACTATTAAAATACTAGGTAATATTCTGCAAATTCCATCTCGTTCACAGTGATCTTTGGATATTTCTTTATCTACATTATTGAAAGCATGACTTTCTTGAACTTCCCATCTGTTATATTCTCTAAATTTCTTGTAACGATGTATAGTCATTTGACTTTCATATGATTTGTTCTGCGGCTCAGAATGAACAAGTCTGAGTGAATAAATCATTTGATCGATATGACATATGCCACTTAAAATAACTTTTCTTCGCATTAACTTTTCAATTGATCCTTATTTATGATATATTCAACACATTCAATATACTTTTGTCGACTTTTATGACTTGTTGTTACTATACATCAAATTTAAATGTATTTTGCCATTAGATTTGACATTAAACTACCTATTCAAATCTTATCAATTAGAGATTTGTACTGCATATCAATGAATAAAGTTTTGTCTGATTTCTTCGTCATATGAAACTAAGTGATAATGCATATTTTCTTTCTTAAAGAATTTATTAAATTATTCCCATATTCGCATTATCCTCACTTTTATTTTAAATATCGTATACGTACTACATTCTAGTCGCGATGAAAGTAAGATTTCTATCATTATAGGCTTTGATTACTTTGAACAGTGTTCTAATGAAATCCAGAAATCTAAGATCTACATATCAAACGATGTGATATGATTGTATATTTACCATATTTTCCTAGAATTGACAAATAATATCGCACATTTTCTTTGATTCTATGAAAGTAATATCATTCAAAGTTAAACTGTTCTTTTGATGATCATGTCATATCATATATATTCATCATTTTATTGTATTCAATTTCTTGCTTTTAGAATCTTATGTAGCAAAACCGATATTATCTCGATCTGCATCCGTTTGTAATGATGTCATCATATGTGAACAGAAATCTAACAACTTTGATCGACTGTCTTTGTGGTATATACAAATTTCAAATGTCTATAAGAATGGCAATGAACTACAATTTATGAATTGGGGTTATGCAGATTTGGATGAGCATATTGATGACAATACTGGTTACTATTCGAAGAAACTTTATCAACAAGTAAGTGAAGATGAATGAAAAAATCAAATACATTTGAGTTGGAATATTTGTGATATAATATCATAGATTAACTTTTAATGCCTGAATTAATCAATAAGAATCTTACTCATACCATAGTTTTAGTTACTTTATTACTTATAAACTAAAACATAAAAATCACAATAAACAGAAATCAATTTATTCATTACTTTAATAGATATATTTCCATTAACAGTTTTAACCTCTATTTGATTGATCATGATAACGTCCTATAACATATTTTACAAGAAGTGAATCATAACAAATTTCATACACCAGAAAATAATGTAGTTACTGCATTCTTTGCAAATATTAGCATATAGATGATGTGAAATATAATGGTGTACTATTTGTGTATTTCTAAAAGAAATATCTGATAAACATAAAATGTGAAACAAGATTTTGTTTAAAATAGAGAAAATCTTGTGATAATCTTTAGTAAGACTTCTGATGATAAAAAGTTACTTTATCATAAGTACTCTGCGATTGATAGATAATGAATCGATCGAAATCGAAGAATTTCTAAGTTGTAACTCATTAGTTCGAATAGCTCAAAGTGAACTAATCACAATAATAGTTCTGACAGTATCAGCATAAGATTTAAATCTTTTGTTCAAATATATATTAGCAAATGTGTAGAACTACTAGGTCGGTCTTAATCTACTTCTGTATTTCTCAAAAAAAGTGAGCAATGAATGAAATGATGACTGGCAAATGTAGTAGCAGTCATTATTAGAATATTTTATTTTTCACTCTAGGTTCTTGCTAATGTAACACTTACAAATCAAAATATACTCGAAGTAAGTTGTGGCAGAGGTGCTGGTGCTGCCTGGTGTGTTCGTACATATGCTCCTCGCTCTTATGTTGGAATAGATCCTTCTCGAGATGTTATCAACCTATGTGAACAACTTTATTCGACAATTCCTCGACTCTCGTTTATGACAGCTGATCCAAAAACTCATTTACCATTTCAAAATGAGTCAATGAATGTTGTTCTCTCAATTGAAACAACAAATCTTTTTGATGAAAAAGAAGCAGTAACGAAATTCGTCGATGAACTTACTCGTGTGCTTACTCCTAATGGATACTTCCTCTGGTGTGGCTTGTGTAATGTAAATGGATCAAATATATTGGTTGATTATTTAACAGCAAGTAATGCATTTATTATTAAAGAGAAGGTCAATATTACCCCAAATGTTCTTCATGCACTTGATATTCAAAGTAACTCACGTACTGACTTTATTGACCGTTATAGTCAACCTGCAGATCAAGAATATTGTCGTCTCTTCGCTGGATTACCTGGCACTCAACTTTATGATAATATGCAACAAGGACATGCAGAATATTGTCGAGTTGTATTCCGCAAGAATATAACAAAAAGACACCTCTTATCTAACATTAAATTTTGATTTCACATCACTAACATACTTTCTTTTTCTAACTGATCTACATTTTTTTGCTTGCTAGATAGCAGTATTTTACTCTAACCTATTTCAGTACCTTACTTTTTTGATAACAAATAAATAAAATAGTTAATATAGAACATTTTGCGAGGATGCATATATGAGATCAATATACAGACCTTACACCCTCATAGATCAAATGGATATCTTCATCTAGATTATGATTCGCTCTAAAAGAACGAACTGTTATTACAGAAATCAAAAATTTGTCGTCATTGTTAGATACTAGTGTCTGGTGAGTTATGTCAGGTAACCTGAGTTTCATTAGCAGAGTATCAAAAGACAACTATTATTTATCTAGACTAAAATAATGTCTGTACTTTTGCAATTTATTTGATATTTATGTTAGGGTTACAAAAGTTTGATTGACAAATAGAACAAGAAAACAGCCTCCTGTCGTAATAGAAGAACTTCAGAACTTTCTTCAATTACGGTATTTGAAGATCTGCTGGTACTATATTTTGTGCAAAAAGGTTTATTCTCTCAGTTCATGAATTTAGATAACTTTGAAATAGGTCTCGAACAATAACTCAATCTATTAATTCAGTGGTTTGATAACAAACAAATATTCTATATTTCTAAGTATAAAACTTGAAAATGCGGACATTTTTGTACAGAGCTGACTCTTAAATCAATCTTTGCGAATCAAAACAAATAAAATACAGATTTCTGTTATCTCAGTGGCACACTATTTTCATATTTTGAGCAGGACTTTATGTACAAAATATACTACCAAATCATCTCTCGATATTGAAAGAAATGCAAAAGTTCTTGGATCAGAAAACTTTTTCCTTATTGTCTCATTTAATAGCGCAGATTCTTAGTATCTTCTCCTTTTTATTCATACGTTCTGAAACATATAACTATGAAAGTCTTTAAATGTCACTTATTTGTTTATTATAATTCTTGAACGCTTCAGAAAACTCACCTAATTGTTGCATTCAAATATTGATCACTCGTATAGTAGTTTAGAAGATTTTAGCATACCTTTCAAACAACTTACTTCTGAGTATCTATTTTTTCCAAAGGAGTCACAGAAAGGCGGATGGGTATGTATGTGGGTATAGAAAGATGACAAACACACCTACATTCACACCGACACCCTCAAGGTGGCTAAAAAACTATTGATTGTATATTGTTAAATTATGACTATGGACGAATGAATTTCAATATCATATATTATGCAAATATATTTAAAAAGACTCATTATGAAATCATCGTAAGCAATTTTCTTGGTTTGCCATAACGAGCTTGACCAAGTACTCCACTAATATTACAAACTATGTAGAAAATATAAATATTTTGTGCAAAACTTCTTGTTGAAGACTGTAACACGAATAAAGTGATTCTCTTGATATCTATAAATTACTAAACTATTTACAATAGATATTTGACATTCATTATGATTAGTATGTTATTATTTACGACTTGCGTTCATGGCATTTCATGATTACATTCAGAGTATACGAATGAACGATAATTTATTAGAAATTATGAAAGATAAGCATTTTTTCTGAGAAAACTAAACCACGAACGAAAGATACATTTAAAAATAAAACAAAACTTCATTTTTCAATAGATTGAATTGTATTTTAATAAATTTTAAAAAGATGTTTGTCGATATGAGATTAAGAAAACCGATTAGATATACATATATGTATGTCAATAATTGAAGGGCACCGATGCTTGTCTCCTTGTTAATAAAATGTACATCACTTGTATTCATTTAATTTGTCATTTTTGATTGTATCATTTTCTTTTTACCGTGAGATTGCTGTCTACATATATATTTGTTTAATTACGCAAGGTACACTTTAATTGACAGAAAAACAATATTTCATGTTTACTGTTCTAGTTTCATACTATCTCAAAGACCATGAATTTAATCTATTTTGCTCAAAAAAAAATAAGATAAATGCATTTACATGAAATCATTTATCATATGTTTTGGTGATGTTTTGAAAATAACACATCATTTTTTTTTGCAATTAGAAAATTCAATACATAAACATCATATTACACAGAAGAACAGTATCAATGAAAGATATTATACATAGACGTCAAATCAAGTTTTTTTTTGACCTATATTAGTAGGCTAATAAATTTACAAAGTCAGTACTAATAGAAAAGATCATGAAGTAATTATTTTCATTCTATGTCTAACCTTCACCGTTGTTTATTAGTTTCATTTTTTGGTAATAACGTCTATTATTCTGTCTGTCCTAACCATAAACAAGATAAGTACAAACTCTCTAAGACTCTGATAATAATGTTGACGTTTGTAAGAAGAAAAAAAATAGTATTTTAATCTACATAACTTTATCATTTTTCTCGTCATCATTAAAAGAAAGAAAAGTGTTGATATTTGTCAACAAAAAAGAAATCCTTATAAAAACTTTACTATATCTTTACCATTACGATGATTATTACGTCATAAAATAAATGTCATATTTTTATTATCAAACTATTTTACATTTTATTTTCCTTTCTATTTCAACTAATAAAGTCAATAAAATGTTAGTCAACTTTATCATATAGTTATTCATTATTTCGAATACTTCTTTTTCTTTAAAATAAACAGTTCATTATGTAAAAAAAAAGTAGTTTTAATTATGTATAATCGTTTATAAACAAAACAATAACTTTCTATAACAGGAAGTTAATAATAATAATAATAATAATAATACGTTTGAAAGATGGAAGATTTAAATATTTGTAGATAAGAAAAATATACCATATCTGAGTTAACACAATGATTCATGACATGTTTGGGCTAATTCTAGAAAAAAGGGGAATATTAAATTTGATTTTATTTTGAAAAATATTTTACCATGTCGAAATTTCTCAAGTTGAGATGAAAGACGAGCTGATGATGGACAAGTATTTTGTACCATTGATAATTGTGAATTAAGTTGATTATTTTCCGCCTGAGAAAATCAAATAAAATTGAATTTTATTTTTTAATTTAAATTTTACTTCAAGAGCATTGAAAGCTAAATGAAGTCGTTCAACATCAGTTTGTAATTGTCCAAGTAATATTGATTGACATTGTCTATTTTGCAATTCTTTTTCAAGTTCAATCAATTTTTTTTGTATTGATTCACGTCGATGACATTCTCGTTCGTATTTTGCCTTCAATTAAAAAAAAAACGAAAATTCTTTTTATATTAAAATGTAAATGAAAAGGTCGTTGAACTATTAACCTTCCATTGAGATTCTTGTTGTTCGATGTCCTTCAATTGTTGTTCCAGTTCATCGATTTTCGTCTGTTTACTATGTAATACTTGGATAAGTTCACTTGTCACAAGGTTTTGTTCATCATTTTTCTTTTTAAATGGTGCATCATCATCACGTGTTGGAATCATATCCTTGACGGAATTCTAAAAAAAAGAACAAAAAAAAAGTTAAACTTGATTTTTTTCTTCTCAATATATAATAACATACTAATTCTGTTGTTGAAAGATAATTATCGTGTAAAGCTGCGTCTATTTGTGTACGAAGAACGTCAACCTAGCAAAAAGGTTTTTTTTTAATTTGAGTTTGTGTTTGTTAAAATAATATAATTTTAAATATACTTTTCGTCTCATTCGTCGATAACGAAGACTAGCATTTGGATCTGATGTTGCTGGTACTCGACTATTAACAGATTTACTACGTGGATGAATTTGTTTGTCTTTAGAATATTCGTCTGATAATGCAGTGAGTTTTCGTCGTAGTCGGACTGCAGGTGATTCGTTCTCTATAACCATGTTGTACGAAAAAAATTTCTATGCAATACGATGCAATTTATAGAAGAAGAAATAGAAGGTTAGATAGTGAATGGCAAACAAACCAATGACTATCGAGAATATGTATATATATATATATAACTGGTGACCTCTTTACTTTTTTTTATATGAATAGTAAAGTTTTTTTAATAGAGATTCAATATTACCAAGAAGTTAAGATATTATTGATACGAATTGAATAGTATATTGCACTGATGAGAACGTGATAGCTATAGAACTTGTTAAGATGATGTCATTTTCAAAAATTGTAACGATACGTTGATGTACGAGCTGACTGTCAATATCATATGTTAAATGTTAAAAGAAACATTAACACATCGAACGTTTTGCATATACAGAAAAAGTGTAATACATAGTATGCAATAGTAATTATAGTGTCGTGTTTTTAATTAAATTTATAATCGAAATGTGCCATAGTGTAAGAAACTGATTGAGTCGAGGACAAATTTTGTTGTTTTATTGTGTTGGAAAGTTGTTATTTTTAAATTTCACATATGTTAGTTAACGGTATTGTATAGTTTCATGATTTCATTTTCTTGCCGTTTATTACAATGGCCTTGTAGTCTTGTTGTTAATTATTATTCTTTAGTTTTTATGATTTTATCACGAAATGAAATTGACTACAAACAAAGAAAACTAACATAGAAATTGTATCTATTAAATGAATAGTAAGACTATTTTTATATTCGTTTGAACAAACAACAAAATTCTACTAAATTTGTCTTATTTAGAATTAGTTTTAAGCAAAAAATATACTTAAAAGAATCTCAGTAGCTTGAACAAATGTTTTTGCATACATTAATAAGAGATCTTTTTTCTATTTTATCACGCAATCTTTGTAAAGAAAATCGTTTCACACTGAAACAAGAAATTAGTTCTCGATACGTTGTGCAATTGAAGGTCAATATATTGGTAGTTTTTACTCAATAATAAATATAATTCTGAAGTTCGAAAAGATAATCTTTTCTTTATTGATATTTAAAGAAAAATACAAAGTTTAATATATATATATATATATTTATTCATTCTTTAAATATATTTTTGTTTAGTATAAACAAATGAAAATTTTTTTTTTACTAATTCAAAGAATTGCTCAATGAAAGACATTGAATATACATCAAAAAGAAAAGTATTATACCAGATTTTTTGTTTTTCTTACAAAAAAATATATGTATGTGCATAGAAAGCACAAGAGAAAAGAAAATAGGCGAACAAGAAATAAGAATATCTCACTAATATAATTGGATACTCAAATTGAGTTTGAATTTACTATGTTGATGCATTAAATACTTGATTAAACAGGTGCATTTCCCGTTAAGATTATTTTAGGTTCACAAAAAGGACCTATATTATTAGTATTTGATATACCGCGAACAGCAAATGCATAGTAACTATTAGATTGAAACTCTTTAAGAGTAACTGCCATTGGTAAACGCATGGAATCAACTTTACCAATCTAATACAAAAAAGAAAATATAATAAGAAATTTTATAAAATGATCTATACCTTTTTCCAATCAGTTGTTGATGCTACTGAACTTTGTTTATACGCATAGATTTCATAATTTTTTATCGATTCTACTGGTGTTGATGGTAAATTCCAAGTTAATCGAACTGTTGTATTATCTTGTGCTATACTTAATTGTGGTCGTGCTATTGTATGATCACATTTTGGACATTCAGGTAATGGACGTAAAGGAAATGTCTAAAATAGATTTATATTTTAATAATAAATAAAATTTCTATTTCTATTTAATAGATATTTTTTATTGTGTACATATAGTTAGTATAGTTTTTTTGGATTAAAATAAAAATACATCTTTGTATATTTGGAAAAAATGAATTCTCATGCATGTAAATATTACAGAAAGGAGAAAGCATTAGTTGATTATGAGAAGCTATATTAGCACTATAGTTTTGATTGCTAAATGAATATGTGATAAGCTGCTCTTCATTACTAAAAGTATATGAGATTGTTTATGTAATTCTATTGAATTAGAAATCAGAAGATCGGGGTTGTCGCAGGCCGGAAGAGGTAATCTCTCCAATTCGCAAAATGTTCACGGTACTGTTGCAGAAGGTTTATTCAATGGTAAAATACGACAGAAGTTATATAAAAAAAACTTCTGCTGATTTAATAATATGACACTATATCAACTCCTTCCATGTTACTAAGTTTTATACAAAACGGAGTCCAAAACAAACTCAAAAATATCATAAGAGTTCCCTAAAATCTTTACAAATTTTTTGGAATTCTTATATTTTCTATTAGTAGTTAGTACTAATGCAATGGATATCTAGGATATGTGTTGCTATTCTCAATAAAAACTATTACCTAAGTACATATAAAATTTAGTAGATATATTCACCACTCTAATAATTTCTTGAATTTACATTAAGATATTGAAAATCTAACAGTAAATATATATAAAATATGTCCTTCATATGAATCTCCTCGTTGCATATAGACTCTAGTTAATTAAAGAGCCATCTTTTATTTTATTTACCTGTCCAAGTGGAGTCATGGAATTTGAACGATTTGTTGGTTCTATAATAAATTTATAACATATATTATTTCGAAATTTATTATTAATAAAAACATACGAATATTAGTAGTTACAGGTGTTGGAGTTGCAGGACTTTGTTGCTAAAAAAAAATATTAATATAAATATATGATCATACAGAGACAATAATATACGAACTAGTTTAGTAGGTATGGATACTCCATTAGTATTATTATTATTATTGTCATCATCTTCTTCTGTTAAATCGACAATATCATGCGAAGTTGTTGGAAGTATTGATGGTTGAGGATTAGTTGCTGCAACTAATGTAGTCTTTTTAACTAATGCCGTTTTATTAGTTAATGTTGTAGTTGTTGCTGTTGACGTTGTTGTTAAACAAGGTATTAATTGTTGTAATGATGGACCTGTCGTTCGAATTGGAGTAAGAAAACTATTGAAAGGACGTATAGATGTTGCTGGTGGACCTTTTGAATTTGGTGTAGAATGTTTTCCATTAATTTGCTTAAAATAGAAAATTAAAAAAATAAATAATTATTGTATCTTTTTAATACATACAAGCGTAGTTGGTCTTAAATTTTGTGGTGGTGGTGGTTGTTGTTGTATAGTTGATATATCAGTTTGTATTTGTGAATCATGTTGATTGATTTTAGTTGTTTGTTGTTCTCGATCAATTTTACTTTTATATAATTGTTTTTGATAAAAATTCATTAAATCTTCATGTTGACGTTTTAATGTTTGTATAAGACGATTATTATTTAATGATCGATCTTGTTGTTGTTCTTGACGTGTTTGTCGTAACGCTTGTTCAAATTGAAGATATTCATTAGCCGATTGAGAATTTGATATAGTTTGATGGCATTGACAGGTGCATAATGGTGGATGAGTGTCAGATGTTGATGCTAAATATTGAAATTGTCAATATTAATATAAGAGCATTAAATTAATTGAAAATATAACTGAGAAAATCTATCGAGAAGTACAGAATATATTTTTGTCAATCGAGTCAAATTAGATTTCTGTTTCATTAAAAAATGTACATGTTTTTTCTTATTTGTAAAGTACCTAATATGTATGTTTAGAATATCAGATCGATCGAATATTAATTATAAAAATATCTGAAATAGAACATGTTTGACGATGTTTTTTCTATATCAGAGATTCATCATTATAGATATGTGAGATCAGATTTTAGTCTTAATTGTAGTAATAGATCTATTAGAAATTATTGTGTAACAATGTATAGTTTCTATTTGAACAACTATTTTGTTTCTTTTCAAGGCTGAATAATTATTTCTCCATTATAATGTCACTAGAGATGTATGGAACCAAAAATTAAAACATGATTGGTAAGAGGAAGAAAAATTGTAGTTAAATTTTCTATGTTTTTTAATGAAGTATGATATAAATCACATATCGACGAATTCAATAAAAAATTGGGTATTTAACAATATTTTTTGAATTAACTCCAATAATTTCTCTTTCGATTGGGACCGAGAGTAAGAAAACTTGATCCTGCACATCTCTATTCATCATACCTTCAATTTCTACAATATCTTCATCATTTTGTGATTGCGAAAGTATTGAAGATTGTTGTTGTTCATTTTCCATTGAGACTTCTTCATTTAAACTTTCAGTTCCATCATCCATATGTACTTCATTTGTCGTAGCCAGAGCTAGAAACAAAGCTAGATTTATTTATTTTCATATACAAAAAATTAGTTTTACATTCAGTATTTGTTGTATCAATACTTTGTTCATTATTATTGCCATCAATATAATTCATAAGTGAATCAATTGTATTATGAATATCTGTTGAATTATTTGTTACACATTGAACAGAATTTTCTGTCTATACAATTGAAGAAGAAAAACGAAAAGTAAATATATTTATTTAATTTAATTTTTAATTGAACCTGATTTAATAAATCTTCATGAATTTGATTTATCATTTGTTCCAATAGATCACGAATAATTTCTTCAGTGCTTTCTTCAACAATCATTTGTTCAGTTTCATTATCAGGTATCATAACAAATGATCGTTCTTGTCGTGAAATTTCATTTTCTAATTTAATATCATATCTTATTGTATCAAAAATTGATTGTTCTTCTTTACAATTATTATCAATATTTAATGTTGTTGTACATAAAGATACATTTTTAGATGGAGGCTTTATATTTCTTGTTACAGTACTTTTACGTGCAATATGACGGTAAATATCTGGAATAATTGTAGTTGACATTATAGTCTAAATAAATAAATTATTTTAATGTGTTTTCTATCTTCTATAATGAAATAATTTAATTTTTTAGTTGATTCTATCAGAAGACTGACTAGTGGAAGAATTCAATTCATTATCAATAATTTACAAAAAATAGTTTTATATGGAAATATGATATGAAGATAATTATACACGATTGAATTTCTTTGATAATAAGAATACATCAGTTCAAATTGATTGTCGTAAAGTTACTAATCGACCATGTTTTTACAAAGAAATCCAAGTATAGTCAAAGATCAAAATAAAATATCTCTCATATTTCATTAGCAAATAATCTCTTGCAATATGAAGTAAAACGATAGGATTTGTATGCTTACATTCATATTGTTAACCAAATTTAAACATATACTCCTTTATTCATAATAACCAAACGATCACTATTTTTTCTGAAAAAAAAACAAATAGATAAAGATGATTATTTCCTATGTCAATATTATTAGATAGAATAAAATGATACACAAGAATAAAACACATGTAAAACGATTTTTATTTTGTCCGCTTTTTTTTTTAATACAAGATAAAGTTTTAAATTTGAACGCAAGCACATAATGTCGGTGGACAATTTACAGCACATATTTGTAAACACCAATTTTCAATACCAATTAATGGTTTAAGAACTTCATTAGTCGGATAACAACGAAATGTTTTATTTTTTTTATTAAAATGATTAATTAATTCATCCGATGATTGATATGGATAAATAATATTCATAATTGTTGTTGTTGTTGTTGCTGATTCAGTCGTCGTAGGATAAGTAAATATCGGTATATATTCATTTTCAGAAGATATCATATTTGAATCAAGAAATGGTAAAAGAAATAACGGTGTTTCTGTTGAAGTGCTTGTAGTAGATAAAGGTAATAATAAATTATTATTATTATTATTATCGTCTTTAGGAGCAATACTAATATCAGCACAACTGATAAAACGAAAATAATGAAATTTAAGATGATTAGATGAAAGTAAATTACTTATAAAATTCTTCTTGATGACCACAGCCAAGACATGATTTTCCTGTAACACCGTCTGTACCCCAACTATTTCCAGCATGATAACGCCATTGTAATACACAATGAGGACATTGCAAACCCGAAGGTATATGAAGTCTATTGAAAATTAAATATAAAAATAAAATAAATTAAATTAGTTTTTACCTTAAAATAATCGAATCGATTCCTTCATTAACAGGATATTGTGTACCAAAACCTTCGATAAAAAGTAAATTTTGATCTAAACATTCTTGTGTTAATTCGCTATTCGAATTCACTAATGAACATAAACGAAATTCCATAAATCCAACATGATTAGCTGTTAACTAGAAGACAAGAAAAATTCTAAAAACAACATAAATTTTCCTATTTTATCTTACTAAAATTTTGACATCGATCAATGAATTCGGTTCATAATTTCGAACAATTATATTCGTCGCATATCTGCCACCTGCTTCATGATCTCGAGGACCCACATAAGAATCACCACAAACACCGCATTTGCCATCTGAATAACAAAATTAATACATAGAAGAATTTCTCATTTAATAGCTTACCATTTGCTTTTTGAATACTTAATCCACCACAATTTAATCCAACATCATCATAATTAGCAGGAACATTAAAACCTAAATTTTAAAAAAAATATTCTAATAAGATCAAATTTTTTCGAAAAAAAAGAGAATTTACCATAACGCCATGCAGCATTTCGAGCCGGTGGATCTTCCATTCGTCCATGTCCATGGATGTGATGGAGAGAAATAATTGTAATAAACCAGTTGAATATTTCTCTATATAACAAATAAAAGTAAAAATATTTCAATCAATTCTTCGTTTTTTTCAAATCTTCGAAATCATCTTACTTTCGCATGACTTTTCTATATTTTAAAAGCCTAGTATTTCTTGCATATAGACACAAGAGAAGATTTTTTTGCACTTAGTACATATTTTCTATTTGTTGCCTTTTATGTCTCGACACACAAAATAAACTCTGTCTATGTTGTCTATCTAATTAAAACAATAATCGATTCAAGGCCCGACGTTTTTGTTATATCTGGTTTCAACTTTCATCTAACAACTGATGAGTGTCTTCTTACTCTCGTACTAAATGATTGTTGATTGAAGGACAGTTTACAGTTGATCTTAAGATGATACTATGTTTGATATGAATACATGTTAAAGAGAAAGAGGGAGAGAGAGACAGAAACAAAAGAGAATGTATATGAATAAGAAAGAGAATAAGTTCAATATAAATCCGAATAGTTGCTTTTGTTGTCTTTGGTCAACAATAGAAAGAAGTAATGCTGATCCCTTTCGTTGTCGTCGTCTTCTTCTCTTAATTATGTATAAAAGTGATTAATACTGTCAAACATACAAACAACCAAGTGAAATTATTCTTTAAAATAAATGCATAGTTTTTCTTTAACAACAAATCACTTACTTTTACTTTTTAGTATTTCGAACTAAAATTTTTCTTATAAAGATTCATTTCCAGTCACTTTCTTTTTTACGTAAAGTAAGAAAAACGAAATAAATAATTATTTATTACCAATGATGATACTGCACAGATGGCAGACATTTGAGATATGTTGATTATGGGCGACATCAATATTCTGTATGATAATTTTATCTTTCTTTTCAAAAGTGCGATGATCGTTTCTGTGTATAGAAAATTTACTATTGTATTGATTCCAGATTCTTAACATATGAAGAGATCACTTGAATGTAATACGAAACATGTTGATCTATTAAGTACAATTGATTTCGATTAAAAACAAGGTCAAGTGATTTGTTTTTATTGCCTTGAATTGCATATATATATATCGAGTCAGATCGGAATCATTTCAAAAGATAGTTAAGATAACACTAAACTACATGATTCAGTTAATCATACATAGATTCTCTATAATAGAATGTAGACGTGATATAAATAGCGGTTCACAAATCTTCAATGACATTTATTTGTATCTATAATTCTATAAATGATGATCATTCAGTATTAGTTAATGTAATTTTGAGTCATTTTTTCTATATCGTCTTAATTATTCTTTATAGAATTGCTAGCTATACAATAAGATAATCATCTTATATTGTCATTTCGAAATAGTTTAATAAAATCTGACAGCTATTACTGTATAAATAAGCACATAGATTTTATTATAATCTTATATCTAGAAAATAGCCAGTGGCATATAATTTACTTATATTACACAATAGTCTTTAGATTAATAATCGTAATATAGAAGAAAGAAATGGAGAATAATACAACAAAAAAAAGCAATTTAGTTATTTTAAACGTCAAACTATCGTAATCATTTAGTTTGGCTCGATCGATACATATATTTCTAGAGCAAATATGTAATAGTGACTTCTTCTATGTTCTGTTTGTCTTCAATTAGTCTCCTTCTGTCATTATTATTCGCTACACAACATACTTTTTTTTAAATTGTAAAATGACATCGTTTGCTCTCATTACAAAATTCTTGATTATTAATCTTATTGACTAAAAAACTATAGCTTTTATTAATATTCAATCAGTTTTGCTTGATCAAATCATAGTTATACTATAAACCAAAAAAAAAGAAAAAAAAAGACAGAAATCTTCCATCATGAATATTCAGTAAGGCTTTTTGTTTTTATTAATATGTATGTATATATTTATGTAATGAGCAAGAATTTTTTTTAAATAATTCATTTCATCTGCTTTGCGCAATTAGAACAGAAAAAAAATCAGTAAATATATTTTCTTTTCTCTGTTTTTTTTGTCTGGTACTTAACCAGGAAACACACGTTTAAAGAAGAAATGTATAGTTCATGATACAAAAGAAAATCCTAGCTCTAAAAGAAGAAGAAGAAGAAGACATTAATATTTGTAAGAAAAAAAGAAATGCTTTTTGACAAGAGAAAAAAAAGAACATCAAAATTATTTCGTCACTATATATGTATATATGTATAATAAACGAGACAAGATATAGAATAATATAATCACGAACAGAATATAGAGATTGAATGACATTGAAAAAAAAAGAAAATTTTGTGTTGTTTGATTATTATTATAACAGACAATGATCATAACGACTATAAAGATTAAATAATAATAATAAGAAAGAAAGAGAGAGAGAAAGAAATGCAATTAATGTTATTTTTGATTATTTTATAATCATCACTTATTTTATGTGTCACCGTTATCATTTGTTTGCGATTCATTTGATTTTTCATCTTCTTTAAAACTTTCATCATTAACTGTTGCACTAGCACTTGCTTCATCGCCACCACCACCTGATGTTATTGTTTCTGGTTTACCAGAGTCTGTTTTTGGTTTAGCTTTATCTTTAAAATCGAGTTTTTTACTTTCAATCTGTAAGAAAATAAATAAATCAACATGAATTTATTAATTTTAAATAAAACAAAACAATTATGTATGTACTTTAACTGAGCCACCGCCTGGTTTATGATGAGCATTATCAAGCGAACCAACTTTTGATTTGGCATTCCAATTTAGCTTTTGATTTGGAATCTAAGAGAATCACATTTAGCAATGATGAGCATTAGCTGCACTTACAAGAATTGAATTATGTAAAGGATGTGATCGTATCACATACGATTTCTGAGGATATATAAGGATACAAAAACTATTAATTTAGATATAAACATATCAACAATAGACGATGATTTTAGAAAGCATTGAAAGAAAAATAATCAAGAGATTTGTTTAGTTTTCATTTGAAGTCTTAATTTTATACTGATATTTTACCTTTACAGTACCACCAGCAGGTTTATGTGTTGCATTTTGAAGAGATCCAACTCTAGATGTAGCTGAATTCCATTGTGGTTTAGCAGCACTTGCCTACAAATATAGAAATAAATAAATAATAGAAATATCAAGAAAGACTATTTTCTTACTGTTGTTGTTCCTGCAGCACCATCAGCAGCAACTGAACGTCCTGCGCGTGATGTACTATCAGCTGTTGATGCACGATTTGCACTATTGGAACGTTTAGGAGCAACACTAGTTGATGTACTAGGTGTTGTTGAAGGTCTTGAAGCTAAAGAAAAGAAATGATTTATTTGATATAAAAAAAAAAGATTAAAATCTTTACCTGTAGCACGAGTTTGTGATGTTGGTCGTTCTTTAACAACTGTTGTTTTACTTGTCGATGCAGTTGTAGATCCACGTGATGCAGCTGTTGAATGTGATGAAGCACCAGTAGCAGTACTTGAAGTTGCTTTTGCTGGTGGTTTTGTTGATGGTTGTGGTGGTCGTGCGCTGACTTTTGTTGTTGAAGCTGTTGGAACAGTAGGTGATGAAGGACTACCTTCCGGTGCTGTGGAAAGTATTGTTGTTTGTTGATCAGATGGTGATGTTGAAGTGGGAGGTTTTGGAACTACTGAAGAACGTATTGGTTTTGTTACTGGTTTAACTGTTGAGCGCGATGCTGCCGTTCCCGTTGCTGCTGTTGTGGTCGAAGTAACAGGTGGTTTAGGTTTTGTTGCTGTCGATGCAGCTGAAGAAGGTTTAGGATGAACATCACGCTAGGAAAAGAAAGAATAAATTCATAGTTTGTTACACCGAAATAAGTTGTAATATTTACTGTTGGTTTTGAAGTTGCTGATGATTCGGGATTAGGAGACGTAGGTGTTACTTTTGATTTCGTAGAAGCTGTTGTTGTTGTTGTTGTTGTTGCACTTGCTGTAGGTGCTGAATGAAGCGTTTTACGAACTGTCGTTGATGGCTTTGTTTCAGTTGTTTTTGTTGCTGAAGTGGTTGGTTTATGCTCTGTACTTTTTGAAGTAGCAGCAGCAGCAGAAGCAGTTGGTTTGTGTTCTGTGCTTTTTGATGATGCAGCCGTAGTAGATTTATGTTCTGTACTTTTTGATGTTGTAGTAGCTGATGCCGATGATGGTTTTGATTTTGCAGCGCTTGTTGGTCGTGCTGTACTAACAGCAGGTTTTTTTGCTGGGGATGTTGTTGGTACAGTTGTATTTAATTTTGGTGAGGTAACTGATGGTTTTTCTTCCGTTGAAGATCCCGATGGTTGTTGTTCTGTATTGAATGATGGTGGTGGTTGTCTCTCAGATGTTGGTGATGGTGAAGTAACTAAATCAACTTTTGCTGCTAATTCTTGTGCAGCATGATCAACTTCATTATATACGTCATTTAATAATTGTTGTTCTTGTTCAGGTGATTTTGGAGATAAAGGCACATTTTCATCATTATTTGTTGATTTCATATTAAATGCTGGATTATTAAAACTTGTTAAATTAATTTCTTGTTCTTGCTGATTTTTATTATCAGTTGGACCTTCGAAATCAAAAAGATTTTCAGTTTTATTATTTTGTTGAGATGATGATATATCAGCAAATTGTTGAAATGGATCATTCGATGATGTGACATTTGTATTAGTAGAATTTTCTGAAGGAGCAGGAGGAGCTTCAGGATCAAATTCAAGTAAAAGTGCATTTTGATTTGTAACACTACCATTTAAATACGATTGAGGATTTAAAGATGAATCTTCAGATTCTTCATTTTTATGTGTTGAAAATTCATGATGAGCAGCTAATATATATATCAAAAATATAAATATTGATTATATATTATCTTATTAATCTATACCTGTTCCATTTTCATTAGGATCTAATGGAAATAGATCATTTGTTAATGAAAATTCATTAGCATTATTGTTTTTATTACCATTTGTTTCATCATGATGAATTTCTTGACCATTATGATTACCAAATGGATCAATATCATCTAATAAACGATGTTCATAAGGTTCACTTGGTTTTGATTTAGTCGATGGTGATTGTTGATCAAACGAAACAAGTGGATCATCAAGTAAATTATGATCCGACATGAATAATCGTTCGAATCTTATATATAGATATATATATATATTAATCTATAAAATAAAAATACATGATTAATTTTCAACAATAATGTCAGTTATGAATATTAGAATAATTCAACAAATGTACATACATCGATTTAATCAATAAAACATCTATAAATATATATGACTAAAAACAGATGCTCAAATGTCAAGCATTATAACTATAATTAATAAAAGTATGGGATGATGACTACCTACATAAAAGACGAATCATGTGTCATGTACAACTACTGTTTTCTCTTTTTTTTTTATATATGACACTTAATTTATTTTCACACCTCTCTTGACCTTTTTTTTGAACATAAGTCGACACATGCTTGTTCATAGACACCTGTTGATACTCTATTATATGTACTTCTAATAGAAGAGAACTTTCTTTTATATAATGGATATATAATCTAAGGGGTTATAAATATAAATGTACTATAGGATATAAAATTAATTAATAGAAAAATTATTGTTTTATGATAGAATTATTTTAAATTTCATGAGAAATTTATACAAACCTATAATTAAAAAAATATAAAATGACCTTGTTATTGATATATATATTAGATGTCTCGTTCGTTCGTTCGTTCGTTCGTTTGAACATCTATCAAAAGCGAACCGATGAATAGGCTATTTGATAGCCTTCTTCATAAACTAGTAAAAAAACAAATAGAAAATGATAACAAACGTTCGATTGTTATTGATCATTTCTATTCTTCACACAACTATGAAAAATAAGGGATCAAAATGTTTGTAATTGCATTTTATACTAAAAATATATAGACAAAATATTCGAAATATTTATATAGAAATAGAAGAAAATAGCTTACCGAACTGTTAAGAAAACAAAAGTTTATTACTATGAAAGACTCGACAATAATAATTGTCTGAAAAAAAGTGAAGAGAAAATCTGTGTTTTCTTGTTTTTTTTTTCTCTGTTTGTCCTTCTTTTCCTTTCCTTTTACATTAATCAAGGATGATTCAGCGATACAACACAATGGTAGTATAAGTATGAAAACAAAAATTGCTTTCTCACTTGCCCGACTCATTTTTTTTTCTTCTCTCTCTCTCTCCGTCTTTCTTTACTTCACTCCATTGCTGCTGCCTCCGCCACCCTAGCAAATGTTTGATCTACTATACTACGTACACTAACATATGAAAATGAGAAGAATAGAAGAAAAAAAAAAAGCAATGGCTACAACTCACGCAGAGAAAGCGAATGGAAACTCATCATCTGATGATGAGGAGAGAAAAAAAAACGAGCGAACGTGATGCGATGAAAGAGTTCAAGATGAACTCTTCTCTTTTTCTTTTGCTAAATTAACCAAACTGAAATTAAGTTAGCACATGGTCAATATCATTCAGTTTTCAGAGTGATCGAAGAAGTGTGCAAAGAACATAAATATATATATATATACATAAGAACACTGAAAACTAGCGACAGACACTATACGCTCTTGCTCCTTCATTGATTCAATCTATAGAATATATTAACATGATTTACAAAACATGAGACAAGGCTACTGACTAATTTTTTTCTTCCCTCTCTCTCTCCCTCTCTATTCCTCTTTTTCCTTGTCTACTAAATAAAGAGCAAAAAAAAATCTCAAGAGAACTAGTTAATGATGACATCGATCGATAAACGAGAATATAAGTGAAATAAAATATTCCTTCTGTTGTTATATAAAGATGAATACAAAATGAAAAGAAATATATTCTCAATATGAACCAGATTTCCTTTTTATTTCTCTCATATAAATAATAAAAGATTTTACTTGCATTTTTTTTGTTATGTGAAATCTATATAGTACAACACTAAAGAAAGACAAACGACATTAACCTATAAACGTGTATAGTAAACGAGAAAAATGGACCATTACTAGCTGACCACATTTCTTCTTTCGTCTGTATTTTATCCATTCATTGGTTGGTTGACAGTAGATGACGCCATGAGTTGGACCTTGTAATCTACCGGAATTGAACGCGAGGGAGAAAAAAAAAGGTGAACTTCCGTTAAACGACTACCGTGAGAGTTCACTTGACCGAGTTCATTTCAAACACAAAAATTATTTCTGCAATGTAATTTTGTACATGGTCGATCAAAAGACTTGTAACTGTACTTTATATGTGTAACTAATATGATATCAATGTTTATTAGAAAGAAAGAAAAAAAATATATTTATTTAAAATATAAAAATAAGCGTTAAAATTGTTATTACTTCTGCTGAATAGATAAACAAAAGCCGACATTATTTTCTATGTGTTCTTTTTAAATAATTGATTTTTAGTTCAATCATTCTTTCGATTTATTGAACAGTAGAGTACAGGATGTTTATCAGTAAGATGATCAAGATAAGCTTTGAATCGATATAAACATGATGAAATTGATTTTTAGGTGTAAATATAATGACTATTGATGACATCCATTAATTGAAAGGCATGCTACACATTTCCTCTACTCAGATAAAACTTTAGGTTGAGATTTTCCCGGTTTACATACGTATTGAATCAACATGATCTTTCAATCGTTCTTGTAATAATGACATAACTGTTGTGTTTTGTTATCGATTACATCAACTACGAAAGAAAGATTTATATCGATTTCATTATGTGCATTAGGGATTCGATTTGGATAATACATTAATATTGGAATTTATTTGTTGCAAGTTCGTTTAAACACTCGATAATATGAAGATCATTAGTGTTAAAAAATATCGCTATTCGACAAAAAAACATTTTGATTAATTGATAATTTTTATCTTTTTTAGAACGAAATACTGTGTCTTAAAGTATCACTCGTTTTTACATTGTCTTTGCTTGATTATTACAAGACAAGAAAAATAATATCACACGACAGGTCAATATTTTATAATAAAGTCTCTTAAAAACCAAAGAAAAACAAGTCGTCTTCTGGTTTTTATAGTAATATTAATATATAAATTTCATATCATGGAACATTCATACATTAGATCAAGAGGAAGCCAATGTACAGAGTATGAAAAAATAATGATACCATAAAAAAGATTTTTGAAGTATGTTTGTTTAATCATACAATAAAAATAATTTTACGGTAAAGAAATATCTTCTTTTTCTCACTCGTTTCTACATGTGAAATGTTTTATAACACAAAACTATTTATCTATATTTGTTTTCTTCTTTTATCTCGATAGCTGATGTAGAAGAAAAACATTCCTTAGTCTAAATATGAACAGTCTATAGTATGATATCTATTACAATCATCAGTATATTCTATAAACAAGAATATAGTGTCGAATAGAATCTAAATATAGCATATGTTACTCTATGATATAATCAGCTTATATTCTTATTATTATAAAATATAGATCCGGATAAGTTAATAATTTAAATATATTTTTATTATAAATATTCATATATACGTTCGAATTATTTTAAAATAGAGAAAAGAAAAAAATTGCTTATACATTCTCATTTTTTTCTAATCTTTCGCGTGATATTATCTTAGTTCGAAGTAAATTATCTGATATTTGTATTACATAATCAATTTTTCCTTCAATTAAATCAAATAATTCTTCTAAACGTGCAATTCTATAACGTAATTGTGCCCATTGTTGTATTGTACAAAAATGTCTTGCATGTTCATTCCATTCTTGTTCTTCATTAAAATTTATAAATAATTTATTTCCAAGAAATAAACTTTGTAATGTATGACGTTGTCGATCTTTATCATTATGTGCATATTTTAAAAATGTGTCAAAATCGCTTTTCGATATTAATTTTGTCATATCATGTGCAAATGTACGTCGAAGTTCTTCATAGATTGATGATGATGATGTTGCAGAATATTTTAATTCTTGTAGAAGATCACGAACTGTTCTTGTATTTGATAAATCTTCTGCACGCATTATAAATTGTATAATAACTTTGACTTTTTTCCAAATACGAAGTCTTTCAAAAAATATTTGAATTGAATGTTTTATAAATGGTGTAACATCGATTAACATTTCATTAATTATATCACGATGTTCATTACCTAATTCTTCATATGAATCAACTATAATAGCCTACATAAATATATCGATCAATTTATAAGAAGAAAAAAATTAATATATAATTATAAAGAACATACTAAAACCATATTGAATAGCATAAAAATCATTGAGAAGATATCTGATTTATATAGAATTAAACTTTAAAAATTTGGAAGGAATATGAGCAAAATAACTTACATAGAAAGAAAAATAATGGTCCTATATATGGTGAAGCATTACTGATATCTTCATAATCGAAATCACCTAGGACAGTACGAAAAAGTGCAACGAATGCTTTACCAATAGTTGAAAATGCTGGTGCTTGTTGACCAAGTGTTAGATTACCAAACTAAATATAGATATGAATGATTTTCAAATTTATAATAATGCAATCAATTTTAGCAATTATATTGAAGGTTTTGAACTCTATAAAATTGCTTACTTTCAGGAATCTATAACTAATCCAATAGATCTTAGACTCATCAAACTGTATCAACCAACTATTCAGTTTCTCACTATGGGTCATGGAAAATACATTAAGAAGCCTAGTTGATAGATTACAACGAATATACATCATCTAAACTCAAGTTCAAAATGCGAGAAATAGTCGCTTAACTTCTAGAAGCCGAACGTTCCTTCCAACGAACATTGCGATAATGACTATAGAAATTTTTTCGCAGACTGATAAAGTATGAGAGATTATAAAATGAGAAACAAATCAGTCTGAACTGACTGTCCAACGATTAAACAGATTTTTAAAACCTATATTTTCTTAAATGTCTTGTTCACTAAGCACAACGTCAGACTATCTGGTGAAATCATCCCGGGGATTTTAAACTAAATAACCCAATGATTACTAAAATAATATGTAACTGTGATATATTTCAGGAAAAAGAGGCATCCTCTTCCATGGTTGAAAAACCTCCCTCGGCTTTTAAGAGTTGAGTTAAATTTACTTGTGCATAAGCTATCATAATTGCAACAAACATAACAAGAAAACCAATAAGATCTCCAAAACATCTTTGAATTGTTGCTTTTATTCGAATAAGTGTGATAGAAAAATCACAATATTTTAATATACGTATAATACTAATTGATGTAAGAAGTACACTTAAAGTATCAAATATTCGTTGAAGACGAAGTAATTTAATAGTTAAAGTATCAAATGTTGATATATATATTGACATTTGACCATTTAATGTTGAATTAATAATAAAAAGACGTCTTATATTCACAATTATCAATAAAATCGAGATTATCTAAACAAAATTACGATTTTTTTCTTCTTCTAAATTTATACTTACTAATAGAATTAGATCAATCCAATTCCAAAAATTAAGAAATATTTTTAATTTCATTTGTATTATTTTTACAATCTCCATAATAAGAAATATAATAGTAAATGTCACAATAATAACTTCACATGTTATTAGAATATATTTCATTGAACTAACATACTATAATTAAAACTAATAAAGATTAATAAATTTTTTTCAATTTCTATTTACTCTTAATAATTGTCTATTTTCAATTTTATACGATGGAAAAATTCCACCTGTTAATGGCATTTCAAAAACAAGTTTTATATAAGAAAATAAATTAACACTTGGATTATATATTATTATATCAATAAATAAAGCTCGAGTTGCTTTATCAAGCCAATGAAATTTTTCTAATTCATTTAAATCATTTGTAAAATGTTTATTTGTTCTATCATATTGAGCAAGATCTGCAACATATCCGCTACCATCATATTTTCCATATTGACCAGTATATGAATCCATTTGGGTTTCATCGAGTGTCATATAACGCCATGCTTGTTTTAAATTAATATTTGTACTATCACTAAGTGTGATAGGACCAACTATCGAAAAAAAAATTTCATAACAATAAATAATTCTATATGATTAATCTAGTAATTAGATATTAAATAAACCTATTGGGAATGCAATAATGAAATCATCGACAGTCTCTTTGATCGATTTTTAGTAGAAGAATTTTAGTACAATAAATCGATCATCTGAATTTAATCTATTTGAGAAGCGTACTAATCAATACTAGAGTTTCAATCTCGAGAATGTTCGCTACTACAACCTTATGATTCCTATCATCGTGAAACCAAGAATATGAGAAATGATAACTTGTACATCTTCACTCTATATTTCATTAGTTCCTAGAACTATTAATAGTCGCTTTGATATATCATCGATAATAAAAAAACTTACAAGGATCTGTATCTTTCTTTTCTGATGAATATGATGGATAACAATCAGTTATTTCATCAGAATATGATTTTGGTATATTACATTTTTCCGCTTTAACACGAACTTGTCTCATTCGAATAACACCTATCATTAAAAAATGATCAAGTATCCAACGAATTGAACGTTGTGATGTAACACTTGGATTTGATTTCCATATATGTGAACGATAAAAAACATTACCAATTGTTTCATTCATAAATTGCCATATCTTAAAAAAATATTTTTTTAATCATTTGAATCCTTTTGATGAAATAACTTACATCTTCAAAGGTTGCAATTTGATGAAAATTAATTTCAAATGCTTTTCGATATTTATTTCGTGCATTTTTATATGGATTAGAACGAAGATCTCGTTCAAGCCAAGTAGATTTAACAGAAAATTGAGCATTTATTAAATGATATTCAAATGTATTTGTAATTAAAAAATAATGTTGTGATTGAGATAAAATAGCAACAATAAATATATTACTAACGAAAATCATATAAATAAAAAATGCTCGTAATACTAATTTAGCATGTTGATGAGGATTTTCATCTGCTTCTTTTTGATCAATATTGAAAGAAAGAAAGAATTGAATAATTTTATGAAATTTTGATTTTTTATTTGTTTGAGTATGTAATGAAGATATTGATGGAAATGAATCAATTGATTTAATATTTGTCGTGAAAGACATGATAATTGATATTGATACACAAATCGCCACATTTCAAGAATAAAAATTCAACTATTCCGTATCGTCTATAATTATCATATACAGTTAAAACTAGAGCGCCTTCTTTTACAATAGAAATGTCGAGATATTCATATGCATACTAATTAATAGATACCTTACGATTCTCTACAATTGTTTTATAAAAACTTCTAAGAAGCTTATTAGATATATTTTAAGTTTTCTTAAATATAGATCTAACTAGCAGACAGAATCGAGTTAATCAAGTATTTATCTAGCATAAAGTTCTGTAATCAAAAAACAATAGTCTAGAAATTTTAGTATACAGTTGCACGTGATTATAACTATACAATATGTCCAGAGTGGTTCAAAAAAAATTACTGTGATAGGTAGATTTAGAAAAATATTACAAAAGAGAAATAGTTTTATTTCGAAAACGTTTCACCATAGATGGGCACAAAGAAGAAATTTATTAACCCTTTCGCTCTCGGTAACACATATATGTGTGGTGATGCATATTTTGTCGAATAAAGGTCGTAATACTATATATTTCAAGTGATTAGAACAGCTTCTTACCGTTTGTTTGATAGTGCCAAAGTGATATAATTCTTCTCTTTTCTTTTTATTGATCGTTTTATTCGTACACATTCCATCTTGAGAGTGTGGATGGATAAGAATAATATCCACACCCACACTCTCAAAAAATGAAATTTCTTTGATAAATATTAGTTTTCAAAACCTTCTTTCTCTCACAAAAAGCCGGGGCCAAAGGGTTAAATAAGTTTTGTAGGAAATGACATAGGAAGATGAAGACGCACGAAATCATATACATAAAGAGTTTTTAGAACGCTTCCCTCAGAGTTTATGTAAAACTTCGAGAAGCACTGTATGCCATCAGTGCAGTGTTTTTCCTTTCGAGAGTGCGATAGCGATTTCCGGGAGGGCGAAAAACTAATTTCTGGAGGAAAAATACATAAAATAAGCACAAAAATTGAAATTTTCGAGAGGGCAAAATCGGTCTCTGGCAGGGCGCCGTCATCACTGCCCTCCCTCCGGATAAATCAATGGTCGGGATATTGATTCTTTTAGCCATAGCAGTACGTTTGAATCATCTTGTAGATACATCTATTCTTTTATCGTATAATAAATATGATTTAGAATATATATTTGCAAATCATGAAATAGCAATTAATTAATTTTTTGCTTAAAATAGCATCGAAGAGAAAAACATTTTCTTATTTTTATAACATAAATACACTGATTATCGATGAAGATACTTTATCTAGAGGTTATCTTGTACTCATTTTTTTATCAATAACTCAAAACAGAAAGACGATTATTATAATTTACAGTCACTGTTTATCATCAGTCTTCATTCTCATTCTATATTGTAAGATAATTAACTATATAATAAATTATAACAAACATGAATATCTTTACATTTTGTTTTTCTCTTTAACATTTAAAAATAAAGATATATAACTATACATGTAAAAGACATGTGATTATTCTCCAAAATAACACAAAAATACGCGAAAAAAAGAAAACAAGAAATATAAATATTATACAGAAAAGAAAAAGATTATTTAATTCTATATATCTGAATAGATACAAATCAAAAAGAAAATTTATTTTCTTGTATTTGATCCATGATCATTTTGTAAATGTATTAAATAATCATTACATGAATGAAAGCGTTTTGGACAAAATTGACATTCAGTTATATTTAAATGATCAGCAGCAACTTTAGCTAAACGACGTTGTCGTTCATCATCAGATACATTGGATCGAAGAGAATTATTTCCACATGACATACATTCAAATAATAAACCTTTTTGTTTAGGAAATTCATGATGTGTGATATCGATTAATTGTGTTGTACCACAACGTGTACATATTGGTTTTATTATTTGTTGATCTGGTTGTTTAGATAATTTATTAGAATTTTGATCTGATTTTTCTTGATTAGATGTAAAAAATGATGCTTGAAAATCATCTGTATTCATTTGAATTGTTATGAATTGAAAATTAAATAAATTGAAATGAACATTTTGTTATTTATTTTCTTTAAGATAGATTAACTAGGTCATTATTTAATAGAATCTTCCAATGAAACTTATTTAGGAATCAATGAATTAAAAGAGATGTCGCATCTATCTGAAGATTAAAAAGTTTATTATCTCATGAACATTTCGAATTTATTTATGATAAAACTCGAAATCAATGAGATACAATAACAAGTTTTATAGATTCAAATATTTTTTTTTAAAAAATTTTTTTTAAGGAAATAACGAGAGAACATATTTGCATGACGGAAATATGAAAAAAAAGTGCATAATATACTTATGAAAAGTAAACTACGTTGTTTTGAAAATATTTTAATTAATAAGAAATAATATTTTCCAAAACATCGGCAAAATCACGCGCCGTTTTCATTACATCAAACGTCATAGTTGAGTGCGTTTTGTCCACTCTACGCACTCTTCAAACGTTTTTATTGCGATAACTAGTTTTCTGCATATTAAAAATAAATTGTCTTTTGATAATTTCTTCGGAAGTATATATCATCAACAACTATGACATACCCAAAAACATTACTAATCTTATTTTTTTCTGAATAATTTCAAAAATAAATCTGCTGTTATTCGATGATATATCCATTGGTGTAATACGAAAATATATATATATGTTTATTTTGATATATTTCTATTCTAAATATTATTTTAGTTATATCAAATAAAAATTAATACAAATAAATTTATTAGTATAAAGTAAAAATACAATTTAATTGAAAATTTTTAAAAAAAAAAGAGGAAGAGTGAATATTAAATTGTATCATTTTTTTTTCGTTGCCTATTACAATGTTGATTATATATGAAATTTAAGATTGCACATCGAATAACAATCTTACTTGTGATTGTAAATTATATGGATCAAAATGTTCATCATTGATTTGAGAAGAATAATACTGTTGTTGTGTTTGTTGTTGTTGTTGATGATGATGTTGTTGTTGTTGTTGTTGTTGATGATGATGATGATGGTGTTGTTGTTGTTGTTGTTGCAGGTGTGCTTGTTGTTGTTGATGTTGCATAGAAAAAGTATTGATCTGAAAATCTGGTGGCGTTGATACAGATGATGTTACTTGATTTTCTTGCCAAATTGATGATGAATATGGATTAAGAAAATGTTCATAAACATCAACATCACCGGTGCCTAATCGAGAATTTGTTATAGATGAATTTGTTAATTTATCAGTTGATGATAATGTAAATCTTTGATTATCGTTTGTTCTCGTTGGTGGTGGTGGTGGTGTTGATGACGTGAATTGATCATTTGTTTTTGATGAAAAACCATCGGTACTTAAATCGAAATCAAATTGATGATTAGAATTTATTCGTTGTTCATCAATAGAAACAAGTTGAAATTCATCAAGCATAGAATCAACATTCTCAACACATTGCGGTTGCCAGGAATCATTCTTATCGAAAGATGGTAGATGCTGATTGGAATTTAATGGCGGAGGATTTGTTGTGGTTGTTACAAAACCTGATGGTGTTGGGATATTAGACCATGAAATCGGTTTATTGATTAAATTTAATGTAGGAGTAATAGGTGAGGTTGTTGTTGATTTTCCGATAATTTCTTGTCGAGGCGATGTAATCGCAGCTGAATGTGGTCTATTAAGGAGAGGTTTACGATTACGATTACGTTTTAGAGTGACATTAGTCGTCGATTTTGATCGATTTCTTTTTTTACTATTAGCCGTTAGCGGTGTTTGTAATACTGTATTCATTTGATTTTGTTCATTATTTGTTGGAAAAACAACTTGTTGTGCAATATTCACAACATCCTGATGAGTTAAAGTCGATCCGATTGGATCATAATCGGATTGTGACTGTTGCTGCTGCTGCTGCTGCTGCTGTAGTTGTTGTTGTTGTTGTTGCTGCTGTTGTAGCTGCTGCTGCTGCTGCTGTTGTTGTTGCTGTTTTTGATAAAGTGGTGATAACCATGTTTTAGTTGTTACTGTTCCATTTTGTACCCAAACAAGTTGAGATGATGGTTGTTGTTGTAACTGAAATTTTGTTGGTAATTGTGTGGTATCATTAATCGATATATTTCCATGACCATTAATTACATCCTCTATAGTTTGATCAATTTCTGTATTGCTTACAGTTGTTTGTATTGAAAATGGTGAAACTAATTTTACTGTTGGTGATTTTAATGTTGGAGTAGGTGAACATAATTGATCTTCTTCAATCATAAATGCTGATTGTTGTTGTTGTTGTTTGGAATCATCTAAAGAAAATTACAGTTTTTTTTATATATTTTCAAAAAATAACAAAAGAAAAACATTTTTTCTTTTTCATACTTAAATTAATTTGATTATAAAATGATGATTGATCATGATTGATAGCATTTGGTATACTTGTTTGTTTTGTAATACGTTTTTTTCTTTGACGAGGATTAACTGAACCAGTACTACGTTGACGAATAATTGGTTTTTTCATTGTTGGAAAACTACAAGGTGAAAAAAACATGTGGCATAATATTTTTATTTTTCATGTAAATTACTTTGTTTGTTGTTGTGAAACAATTGTTGTTATATTTGGGGGTGAATCTGATGTTCTTATATTTGAAATTGAAAATGGTAATGATATTGTTGATGATGTTTGTCCTTGTTCTTTGATAGGCGTCATTGAAATCGATCGGTTTGTACGAATTTGTGAAGCAACAGCAGCTCGTTGAGCAATTGTACGATTAATTGGTGGTCGACAAACAATCGTTTGAGCTGTTAATGTTGCATTCGGTTGTTGTTTGATTAATGTCATTGTCGAACAATTTTGTTCATGGGTTAGATGTGGTTTTGAACAAGTAGGTACGAAAGCCTTGAATGTCGAGGCCGCTGACGATGTTGATAATGGATATGAAGGAATTGATGAAGATTGTTGTAAATCATTTGTATGTATTAATGTTTGTTTTGTTTGAATATTAGACAATGATGTTGAACTATATCAAACAAAAAATAAAAACATGTGAATTTTTCGTTTTTTTTTTCTATGTATATGTTATGCAATTTTTGTAAAGGTAGACGAATATTTTTTTCAACTGAAAAATATAAGAAAAGTTAATTAGAAGATGTTTATCGTTATAGGAGAATATTTTTCACTTAATTAATATATGAGACGTGAAGATAAGATCTACCTTTTTCTTTACTGATTTTTCATATACGACAAAAATATAGTTGTTATTAGTAGATTAATTTAAAATAAAGATATCACAGTGATCAAAACAAAGTATAGACCTTCTAATGAGAAAGAAAAATGTGCTCATCATAAAGTGTAAATGGTTTTTCGTCTCAAGTTAAAATGTTTGTATTCTTTTTTTGTACTATTTCAAGGAGAAATTATTCATATGTACCTAATACTTTTTGAAATCGGGGCCATTTGTATGTTTGATTGAGTATCCATATCGGATGATGGTGTTTGAATGACATGTTGGGAAGATAAATATTGTTGGTTTGTTGATGAACAGGTTGGTGGAGAATTTGGTGTTTGTTGACGTCGATATATAGGTGATAATTGTGTTTTAAGTTCAGTTTTTATATGTTGGATTGGTGGATGAGATGCTGTTGTTGTTGTTGAGGATGAGGATGAGGAAGAGGATGGAGGTTGTGATAAAGAATTAAATACAACGGTAGTTGTTGTTGATGATACATCATTATGATCACCTGTTGGAAGTGTTGTTGTTGTTGTTGTTGTTGATGGTGGTTCATTATTATTATTATTATTATTAGCAGATGAATGATGATAATATTGTTGTTGTTGTTGTTGATAGGATGAACCAAAATTTTGCTGAGGGTGTTGTTGTTGATGATGAATTGGATTGACAAGTAATGATGATTGATTTTGTTGAAAATATGACATTGATGTCTCAGTTTTACATGGTTTTGGTGATATTTCTATAAATAAATACAAAAAGCAAAACAAAATAACATATTTCTATATATAAATATATTTCATATGATTTTACTTTTATCAAAAATATGTATAATAAGATTTGGATTATTATCATTTATATTATCAGGCCATTCTAAATTTAAATATATTGTAACAAGATTATGTTCAATAATCGATTGTCCATTATTTTTTAATGGGACTTTATATGATTGAAATGGTTCACTATGATAAGAAGAAAAAAAAACTCGATCAATACCGATAAAAATAATCTTTTTTTTTTCTTTAACTTACCAACTAACCATTTTGATAATATTAACCAAATAGTAATGAAAGAAAATAACCAATTAATGATATTTCATAAAACATCAAACAATAAAAATTAATCGTCGACCAAATACCCTATATAAATCATACGACTGTCTAATATTATGAATTGTGGATAATACAAACGATTAAAACAAATGTGTTCTTTTTTTTCTCCCCGTTTTTTTTTATTCTGTTCATTCTATTCGCACGCTTCGCGTATCTTTACCTGAATCGATCGTTGCTATGTATGTGTATATGGATGTGTATATGTTAATGATAATGATGCTCTTCTGTATTCTCACTTGACTATGTGTTTCTTCTCGTTATTGGGTGACGACGACAACGCGTGTATGTATCATCTAAAACACAGAATGACAAAGATGATGACGGTGTGAAAGAAGACACAAGGACGTCATAAAATCAATCAAGAGAATCGAAGGTAAAGGATGCAACAACGCCTTCCTTTGTTATTCAAATACATATATACATATATATTTATTTATCAAAATTACAGTTATAAAAATAAAGCACAACAATATTATGATTGAATAACATTAATAGAATTTGTTTATTTAAAAAATTTGTTAACTAAGAAATTAGTTGGTGGTTTTATTTTTCTTATTAACCATTACTTAAACGACATATTATTATTCATAATATATATAAACTAGGCTTTTTTTTTCTTTTTATTAGTAAAAAAAATCTATTGAAAATTATATTTATATATGAAAAGAGATACGAATATCTATTCGAAATCTTTGCAGATAAAAATATATATTATAAAGTAATAGAAACATGTATTCATTCACTTACTTCAGAATATAAATAATGATTTGTCTAATGGATGATACGGGTCATTAAATCTTGCGCAGGCGGAAAAAATATTATTGCTGTTTATATTAATCACAAATATAACGATGAGTCATTGAATAAATCAACTTTGGTCTTGTTTTGAAAATATTTCGACAATTATAGATTGTTTCTTGTCTAATTATCAACTTGTATATTAGTATGTAGTAAAAATTGTTTATGATAAATATATCAAAGTATTATGAAGTTGTAAACTTAGTCATTGAATATTCAAAACGACTTGAAGGTGTTAGAAAAAAAATATTTTCTATTTTATCAGATCTATTATCTATATTATACGTTGTAGTTTAAAGAAGAATGTTGGGTTAGAGATAAACAAATTTTATTACTATTTGTATTCAATGTATAATAATGATCGACTATTCTATTCATTAAATATTACTATAGATTATTTAAAAAGTAGTAAGACATATTACAGTTGACATGAAAATTTAATTGAATGTAGAATGTGAGAGAAAAAAAAATAGAAAAGAGAAGCTTATTTTGAAGGACGAAATACTCATTATAAGAATAAAAATTAACGAACGATATGACGTCATGTATTTTCGTAACAGTTATTCAATAAAAGTACATTACTCGTACGCCATAGAAAAAAAACCAGTATGACTCGTAGTGAGATAGTTTCGATTAAACGCGAGTATTTTGAAATCGATCGCCAAACCAATCTTATCTATTCAAACAGATTCTTCATTCATTTAATGTCAATCTATGATATAGATCTGTACTACTTATTATTATGAACAGGTAGTTTGTCCTGATATTTATTATATAAAAAAACTTAATGAAGGTTCTACGAAGACTATCATATTCGAATAACCTTAATCTAATATATAAAGTTAAGTCTTATTTTCTAAAAGAGCAATATTTGTGTTTATCATTAGGCAAGAAAGAGTCAATAGAACTATAACAAAAGAAATCCAGTTAAATAAAAAAATAGAAGGTTAATTATCTATACTCTTATTCAGAAAAAAACAAACAAAACAAACACACATTTATACATGAGAAATACATCTAATGATTGTTCTGAATGAGTCTAGCAATAAAAAAATCATATGATACGTCAATTACCTTTTTGTATAAGCACGTTTCAATATTGCTATTCAAAGTCCAGTAAAAGAAGAAAATTTCGACGTTTCGTCATCTAATTAACCTTTAGCGGATAAATAAACCTGGATAGCGTCACAATCGTTTTATAATATTTTGAAACATATACATTATTATTACAACTGACTTTTACGAAAAAATCTGCTAAGGTCTAAAATTCTAGTAACAAAACGTTAGGTTAGAATCGGAAAATAATGCATCTATCGGACTTTCGATTGCAAGTGGGTTCGATCTATTGGAAATCAAAAGGCTGAAAGAAAAAAAAAGATCATCATTAGAGAATCAGTGAGATTTACTACACGACACTTTTTGTTACTCATTCAAGGTCATTTAGCTGAAGGCACGTCTGAAAAAACAAAAACGCGGTGATTCTATGTCTGCTATTATAAAACAATAGTTCTAAAAAGAAAATATTAAAACAAGATATGACATACTATGAAAAACTTCTAAACACACGTATCTATAAAATAGAAATTTTGGTTCATTTATGATTAAATATACGGAAAAAAGATACTTAAATTTTTTTCTAATAAAACCCATCTCCAAGAGGTTAAAGATGTAGTAATTTTACAGATTCATACATATATTAAAGTATATGTGATATCCTGAAATCTAAGTCTAAAAATATAAAGAGGTTTATTCTAGATTAAAAATTCTGACTTTTCACACAATCGAAGTTATGTAAGAATGTTATGTTATGCAGCCTATACTTAATCAGAATAGTTTAGTATAAAAAAGCATCAGTTTTTTCTAACTAAAACGATATTTGTATAATTTTCTTCTTAAATCTATTAATGAAAATTAATATTTAAGAGCAAGAAATCTTTAATTATAATTCATATCACTAGATTCAGTAAGTATGTATGATCAAAATACATACAATAAATTTATACTTAATAAAATATCTCATTCCTTTCAAGTGAAATTACGCCTGCAATGTCATGCATTTTCATAGTGAATACTAACGAGTGATGCAAAAGTTATTGCAAAATATCGTTACATTTTTCATCGAACATACTAGAATATGTTTCGAAAGAATAAAGAAGATGACACTTAAAGAATACTAAAATATCAGTTCAGTCTTACGAAAATTATAAGCATATAATTAAAAAGCGTTTTCAATGAAGAGTCGAAACAGGAATTTTTTATCTTTAAAAAACACGTCATAGCTGGGGAAAAATAAAATGATATTTTTTTCTAAAAATTTCTCATCATCTCTTAATTAAAATTTTTTCTTATGATGAATAACTATTAAAAATTTCGATAGATTATACTTACACATTCAAAATAGATAAAAAAATTTCTTATTCTAGAAGATACACATACTTGTTTTGTATTACGTTTTTGGTTCGAAAATCTAGATGAGTAAAAGAAAAAAAATAATTGTAAAATTCTTAAAGTATTATATAATAATTAAATAAGTAAATATCGTTAATTAAAATAAATATTTAATCTAATTGTTTCAATATGGGAATGTTCTGTTTTTCTTTTGAAAGAAAAGTAAAAACATGTGCAACATTTTATTTTTTTATTTTAGCTAATGTCGCTACTTAATATAATTTAATAACGTCGATAGTTACGCATACCGCAATAAGATATCATTTAACTTTTAGCGACATATTATTTTATCATTGGATAAAATACATAAGCAAATATATATTAATAATCGTTACTGTCTGTTCTTACATTTTATTTATCCTTCGAAAGGACGCTTTTTTTTTTGTCCATGCAGATATTGTATCTTATTATTGTATTAATCGTTTATAATACATGTTATGGTAAACAGAATAACGTAAATAAAAAATAAGTTATAAATATAATTATAAATCGTTATTTTGTTTTTTTATTTTCAGATGTCTACAGATAAAATTGCTTTGGTTACTGGTTATACAGGAGAATCAGGAAAAGCACTTGTGAAAGAATTAATTACTAATAATCAATTTAAAAAAATTATTCTTGTTGGTCGTCGAAAAGTTGATTATACAGAAAATGAATACAAAGAGAAAACGGTTTGCTAAGTTTTATTTTTCGTTACGTAAATAGGATTATCAATGAAGATTATAGAAAGAATAAATAGTAGTGGGTCTGAATATACGCAATAATTTATAAAACTTTTTTCTTGTTGTTAATCTTACTAGTAATGACAAGTATGTCAATTACGAAGAATAAAATGAAGGTAACAATAATGAAAAAATATATAAACAATATACGACTAATATATTTTTATTACACTCAAATGTACTACATGTATATGACTATAATTAGAAACTGATTTTTTGTTTAGTATTTCTCATTAATGTTGTTATTATGTTTGTTGATAATTTGATTATGAATTAAAATCTTCAATTTCCTTTTTATATTAATATAATACACTTTTCAACTAAGTAATAGCTTTTTATTTATGAGACATTTATTAATGGAAAAATGAACAAAATGAAATAATTATTATTCCTTGTTTTTGTTGAAAGATACTCATTAAATAGCTAACAGCTAGATTTTTTACAACGACTACTAGATATCAATGGAGAAAAGAAAAACATGAGACTCGATTTACAACTTCCTACTTTTGGATATCTGGAAATGTTTATAGAATATCATTGCAAGGAAAGATGATCAAATTGCGATTAGTTTTCTAAACATATACAAATATATATTTTATTGATTTACTCTAATGCTATTTCCAATTACAAAAACAAAAACAAAAATCAAGATTGAATATAATTTTCTTAGTAAACTAGGCTTGTTATACTACACTTTAATATTTAAACACTGGCGTAGCCAGGATTTTTACTCATAGGCTAAAACTTTTTGACCCAGCAAAATACTGATAACGTAGAAAAAAATAAAATGAGGTGTTTTTTAATCGAACATGCATTAAACTCAGATCTTAAGTCAGAGTTAGGTGTATTTTTAGTGTCTTTGTGTATAACATCTATGTTTCAAATTCAAACACCAAAATCAGAATGACGAGAATTCATTTGTATATAATTTAAGCAGTATCTAGTCTACTTAGCCTGTTTTGATTCATTGTAGACCGACAATAATTTTTAATTCTCGATAATTGACTGGAACTTTGCTCTGTGTTCTTGTTTCTCCTCTCTCAATTCTTCACAGAAAGAACAAGTAAAAAGTGCATGTGTGTTTCAAACAGAAGAAAAAAATACAGTCGCAGTTTAATTCAAAAGTAAATAAATAATTTTGAAACAGTACAGTTTTAATGGGTAAATTCCCATTTACCCCCTCACTACGCTACTGTGTTTAAATAAATTATTAGACTAATGTAAATAACTACATACGAAATTAATATTGTTTTTTTTCTCGTATAGGAACAACGTGAAATAGATTTTGATCAAATCGACAATTATACTGAAGCATTTCGTGGTGCTGATGTACACTTCTGTTGTCTTGGTACGACAAGAGGCAAATCTGGTGCTGTTCGTATATAAATTATTTTTCTTTTATTTTTTTTGTAAAATTTTTTTTTAGGAAGGTTTTCGTCGAGTTGATTTCGATTATATTGTTGGTGCAGCTCGTCTCGCTAAACAAGAAGGATGTAAACATTTTCATCTCGTATCTAGTCAAGGTGCAAATGAAAATTCATATTTTCTCTATCCTCAAGTGAAAGTACGTTTGAATATTGTGTTTTGTTAATCAAAATAAGTCTATTTATTATGTTTTTTCAAGGGTCAAGCAGAAGCAGCTTTAACTAAAATGTCCTTTCCACGTTTATCAATCTATCGACCAGCGTAAAATAATTCATCCAATATTATTCTTGATTTATAAAGAATTTCATTTTTATTTAGAATGTTAATGGTCGATCGTGTTGAACATCGTTTAATGGAACGTATAGCACAAAGTATTATTGGTCATACAGTTCAACGTATTGCACCAGAATGGATTACAACACCGGTTCAAATTCTTGCTCGAGCAATGTGTTTTAATTCATTTACTAAAGATCGACCAAGTGTTGAAGTTATTGATAATCACGCTATATTTCGTCTTGCTGAACAACAACCAAATCCATCAACAGAACAAACAAAAGCAACGAACGAACTTTAATTTTTTTTATATTTGATTTTTTCATAAATATGTGATATTTGATAAAGAGTTCGTGTTCTTTTTTTTAGATAAATATGGATGAAATTTATGAAAATAAATTAATATATTATGTAAGATAATGATTGTTTTTATTGATGTACAATGATTAATAATTTTCTTCTGATAGAGACGAATTGAAAAGAGAATTAAAGACGTGGAAGAAAATGAAGCAATAACAAATAAAGCAATGGAACAGATTCGTCAACAATCGTAGGATGAAATCTTTGAATTTATTAAATAAAAATTTTAATTTTTAAGTGAATCTAATCCGATAAGTTTCGGTCCTGCCAATGATTTAAGTAAGAGAAAAGATTTGATTTAATAATTAAGATTTTTTATTGAAATTTTTGTAATATTAGTTCGATTTTTTTATATTCTTGAGCAACAATATCAAAGTGATAGTGATGAAATACGAACAAAATCAAGAGAAGATTTATTAGAATATCTTGATCAATTTCGAACAACTAATGATGAAATTGACAACGAAGAAAATGATGATGAAGAAGATCAAGAACCAGAAGAATCAGTTGAAATACAACAGTCAGAACCAATATCTCTTCCTATGATAGTAAGAATAATTTTTATTTTTGATTAATAACTAATGTCTCTAACAAATGCAAATATTCATGACAAATATAACTGCGCATAAATTTGAGACGAAAATAAAATATGCTCAGTTGCTGTGTTAAAACACTCTTAATCATTTCGATGTTAATAATGAGTGAGAATAAACTATAAAAGTTCCAAAATTCATTGTTTCTTATTCGATCTCTAATATTTAACGATAAACATTACTTAACTTAATTTTAGCCACCATCTACAACAATATCTCCAAAAGCACAACCATTATCAACTCAATCAATACCATTGCAACTACCATCAGTTTTATCTTCAAAATCGCAACCATTATCAAATGAATCGTTACCAATGCAACAGCCATCAGTTGGTTTATCATCATTTGTACAAGCAGCAAATACAACACCTGTACTCTCTCAATCGTCATCTGATAAACCTCAATTATCATCAACCTTATCACCAGTGACTAGTCCCAGTTGCATCACACCAGGAACACTTAAGAACTATGAGAAATTATTATCGGAAGCTCAACAATATAAACAATGTTTCGAAACAATAGATAAGTCACGTAAAAGTCTATTAATAAGTTTTCTCAGAGAGACACTAAATAAATTACGTACAGATACATATGAAATTTTAAAAAGTGAATTATTTCAATATTTGAAAGGTCAGAAATCAAGAGGAGATATTCGTATATCAAGTAATGAAGGTAAATATTTTCTTCTTTATAAATTCATTGATTTTATTTCGAAATAAATATATTTTTAAGAGCGTTTATTATGTTTATCAATGTTTGCAAAACTTATTCTTCGTCAATTACTTGGTGGTGATCTGGATGATAAAAAAACTGAAGTTTTACTACCATTAATTCGTGATATTAATGAAAATAAAGAACAAAAAGAATTTCGTATTATATTTCTTGATTGTCTGCATGAACGTTGTCCATACACAGTACCATTATATCCAGAACGTACAGCAACAATGGATGATATAAAATATAAATTGTAAATAGATTCCTATGACATAATTTCATAATTAATTGCTTTATTTTTTTCAGAGCACTCGGTTATGTAGTAAAAAAAGAAGGTGATCAAGAACGTTTAGAAACAAATGACGAATTTCTCAATCGTATGAATGGATTTATTCGATTATTTTGTAAATTACTTGTTAATCGTATACCACCATTTGATGATGGTTCAACATTTGTATGGACATGGTGTTCTGATGTTTTAAATTTACCACCTAGACCAGATTTAACAGCACTTTTATTACGTGTATTTCTTCAAGAAGCTGGTGATATGATGATAAAAACATATCCACCACAATTTCAAAAAATAATTAATACAATTCGAAAGAAAGAGAATTTTGACAAAATAGTAACAGGTGCAAGTGAAAGTGAAAAATCGCAACTTGCACAAGCATTAGATAAATTTCCAAAAAAAACCTAAAGAAATTCTAAGCTTTGTATATTGTTAATGTGATAGAAAATAACAATAAATTTTTTGTTCTGTAAAACAAGATTAAAATCTTCTTTTTTTGTATTTAAAAAAATATCTTTACTATGAAGAATACATAAAGATAAAATATATACAATTTTCTTTAAATCTTCGTTGGAAAAGATTTCATAAGAATCTTTGAAGTAGATAATAACTGTACGTTCTATTGATTGTTGAATTATGAATTCATCACTTTGAACTGGTCAACAAAAGTGAGCTCGAAATTTCGAGTTTACAGATGTCTAGTTTTCAATGAAAATATCAGCTCAGAACTTGAACCGTCTGTTTCTAATTGCTCATACAAATACCCTTGGTTACTTTGAATCGACCGATGTTGTTCAAGAAAAAAATCATGGAGTTAAACGTTGGAATTTGTTGAAATACCACAAAGTCGTAAACTCCAAATTCCGAGCTCACTTTTTTTGACCCTTTAAACTTATTCAACTAGTCGTCTACTGAGTCAATTTGAAGTTGTGTGACAAATCAAACACAAAATAACATGCAACCTTTTTTATGAATAAATCTTATTTAAGAGAGTTAAATAATAATCAGACTGTCAATTGAACAGACTCGCGATAAAATGACGTAAAAGATCTGATTTTATTCGAAAGATAATTTGTAAGTTTAGTAAACAAATACTTGAAATGAAAGGACTAAAAAACGCAATGATGATTAAACCAAATTGTATGAAAACTACGTAATAAAATTCAATTAATGTATCAATGAATCGACTGATTGAAATTTACATAGAACAACGTCAGTTTTATAAATAATTTGATTTTATTCTTTTCATTTTTAAAACAGAGTTTCGCTAGATGAGGATCTATATATTTCTCTTGTAATCGATCTACTAGATTTACGTATGTAGGCATTAAGAGATACAATACTCAATTTACCATGTTGTGGATGGCTTATTTTCACATATATTATTAATAAATAATTTAGAAAAGTTTAATTAGAGTGTTTAAAATAAACTACTCACTGCTAATTATATTTCGAAATTATTAATTATAAGAGTAACTGTATGGATAAAAAGATATATATGACTAAATCATTTGTTGATACAATAAATAAGTTTTACAATGTGAATCGACGTAAATAATACATATATCTATAACAAGGCAAATATTTTACGAATATCAGACTATTAAATAACTCGTTAAATATTTGTCTCAAAATTGTAAACTTTGACAGAAGTAATTTTAGTCATAACTGTAAGATTATATTAGTATCAATTGTGCAAACATTTCATTGTATACAGAAATATCAATGATTTGATTCTATTATACCTATTACAGGAAATATTATTTTTATTGTTATAATTCAATTTATTTTGATTATCTGATATGATGAATGTTTTTAATAACAATCGTCAAGGTAGTAATCAATATTAAAAACCCTTGAATTTATATTTTCGAAAGTTTAAATAGTATTACTCATTTTCGACTTAGTGTTCAGGTCAGTTTGACATGTACTTGAATCTTTTTCTCTTATAACAATTGTGCCATTTTGTTACCCTCATAAATAATATTGTTGTAGAAGAAAAAAAGGAAAGAAAATAAAAGAATGTACTTCTCCAATACTTGTCAAGAAAATATTTTTTTCAGCTACGCATGTCGCTTTAGTAGAATATGTTTCGCATCGATTGGAAAGAAAGAAAAGGAGAAAATGATACTTGTAACAGTTATTAATAACCTGTATTGACGTTTCGAACTGCTACATAAACGAAAAAAATTATTTGCTCCTTATAAAGATGACAACTAATAGTCGCTTATTATCAAAAATATATATTTATTTCTTTTTTGATACTAGAAAATACAATGCATATTCGCAAAAAATCTTTATCTATGCTCCAGAAAAATATTCCCTCCATTGTGACCTTACCAGTCGAACTTATTTATCATATTCTTGATAATCTTGATATACTAACAATATTTATTTCACTTCGTAATGTATGCACAAGGCTGAATAATATTCTGGATAATTATTATAGATATAAAGTAAGTTTATATTAATCTTAATTAGTAAATAGAAATAATCAATAACGAATAAAAAAATTCTTTTTCTAATGTCAAGGCATAGATAAGATAGACAACGTGTTCGTACTAATTTTTCCTTGAAAAAAAATTACCTTATACCATCCATGCAATAATATTATTCGTTACCCTCTATATACATTTTAATTCGAGGAAAAATAATTTTGTTTTTTCATTAAAGCGAAGTATTTCAAGGTGAATACATATAAATTTATACTATTTCTTTTATGGGTATTTCGAAAAAATATTTTATTTATTAACCGAAATTAAAATAATTAAATGTTAGCATATACTATCAAAATTTGATTAATTTAATATATTAAATCTTCTATTAAGACATTTACTATACTCAATCTTCATCGTGAAAAACTCAATGAACAACAATTCCAATGCCTATTCAATGCATTACGAAATAATAAAGTGAAACTGATCATATACATTAATATACCTATATATTTATCATATACTTTTTAGACAGTAACAGAACTTCACCTTGATTGCAATAGAATAGATAATCAAAAGACACACTATCTTGTTGATGCATTAAAAAATAATACAGTAAGTCAATAACATATCTTAAATAAATATACATATATATGCCCTACTAAAGTTATACTGTCTGTCGAAATTATCTGCATGATATAGCATGTATTTAACTACATTTGTTGATCAGTATAGATTTGAATGATATGTGAGAAATTGTCAAGTATTTTGAGTATCAACTGATACATATTGATCTTTTTGTTGTTTTCATGTTTCATTATTAATTAGATTTTTATGCTGAATAAGTCTTACCCACCAAACATAGATCATAAAAAAGAATATATAAGAAAATTACTACGGAAATAATAGGATCATGTCGCATGAATGATTTTCAATAAATCTTATTCTGAAGCAAAACAGGTGGATTATTAAAGTTGTTATTTTTATTAAATGGTCGTTTTCAATTCCCTCGATAATCAACATAAAAGAATATATATCAAAAAGGAAATTGATATCTATGACATATGAAATTTCTTATTGACCCCACTAATTTGTACATTTTCAGAAACACTTATTGACAAATGTAGTTAAATAAACTATTAAGTTGAAAACAGTAATGCTAATTACTTGATAACTGATACTTAATATAACATTTATATATAAATATGTCTATTTTTTATCAATCAATATAGACAATCACAGCGTTAGTTCTATGTAATAATAATATCGGTATTGATGGTGCACAATCTTTAGCTAATCTTCTAAACAATAACAAAGTAAAACTAGTTTTATATTAATCAATTCAATATTCATTCTTTTCGTTTAACAAGACAATAGAAAGGCTTAATCTGGGATGGAATGGAATTGGCTCTGAAGGTGCTTTGCATATAGCTGATACATTACGTAATAATCATGTAAGCGAAATCATTGCTAGTCATATACTTCATACTTTCAAATTCTTACAGATATTAACAACTTTACATTTGGATATCAATAATATTAATAATCAAGGTACAAAATATCTAGCGGATGCATTACATTATAATACAGTAAGAAAAATTTCATCGAAAGAAATGTATTTTTATCGCTCAATTTAGACATTGAAAATATTAATTCTTTCCAATAATAATATTGACGATACAGGTGCACAGTATCTTGCTAATATGTTAAATATAAATAAGGTAAAATAAATTTTTTTTTATTATACATATTTTTATTATTTTATATAGACATTAACAAAATTAGTTCTCTGTGAAAATAAAATTGATTCTACTGGAGTAAAATATCTAGCAAATGCATTATGTAATAATAAAGTAAGATTAATTATATACGATATTCAAATAACATTCATTCTATTTCATAGATACTTACAACATTAAATCTTCGGTTGAATAAAATCAATTCTATTGGAGCACAATATCTCGCAAATGCATTAAAAAATAATCAAGTAAAATTATATGTGTTAAGAGTACTAGATAGACTACCTATGCACTAAGTTAGCTCGATGTAAATTGTAAAACTAACTCAATCTTGACTGAGTTCAAGGTCGATACATATCTCAACTATCTATTGATGAATCTTTCGCTCATTTTATAGGAAATAATAGTGAGAACTTAATGATGGAACGTTTTTTTTTATTTATAATAGACATTAACAGATCTTTATCTTGGATGGAATAAAATTGATAATCAAGGAGCACAATATTTAGCGAATGCATTGGATATTAATCATGTAATAATCATTTATATGAAATTTTATTTCATTATTTCTATTTAGACACTACTTAGTTTGCATCTTGAACGTAATAAAATCGATTGTCAAGGACGTGAATACTTTAATAATGCAATTTTAAAAAATCAAGTAAGAGATTTATTCTAGAAATCATTATAATTTATTATTATTTTAGTCATTAATTAAACTATATATCACATCTAACAGAATCAATAATCAAGGGATGCAATGATATCAATGTTTTTATTAATAATCAATTAAAATTGTCTTCCATTAAATATTGACAGTAGTAATTTGTCATAAAATTCATTTTTTTTTATAAATTTCAAATATATATAAATATACACTGTGAATAATTACTATGAGAATTTTAAAAGAAGGAAGCGAAAGAAACGCTTGTAAATTTTGAATGGAGAAAGTCGTGGCAACGTGCGGTTCTCACAATTTAATATAGGAAAGCCAAGGAGAAATTGATTTATGAAAGTACTTTTTCAGTAGAGATTGTCGTACTTGCATTTACTTTCTTAAAGACCCTCTACCATCTTCAGAAAGTCGAACATCAAAAGTTCCTTAAGTACCATTCTGAAGAGAACGCTGCGACCTACAGTACTAAGAAAAAAAATTCTTCTACTGAAGCTTACCCAGAAAAGTACTTTCAAAAAGTATTCCCCACACATAGACTTATATCGCCCACCATCCTCTATCAAATGGTGAAAACACAAATTATCCAAACTCATAATTATTTATATTAGGGTAGTATTTAAATGATCAGTTTTTTATACCGAATCATCAGCTGTTTTTTTACAAAGTGATCAGTAAATATATTTACAGAACGGTAAAAACTGATATAAATGCGATGATTCAGTGATCAAACATAATTAACTACTGATATTTTAGTTTAAATACTGATAAATTCATTATTTTACTGATAAAATGATTAAACTACTGATTAAATCCAAAAGTCACCGATCATTATTTATTCTACTGACCGTCTCAGTTTTTTTACTGATAAAACAGCCTTAATTACTGATCATTTTGGATAAAAAACTGACCATTTAATTAATACCCTTTATATTATAAGCATTGCACTTTGGCATGTAAATAGCTACACTATTCCCATACAAAACTTTCTCGAAAATGACATAAGAGATACAAGTGAGAAAGATTTATTTTTATTCGTTCTATTTTTCGGCATTTGTTGAATAAATATAAAAAGTATCTTTTTATTGTGGTATATTAATTTAGTTCTCATAATGTAAACAATGGATTTTGTACTGTAAATATTTGAGTTATAATGACCTGATTATATATTTGTTCTGATACATTTTATTTTACTAAATAAATGATTAACTAAATAATTTTTTCTTTCATATTTTAAAGTACAGCAAAAGGAAATTAATTATAGTATATATTTCTATCACTTGAATATAATTATAGAATTACATTTTCTATCGTGTCGATATGTTTCTTTTTTATTTCCACGTTATTATAGTTATTATTTAAATAATAACATGAAATATATAGTTAAGAAAATAGTATGACTAGGATTTAGTTCTATTCATTCGATCAAACTTCGGCCATATTTCGTATTTCCAAATCGTCGTTGTCGATGTGGCACTGATAAATCATTAACAAAACGTTTATAATAATGAGTGAGTGGATCATTCTCTTGTCTTTCTTCATTTTCATTGACTGTTTCATACCATGCTGGTGGATATTTTTGAAAATCTTCTAGTGATAAAAGAAATGTTGGAATAGCCTGTTGTTGCTCAATTTGAACAAAGAGAATTAATAAAAAATAAAGAAATATTGTAATGGATTTCATTATCTGGAGTTTGAATATTATTGAGCACAACGAAATAAGATTATAGAAAGAATCTAAAAGAAATTAATAAATTATTCGATTTATCTTCTAATTAAAAAAAACTAAAGTCAGCTATTCCTCTCGATTATATTATAATTCAAATGTAGCCTTATTATGTTTAATAACCTAACTGAAACGTTTTAAATTTATCTGAAAGAATCTCTCTTTTGTTTATACATAATTACCTGAAATCGTCAATTGACTAAATAAAAAAAAGTTTTCTAAATAATTTCTGAAAATAATTCTGCAGGTTTATATACCAAGATATATATCAATTTATTTTCGAGAAGCTCTTTTAATAGAACAAAATAATTGTATTTGTTTAAAGTAGTTTGTAAAACAAAAGGGAAGTGGTCATGTCCGTTTTAAAATACTGAGAACTTTTTTTCTAATATTATAGCGCAAATAAAATGTCAATGGATTTTTTTTAACTTCGAGTTTTCTCTAGGAAGAAAAACGATAAATTTAGATTGCTGCATTTAACATTTATTATTTCGTTTATCTGAATGTATAGAATTGAGTTTAACAATTATGATAGATGATAATGCATCTGTCAATCTCAATATATTCAAGTGAAAAGAAAATAATCGCGAATTTTTGAAAAAAATATACTTTTAAGTTTTGTAGACTAGTCTTCTTATCGATAGAGCAATACTCAGACTATGTATTTATTTGATGTGCATATAATAGAATTTCTGATCTAAATAGTATTTGACATGAGAATCAGATAGAAATAAAACGAATGTCTGGAAAAGAAACATTTCTGTATTTATGTTAAAAAATAAATCAAACATCCGTATGTAAAGAATGATAATAACAATATGTCGTTTTAATGAGTTTTTTGTATGCAAACAATTGTCAAACACGCACTTATATACAGTCTAATGAATTTTTATATATTTCAATATAAATTATCTTAGGTAAATTTTTCTTAAGCATACAGAAATTAGAGTAACTTACTATGTTCTTGCTTGTATTAGTTCTATTTTATTGAGTCTTTTCTAATACAAGGACATCATTAACACTAATCAATGAATAGAAATATCTTCTCATAGTTTACACAAGAAACTAACTAAATCAGATGTATTCAAACATACAATCTCAAAAATAGAAATAAAGAAATATTCAATTAACTTACCATTATTTCATATCCAGAATTATTTCTAAACAAAACATTTCCAAGTAGTGTCTTGAATTTATAACGAAAAGTTTTACATCAGGATTTTATTTATACCTGTCATTTCAACTAAATTGTCACTTATTCGATTTAACGTTATAGATGATAACAATTGACTTATGACTCATTCTCTATCGTTCCTTTACAATTGGTTATATAACTGCTAATAATACGACTTAATTGTTTGACTCCTGACGACGTAAAAATTCGTTCGAATATATTTATTTTTTAACTATTCAATAGAGTTTCATATCTTTTTTTAGTAGTGTGTCGTACAAGGATAAAGACATTTGCCTATATATATGTATTGTCGGAAGCGAAAAGATTGAATATCACTTCTTGATAAGTTCAATTCGTATCGTAAATCAGGTAAAACTAAGATACATCTTAATCATAAGATATATATCTCTGACTTGAGCTGCACATCTCTACACCGAAAAGAAATTCTTTTTTCATAACTACAAATATTGTTGGCATACTTTTTACTAGTTTATTCCACTGAGTTATATGCTTATTCTATATAAAGAACTAACATCTTGTATATATCTGTGATATTTAATTAGTCAAATATATTTATTACTTAGAACAATCATAATAATTGAATATAAGAAATGAATATTTGCATTTAGTTATGTCAATCTAACACTATTATTGCTATTTTCAGTTTAGGTTTTCTATTAAATTAATTTTCTCAAGGAAAAGAAATAATAGGTATTCGTTTTTTTAAATAATACTCTAAAATTTCAAGTATTTCAAACTATTTTCTCTTTTCCACACATTCTACACAAAATATAGATTTGTTATTTAATCTACTACATGATATTTTATTTCAAATGATTCAGTTACATTGACGTCGGTAATTTTAATTATAGAATATGACTAAAATTACAAGTCTCTTTTACATAATTAACTTTATAAAATACCTATATCGTCTATAAGCGTAATGTACCAAGAATAATAAGATTTTTATTGCTAGAAATCTGATATTTTCCACATGCTATGGAATAATTTATTATTTTTCTTGAAATTACAAATTTCTGATCTATTTTTGAAAACAAAACATTTAAGGGGGCCCCCCCCCTTAGAAAATGCACTTTCTCGAAAAAAAATCGAAATTGAGTTTATCACATAGAAAGATGCGCCAAAGTTTCCTCTTTCCGAATATATATAGGTTTTCCCAAAACAATGAAGTTTACCTAGACTTATCAGCAAAAAACTTGACCTTACTACCCTATTTTTTAATATATTTTACATTAGTAAAATTAGCACTATATTCGAGTATTTTTTGTTTAGATTCGCCTAGGAATTTTTGCTAACTTTAAAAATAACTGCATTAGATGCAGAATTTAATTCTCTATCGAACGGTGTAAGTTTTAGTAGAGGTCACCGTGCAAAAATGAAGTTCTCAAATAAAAACTGAGTTTTCTACGGATTTTCTTAATTTTAAAACTTCTTTTGCGTTTTTCTCAGAACATGGTTTCCAATCACAAAAATGGAAATAACTCTGATTCGGCTGGGCCAAAAGATTAATATTTTTTTTTATTTTGAAGATCTCGAAAAGACGAAACTTTTGTCTGAACGGATTTTTTATATTTAATTCCTATCTTGAGAAAAGTGAGATTTACTGTCGTTGGATCACCCTTTTTGATGCTGATTTTGAGATATGTTTACTAAAATACTCATAAAAAATGAACAGTACGGAATAAAAATATTCTGTTCAGACAAAAGTTGCGTACTGACATGGGCTTTAATTTGAAACCACCTCCAGCTTCATACATCATTCTGGAACCGAGTTATAAAGATTCTCCTGGAGACCAAAAATCACCTTTGAGTCAGGTGTAAATCCAGTCCGGTGTGACCTAGCAAGCTGAAATTTTTATCAGAAGCGTATCTCACCAGGACTACTCATCCCTGAAAATTTCAGCTCAAACGGACCATCCTAAGTGGCAAATCGTTCCTGAGGGGGGGGGGGCCCCTTAAAAGTAGTCTTCTTAATACGCTTACTTTACTTACTGTTTTACTAATATATTTAGTTATTGAATAATAAAATGCTTCTATACAATAGAATATTCAAGTAAATATATATAGATATATACAAACCGTGGGATGTTGATGCGAAGGCGTATGCTTCTTATTCTATACTTAGCTATCCTATTGTCTAATTGAAACAATACAAAAACCAAAGCTCTAATGATTGACATAACTGCTTGTCATTTCGCCAGAATATATAATAGGTTACGCTCTGCAAATAGAAATATATCTGCGAAGCCAATTATAAATAAATGTTAGTCATAAAAGTTACAGATGATTTACATTGTAGTTTCAGACTCTCAATAAACATTAGCAATGAAATTTAACTAAAACGAACATGCATTAGAAATAAATTAATTCTAAATATTTTAATAGAATATCAAGTGATTTGATAAACTAACCATATAAATAAATCTATTTATACAAGGAAAGGAAAGATTGTTAAATAGGAACAATCCATTATCAAAACAGATTATTGACAGTTCTGTCATACATATAGTTTTGATCAAATCAACAATTTATTTCCGTTAAAACGTTCTTTTAACAGAATCATCAAGTAATTACAAGCTGAAGTATTCCATAATAATTTTGACAGGAATTTTCTAGGTTTCCGTAAACTTTACAGACCATAGAAAAGAAATATTTATATCAACCAAATGTGGTATACTATCGAATATTCTATTAACATACTTATAATAACAGAGTTAATTATTTTCTTTCAGATAAGAACATCAACAAAAGTAATTTACAAGTTTTGTTTTTTTATTCTTATTTAAATATAATATATAATGCTTCGATAGCATCTTGTTTATATCTATACATGATAAATTAAAAGCAAGATTCTACTAAAAGATTTAATGAAAACATACAATAATAAACTATACAAATAGTGAGATTTTCTCACAGAAATATCAGTAAAAACTCTACTACGAATGTTTTTGTTTTTGATTTGGAATTTATAAACGTACAATACGTTTTTCAGATGTTAGCAGTCCAAGACGAATATAAACATCTGTACCAATACCAAGATTTGTTTCGTAAACTAATGAACCATTTAAATATTCACAATAAGCACGTGATGTTGGTACACCAAAACCATATCCGCTTATTCGATTATGATTTCTGATTATGAATTGATCGTATGAATAATCATCAAAATCAGTATCAGATATCATTGAAGAATCATTGAGAGTATTATTTGATGAAAAATGATAATTAAACATTTTCTCTAGTATTGATTTTGACATACCTTCACCATGATCTCTTATTCTGAAAAAATACAAGAAAAAAAATATACATCTATACGCATAAAATATTTCTATACCGTAAAAGTAATTCATCATCATTAACTGCAATGGTTACATTAACATTTGGTAAATCATTATTTGAATTTTTATGATGTTCAATTGTGGCTCTAGAAATTGAAGAAGGATTTTAAATTTCAGTTCTATTCTTCTATCTATTCAAAGAAGATATTAGAGTACTTCATTTCCTAGAAAAATAGAATATTTATTGATTTTCTAATGTTATATACATTCATATATTCTCTCATTATGATGAACGAATGCGTCTGTGTAAATTTTTTGTGTGAGATCTAACTGTTGATCTATAAGAGAAAAATAAAAAAACGACTATCAAGTTTCTTTACTTCTAGTTTACTTTGTCTTTATGTACGCAACTGTTTCATTAAGAAATAACTCATTTTTACCGTTTGACTAGCAATTATTTACATATTGTCATTTGAGAAAGTGCACATTATAACGCAATATGATCATTACCTAAATGCATTTTTAAGCATTTCTGGAACAATATAACTAAGTGGAGTTATTATATAAGGAAATGAACTATCGACATGTCCATCAATCTTCACATTTGGTGTCATACCATATGTTGAACGACATAATTTTCTAATGAAAAAGAAAAAGAAGAAGAACTATTTCATTTTCTTTTATGTTTACTTACTGAACATATCTTGTTGATGATTCGATAAGTTCTTTTGGTGAAAAACTCATACAAATAGCACCAATATAATTTGGCTAGAAATTTAACGTCAAAAAAACAAAACATTTTTTCTACTTTTTGTGTAGGTTATTCACCTTATCTTTTCGTAATTCAATATGATGTTCAATTAACATCTTAATAGCTAATCGAGATGTAAGTGCACGATCAAGAAAACTACGTACAAGCATTTCTTGCTAGAATATAAATAAAATAAATATATATAACCGGATTATTAACTATGCATTTTCAGTTTTAATAAAATATGATATTCGAAATCGATTGAGAAAACTTTTTCACTGAAATTTGACTCAAACATTCTTCTATAATCTTCTCTAGCGAGACTTCTAATTGTGACTCTTTATCGGAGCTTGTCCAATAACGACAAAGAATGTTATAGTCACTGAATAATTATCAGCTATAGATTCGAAGTGAAATAATCTAATCTAGTAGATATGTATCTTAGATTATTTCCGACATAAAATGCAAGCCGCAACATAACACTATAGCCTACATATGTTCTATTGACACATCCCACAAATTCTTAATGTGTACTCTAGTTCGAACTCGTAACTTAATTAAACTATGTGTTATACTTCAATAAAAATGCAATTCATCGATTTCTATTTATAATTATATGTATCTTACTTTAATATGACGTTTAGCTTCACGAAAACCTTCAGCTAATAATGATAATGTATCATTACTTGAATTAAATGTATTCTGTAATAATTGTGTATAGATTTTTTCTTGTTCAAGTGTATTAATCTTTAAGAAAACAATATAGAATTATTAATTCAAAAATATCTCTGGATTTCGTCTTACTTGTGGAAATGAATGAAGTGTATGAAAAGTTTTAATAAAACGTTCATGCTAAAATAGAAAAAGTTATTCTTTTTTTTTGTGAATATAATGTATTATATAAACTATACTAATTCTAAAAGAAGTGGATTACATGCAACAACAAATGGTAAATTTTGAAAATCATTAATACGATGTGCAAAACGAATAGGTAAATCTTTATGTAAATATTGTGCTGAACGCTAAAAAATCAATCAAAAACGAATTTTATTAAACTATTCTTTTTTTTAAATATACTAATAAATGTCCATTATCTTGTGTTTTACCAATATACATCATTGTCAATGGTGAGAGGCGAGTTGATGGCTAAATCAAAAACGATTGAATTTTGTATAATGATAATATTTGATAATACTTTAAGAGCAAGTTGTTCAATAGCAGTTTGACTATGAAATGATGTGACAGTAATATTCGCTAAATGTCTATCATGAATTGTTTTATTTTCATTTGATAATTTACGATTTTTATTATCTCTTGCAATATTCGTTCGATGACGAACATGAAGAAATGGTAAACGAATTCCACATCCATGAAAAAGTTTATTAGTTAACATATTTATTTGAAAAAAAAAGATATCAATCACTAAAAGGACACAGATAGTTTATTTTTTCGTTTATCTTTACGATTGGTATCATTCGATGAACCAATCATATATCTATATACAAAAGAATCAGAGTATGGGATTTGCATATATATGTTGTTATCATTCATAATAAACACTCTTGTGTGTTAAACAAAGAATTCAGCGAAATAAAAACATATTCTATTAATTGTTTCATTATTACAAGATCAATGATTTATGTTCGGTACAAAATATTTATTTAGCCAATTTTACTTTAAAGTAAATGATAATTAGTAAAATTTATAAAAATAAAATTAGCTTATGATTTAAATGACTGAAGTATTTCTGAGAAAAACCTAATTTCTTCAATAATGGTGAAAGATATAATTTCGAATATATATATTTCTTTTTTAATAAAAAAACAAAACATTATACATGTGACAGTACAGCCTATTAAGGTAAACATGTAATTTATTATTTGTGTAATATTTTTATTGGTGTATATTTTCAAGGCAGAAAAAAAGCATTTTTATATTCATAAAAATCCGTATAATACAAAATGCTCTAATTATAATTAATGAATATAAGCTCCTTTCTTTTTTTTCACATTTCTATACTGATTATTCAAGACATACAGAAAAGAAAGTACATTGAATACATTGAAAATAATTGTTTCGATCGTATACAATTATAAATAATAACGAATATATTTTGCATTAATAATCTGTCGAAAATATTGTATTTTATGTAGATTTATTTAATATAACTTCGACATAATGTTCTTTTATTTTAAATATGTACGGAAAAAAAACAGTAATAATAAAACATGTGAAATTTGTCCTTTTTTTCTCTTTTTGTACAATCATTATGTTAGAGATTGCATCAAAGATATTGATTCTATTTATAGACCAATTCAAGTAATATTTAAAGAGTAAAAATGTTTTCTTTTTCTTCCTTATGTTACTCTTACCATAGTCACGTTTTTGTACTTCCAGGCCAAATAATAAATGTTAACCTATTCAACTTAGAAAACTATAATATCGAAATTTTTTTTTCATTAATCATTTTTTTACTAATCTTGTCTTTCCGAATGACTTCTATAGGTGTTATTTTTTTAAAGCTCCTTTCTCCTGAGTTATGAAACATATAAAAGCTATTTTTATACCAAACTGAGACACACCTATTGCAGGTTTAATATCATTGATTCAAAATATAACAATCTTTATAAAATCTTTTTTTTCTTAATCAGATAAATGCACATTGAAACGATTGTAGTTATATTTTTTATGCTATGCTTATATTTATTTAACATAAAGAATTAAAAAATGCATACGCTTGGTTGTTTAGAGTGAATATACACAAAAAAGAAAAAGAACATAAATAACGCGCAACTACAGATAAAAAGACAATGAGAATCAGAATACATTGAAATCTAGCGCATACAGTTCTATTGACTTAGTTATATTTATGCATTTGGAACAAGTAAACGACGAATGACTGGATCGTTCTTGCAACCAGCAATGAACTATAGAAAAATAAAATATAAATATTAAGTTTATTATTATAATTTTTATTTCATAAACTTACTTCTTCCTTGGTTAATTTTTTATTTCCACTAACATCACAAATACGGATAATTTCTTCGGCACGATGTTTTGGATCGTTATCACCTAAAAATTAATTGAATATTTATTTCTATTTAAAAACGGCATCTATATTTACCTTTGCGATCGGTTTCACCAATAAGATCGTACATAGCCTATTAATAGAATATTTTTATAATTTTTCAAAATAAATAAATCTATGAATACTTACAGAAATAACTTTAGCCATTTCAGCTGTATCGACTGAAGAAGAAAAAAAATAATTATAAAATAATATTTAGAATATTTTATTTTATTTACTTGTTCCAGTGTTGTTATAATCATACATGTCAAATGCTAAAGCAAGACGTTCATCAAGATCACCTGATTGTGTCAATGCAATAGCGAGCATAAATTCAGTAAAGTCAACTAAAAAATAAATATTTTAATAAATAAATGAATTCATTTAAAAATACATACTTGTTCCATTGTTGTCACGATCAAATGTAGAAAAAGCATATTTACAGAAATCTTTTGCTTTTCCGCCTGGATAAAATTGTTCATAGACGGTTACAAATCGATCTTTTGATAATTTTCCATTTGGGCTATAAGAAAAAAAAATTTAGTTTGAATTAAATTTCTTTGAAAATAAAAATTTTAATTTACCAATCACGTAAGAAACCAGCGTGCCATTCACGGATTTGTTCTTCAGTAAAGTTTGTATTTGCTTTAAGCATTTGAATAGCTTTTGGTGTAAGAATTGTTCTATTATACAGAAAAAAATCAATTCAAGTACATTTATAAATAACTATACATACGGATCAACTTTGCTTGATGATTTGTTACCCATGTTTAATTTCGATTTAAATTACGAATAAAAATTATATATCTAAACAAAAAGTATTTTGTGGTAAATTAGTTGGAAAAAAAGTGTATGCAATGAAATGTAAATCACTCGTCTCCTTTTTATATCCTCGATGTTTTTCTCTTTCTTCTCTATTTTTCTCTCTTACTCTTTATTTTTCTGTCGATGTTTTAGAGAATATAAAGTAGAAAATATATGAACCTTCTAGAACAACCTATCTCTTGTCGACAAGTCAATAATAGACGAAAGAGTAAAAGAAAAAGAAAATATTCTGCTTCACATGCTGTTGCCTTTTTATTAACGATAGGTTTGGTCGAAGAATAGACAAATTATATGACTAGTTCACGTCATCAAGGTGGAAGAGTAAACGACGATAATAACAAGAACAGTAAGAATACTGATCGAAAAGGGTTTTTCTTTCTATTTCATTATGTCTGAAAATAGGCGCATACTGTTTGGCAAGAATTACTGCATATGTTACTAGTCATCATCTTTTTTTGTTTGACGTCTGTTAAAGAAAGAAAAGAAAGAAAAAAAGAAATATATTTAAGACACAACACTCTGTGAACTGAATGAATCATTTTTTTCTTTCTAAATAATGAAATCACGTGTTCGATTTAGGTACTTTTTAACAATCGATCTATAAGATATCTAATATGACTAGACATACTTATCACTCGATTGTTATAAAGGTTGGCCTAGAATATATCTTATAGTAAATGTTGTATTGTCTATTTTCGTCTTTGTATGTTTTCTAAATAGTAAAATACAACTATTTATTATTCTATAGATAAAGACAAACAAAAAATAATTGAATATTCGAGAAAATTAACAAAAGAAATATTAGTAACTCTTCTGTTAGAAAAATTATTCTATGTAATATTAATTATATACAAAATAAATTCATCTAACAATGAACTCGATCATATTTGATTATAGATCCTATACTGATATGAATATTATTTAAACTCAATTACTGATTCTACATAAAAGGAAAAAAATCTTTATTCATAAAAGCATACTTACAATCAATCGTTTCTCATCGAACAATTGATTTATTATTCATGATAAACTTGCCATTCAGTTACATTTTGTATATATTATGCTAATCGATTTTTTTTCTTTTTTCGTAAATATTATCGTAAAATCAAAGAAAGTAATATCAAAACAAGATTTTTAGAATTCAATTGACCTATATACTTTATAATCAATATTAATGCATAATTCTAAAAGATTAACGGTGTATAGAATCAATAAAATATTTCAATCATATTTTCCAGAAAAATATTGTAGTTAACCAAAGATAACTATAAAACCAAGTATTGAGTTTAATTATATTATTAATTATTCATCTGTAAAATTAACATTCATTAAAGATCGTACTACTTGATCATATTCATCTTAGAACCATTTTGATTGAATAATATTCAACATTGATATTGTTTTATTTGTAGGGTGTGGTTGTATAATTAATACAATATACACACCCACACCCTCAATTGTTAAGTGACATATATTTGGCATTGTTTGAAAAATACTTTTTAATAAATCGACAGATCCTCGAAAATCAAGTTTCAATAAAGGAATAAAAGAAACTCTATATATTCATCTGACTTTGAATATCGGACAATTGTAGAAAGTTTTTTTAGATGAGGTATCCATTTAAAGAAATGCCATAATGAACTTAATTCATATTGACATTTTTCAATAGAAACATAATCAATGGATGTCGATATTGATCAAATTCTCTATACCCATTGTTCAATTCTTTGAATACCATTTAAATTGCAATGAATAAGTGTTGATGTACTTCAGATATTATTTATTGATTCAACAAGAAAAATTTTTTTTAATTCAAAAATATGACATTGATATGTGTTTTATTGAATTGATATAGAAAGCGAATATAAATGAATAAATCGATCAAGAGTAAAACCATGAGAAAAAAGTAGTTCAGATAAATCAGACGCTTCTTTATTCAAAAGATAAATTGAATGAACTCGATCAATAACAAATAGAAGATATTGTTAATGTGACGTGAATATGATATCCACACCCACACCCTCAAGATAGTTGTTGACTGTCAATAAAAGTCTAGTCAGAAATTGAAAATATTAAATACTTTTTACATCGATAATGTTTCATCTGAATAATACCACTATTTATACATATTTTTATATTTGTTATCTCTTTACTGATCTGCGGAAGTCAAGACAAATCCATGTGTACATTTCTACTATTATTACTAAAACTTTCCTTTCAATAACAATCTATTTTCTTGTTTAGTATTTTATTTCGCATAAGGTTGATCAAACACAGTACGTTTTACATAAAACTGTTCATTCTTTTGGCAAAGACAACAGAATCGATGAAAAACTATAACATTGATCATTGAATTAAACACGCTCTACTATTAACGACAGTAGACGATTTCTTATTGTCTGAATTTTTTTTATTCTTCTTTATATGAGATGATGGTGACAATTGTTTCTTTTTCAATCGGGCAATGTCTGCTTTGCCTCTCTTCACCTTTTCATGTTCTGGTCCATAATTAGCTTGATACATCGAAAGACTTTCATTAAAATAACGAAGTGCTTCGGATAAGTTGTTCATTTTTTCATAATCTATGCCAATATTTCTTAAGCTGTTTGCGATGTTAGTGTGATCAGAAGACAATGTTTGACGATAGAGTTCAAGTGCTTTAAGGTCACATCGTAATGCATCTTCTCTCATATCACAAACGGAATATACACAAGACATTGATGTCAAACATTCAGAAATGAGTTGATAATCAGATGGTGTGCAATTCTTTAATACAGATAGAGCTCGTCCATAGTATTGTAATGCTTCGTTTGAATTGTCGTCCTCAATTAAATCAGCCATGATCATTAATGTTTGAGCAATACGAGGATGATTTTCGCCTAATTGAGTTTTTTGAATAAGAAGTATTTGTTGATACAAGTCTAAGGCTTTATCAATCTCATTCACCTTTTTATAAGTACGGATGATCGAACCGAGATGAATTGAAAGATTTGAATGCTCGAATGGTAAATATTGTTCTTCCATATTTAGTCGTTGTTGATAATAATTTAGAGCAATATTTAAATTACCTTTCTTCTCATGAGCATATCCTATTGAACCGAGACATTTTGCTATATAAGAATGTTGATCAGGGAGAACATGTTTATACATCTTGAGAGCACGAAACAAATAAGTAAGAGCCGTATCGAAATCTTCTTTATTTGTGTATACTATCCCAATACTTTCGATTATAATTGCTTTTTGTAGATTATAGCCTAAATATAAGCTTTCCTGAATCGTTAAACCCTGTTGAAAATAATTGAGTGCTGTGTTAAAATCACCTTTTTCTTTATAAATACAACCAATATTGTAGAGTGAACCAGCAATATGAGGATGATTTGAAGGTAGTTGTTTTCGACGCATCTTATAAGCTATCTCATAGTTTTTCAATGCCAAATTAAAGTCCTTTCTCCTCTCATGTATTATACCAATATTATTATAAACAGCTGCAATATCAGGATGATCATGTGGAAGTGATTTCAATAACATATTAAAATATTTTCCTGCACGATCCACTTGATCTAATTCATACAAGAGAAGTCGACCATAATAAATGAGTGATGTGTATTCTTGCATCTGTTGTTTCAATAATGAAAGATATTCTTCAGCTTTTACTGCACCTTTATCAGTTACATTCAATTCTATTTTCCATACAGTAAGTTTAGAATCAAAACAGACAGAAACAATCTTAAAGAGTGAATTGAGATTAAAAAGAACTTCTTCTTCACCTTTCATCCGAGTTTTATTTCCAACATGAGCAAAAACTACTGTTTTCAGTAATGTATTCACTTTAATCTGAAACAGGACCGATACATAATCATTTAATTCAGCATTGATCTGACTAAACTTAAGTGATACATTGATATTTCGCGATGTTGATAAAAATCCATTTGTTGAAATAGTTTTACCAATGTTTTCTTTTATTTTTTCAAATTCTTCTTTTTGAATTTGTGTTCCACGATACAAAGTTAATATTCCTTTTTTTTTTGAAAGTTGATTTTCTTGTTCAATAGCTGAACATAAATCAATAATAAAGAATCGAAAAGTAAAGAGTAAATCAATATCTTCAGTTCGAAGTGCTTTATTTAATAGTTTATAAAGGAAACATTCATCTGTATACCACTCAATTGCTTTTTCACGAGTATAAGTACTTTCAAATTCTTCAATTTTCTTTAATTCTTGTTTATTATTTTTATAATAATCACGACACATATCGAGCATTTGTTTTTTTGATTGTTCATCTTGTGATATTTGTTTTAGAACATAAATTAACATTTGATGCAATAGAAATGATGCTGTTTCTTGTGATAAATCTTCTAATGATTTTTGTTTTTGATCAAAAAGACTAAATGTTAATGTTTGTTTTTCGACTAGATTCATTTTTTCTTGAATTGATATTAATAATTCATCTTGATCAGTAAATATTCCAATAATTTTCTTATATTCTTCCATTAATGATTTATAATGTTGATCGTTAGAACAAAAAATAAATATAGCAACTAAAGATCGATAATGGTGAGTTTGTAAAAGTATTTGTTGAGCAAAAGCACCTGAAACAATCAGAAAGATTTGTTCATGTTTGATTGATTTGATTAAATCGAGACATCGATCAAAATAAGAATAAAACTGAACAGCTGAGTTGAGTTCAGTTAACATTGTTTGAGTAAGAAGATAATCATCTGAATCATTCATATTTTCATCAAGCCAAATCAATTGAACATCTTCTTTATTATCTGAAACTTCGCTTGGAAGAAGATTCTGTCGTCTTGTATTTAAGGATTCACTAGTAGCCATTAGAATTAATCATCGCTTTGTTATTACCGTAAGAAACTCTCAACAAAATATTTTGTTTCAGAGGCTTTATATCTTGTGTTGCAAAAGCAAAAAATTTCTTTTCTTTCTACCTTTTCCAACATTATCTGATAGATAAAGCTGACAACAGCGTCATGTGAAAAGTACTTTTAGTTGTATTGTGAAAATGAATGACGCACTGTTGATTCTTCGCGATATGAAATATTTTGTTTGGGTTTTTTGCCGTTTTTGAGTGACTCGTTTGATTATGCAGTACAGGTTTAGTAAAGAAATATCTTCCACTAACGTAGTGACGAATGTATAGAGACACTCATGCATCTATATTGTATAGATAGTTTTAAAAGTAATAAACATTAACTATTTTATTGCATATTTGCATACGCTGTTCAGGCTATATAGTCTTTGTCACGAGGCATGAACCGCATCCTAATAGTTTGGTTTTGATGAGCTTCATTCAATGGAATTCCGTTTGAGTTTAAGTTAAAGATTCAAACTTGATTAATAATTGATGTTTCACTTTGCATTAATTATATATACATTTATGAAACTCAGGTCATTTTCTACTTGCTTTTATATATAAATGCCCGTTGAAAAAGATCCAAACAATTTGGATTTAGATCATACCTAATTGACAATTAAGTGGAATTAAACTAATTTTTATCGTACCGAAGCTTTCTCAAAACCTATGCTATACAGGTATTATAAACATCTGATACAATTTTCTGATGTTGGCGAGAGTGAGTGGTGCATTCATCTCTCCACCGCACCCTCAAGATCAACTACACTTTTATTTTCTTTACAGGCAATGAAAATAATTCTCTCACAAAAATATAAGAAAAGGTACTATTTTTGATATAAAATTATGTAATATAATCATAACACTGCTGATCATTATTTTATACGAACTAGCAAGTATTAACTAATTAATTAATTTCAGTGAATGTATCATTTTATATCTATTAAAATACTCGTATTATGAAATCAAGGTTCATACTCAATTTTGATTATTAAATACTCATAGTACAGATACAATTATCCTTTGTATTCTTTGAGATAAATCTAAATAAAAAATACATTCTTTTATAGAATATTTATTTAGTAATCAATTAATAAAAAATAAAACTTTTCTTTCTAGAATAATTGAAATACGTTCATTCAAATATTTTTTTTATCATATAGTATAATTGATCATAGTTATTTCCTCGTGCATAACAATTATATCATCATTCTCAATTGCATTTAAAATCTAAATCATTAATTTCTCATGCTACATTTGAATATGTATGTAGTTTGATAATGTTTTTCAATCGATTATTTATTGTTAATCGATATCATAATTCAAAATCTCTCATTCATCATATACAATAACTTTATAAATCCAATGCGAATAATAAATCTTAAACTATATTCAAATAGAACTGAAGAAAAGTCTTAGTTTTTAGAACGATCGATTGTTGGAATCGTTCATGGAAATGAATGCTTAGCAATAGCATTATTTTATCTTTTTCCTTATTGGTAAGTTCATACATGCGATATTAGTTCATCAGTACTTCGAATTTCTCGTATTAATGCATATCTTCACCATAAAAATCTTTTCAGTTCTCGTTTTCGTGGATATATATCATTTGAATGCTTTCCATTTAATATCGATCAAATTAAAGCATTATTAGAAAACTCGAAATTTTATTTATGAATAATAAATTCAAAGAGCACAAATCATTGTAACAAATGTTATAAAGACGATGAGTGTTTTATTCCTACAAATATAAATATACGATTTCATGTTTGTGTTAAAATAATTAACCATGTTTAAAAAGTAAAACCATGAAATAAATTAAAGAAAGATATTTCGAATATGTATAGATTCTGTATAACATTTTTTTTAATATTCATTCATTAAAAATACCAGAAAAACCACTTATTATACAATAAATTGTTATTATAAAAAAACTTAACGGATGAACATACATGCTATGTATAACACCTGATGAAGTAATACAATCTTCAGATCCATTGAAGATTCTAGTATACGAAAGATACATATATTTCAATACTCATTAAGTTTTGGTATATATAATTCTTGAAATATATTTATAAATTTTAATTTTTTCTACAAGTATCGAAAGTCATTAACTAGAAATAGATAAAATTCAAATTATTCAATTTCACATTGTTGAATTGATTGAATCTACTCAGCAAGCAATACATATATCTGTTCTCATACTCGCAAAAGTACATCTCAACAATGCGAAAAGAAGATGATACACACAGCAGGAAAAAGAGAAGTGTTTCATATATATTTTCGAAAAAAAAATCTATCTCCCAATCATTGACGAGTGTAACCATTTCGAATAGCCAATATCCCTATATTATTTCTCTCCTCCTCATCTTTTTTTCCTATCTTGATTGACGGAGTGTCAATATACACAACACAAAAAAAAGAAGAAAACGAGACATTAATTCTTCTCTATTGACCTCGCATAATGATTGATGAGTATAATTAACATTCATTTTTTTTTGGGAATCTAATATTCTCATAATGAATACTAACCATGTAACAATTTAGTAAATCATCACTTATATTTATCTAATACTTTTCTTTTAGTTTAATGACCATTCAATCGATATGAATAAAGATCTTATATATAAGTAAGTAAAACTATATGAGAATTTTTATTTAATTAAAATCTTTTATTTAGTCATTCACTTTTTCCATTATTAACAATAATTTATAATAAATGTGAATTAGCAACAAATTCTTCTTATCCATTTAAATCATTAGATGAAGATATTATTGAATTTACAAAACAGGTATTCAATAAAGCAATTTTTTATCTAAAAAATTTATTTATTATTAGTTAAATAAGGGAGAATTAGGATATTATGTATCAAATGTTGAACTAGATAATTTCGTAAGTTGATTATTTGATTGAATTGAATAGCAAAGGAAATGTTTTTAGATGATACAAGCAATACAAATATTACGTTTTCATCTATTAGAAATTGAAAAAGTCCATGAATTATGCGATAATTTTTGTGAAAAATATATTCGTTTATTAAAAGGAAAAATGCCATTGTAAGTAATACTATTCTAATTGACTAAAAGAATATTGTTATTTTGTTTTACAGAGATATTATTGCAGATGATTATAAATCTGAAGAAGATAGTATAATCAGTAATGAAGATATTAAACCAATACATTCAACAGAATCTATTCTACCTATATCAGATGATATAAGTGAAAATTTTCAAAAAGATACATTTGAAGAAAATAAAGATGATGATATAATATCTTCACCACGTCGTCAAAAGAAACGAGGAATATTTCCTAAATCAGCAACATCATTAATGCGTGCTTGGTTATTTCAAAATCTAAGTGTATGATGACAAAACAAAGTCTACAATAATTTATGTTTTTCCTTCTTTCTTTTAGCATCCATATCCATCTGAAGAACAAAAAAAAATTTTAGCTAAAGAAACGAATCTTAATGTATTACAAGTTAATAATTGGTATGTTGATCGCGTGACAATAAACAACTATCACATCTTCTTTTCGTTTTCATTTCATATATGCACATCCGTTTAGAGAAAAAAAACGTGTCATAATGAGAGATAGAAAAGTAAACCTGCAATTAAGTTGTCATCCACTGATCAAAAGAAGCAGTATGAAAGCTTTTCAAAAATTTAAATAGATTCGGATAGATATATATTATCCAGTTTTATTTAACTAGAAAATCGTTAGAGGTAAAATTAAATATAGACAAAGTATTTGTGTATAAAAGAAAACTAGATCGATGATAATGATACTCATCTCTATAATTATTTTTCTCTTCTCAACGTGTCATAATCGTTCGAGTTAATCAATTGACATCTATTTATATTCCATGTGAGCAATTATGTTGAAAACGGTTAACGCTCAGGGAAATTTCTTTTCTTTTTACATTATACAGCTGTGCGTTTGATCAATACAATGATCATTAGGATTAGTCTTCTTCTTCTTATTCTATCAAGGAGATATGCGCGGATGAACATTAGAAGATGATACTTAGACTCATCAATCATTCGATATTTTCTTTTTTTGTTCCCTCCTGTTATAAACATAGTATTGACAGATTTCAATCATAGACTAGATGTCTGCTCGACGAATTACTATGGAATGAAAATATGCAGCTGTTTATTTTTTTTTGTTTTGTTCATTGAAAAGGTTCATAAATGCAAGAAGACGTATTGTACAGCCCATGATTGATCAATCCAATCGTACTGGTAAATAAAATTTTAATTTGTTCTTGTTATTTATTTATTAATTGATAGCAACAATGGGAGCGGATTATAGTAATATTATGATGAATAATCCTTATCATACATTTGATCTTAATCGAACATCATATGGATTACAATTAAGTAGATTCAAATTGATTTTACTTTTGATTGTTGATTTAAATTTTTTTCTTTGGTAGATTTGAACGACGAAATGACAACAACATCAGGTTATTGTCCGACACCAACAATAACTTACCCATCGATGCACTCAAATTCGTTTTTTACGGCTGCAGCTGTAGCCGCTGCTGCTGCTGCTACTACTGGTCCTAGTAGTACATTTTTATCAACACAATATGGAATATCACCATTGTCTTATTATAGGCAAGGAAGTGAAAATTAAAAAATGTTTCTTTTTTGTTTGAATAATTTTTAATGTATATGTAAATGATCTTTTTTTTTGTTTTGATAAAATGAAATCCGCACTGTGATGAATTTATTTGTATACATATCGAAAACAAAATAATCGGTTATCAATATATGATCGTCCGAATTCAACATGTCATATATTAGCAGGATAGAAAATATACTATTATAATCAAGGAGAAGAATCATAGATCTATTTTTTATACCTATCGAAAGTTATTCAAAATATAGGCATGTCTTTTTCTAATAGATATATGATTAAGCCTTTAAAAATATATTGCCTGATACATCGTTATTAAGTTTGATATTTAAGCTTTCTTCAATAATGAGTGTTCGGTTACTGTGTCTTTTTTTTGGATGGTTAATTGACTGGTAGTTTCACGATAACAAAATTACTTAAATCAGCTTAGAGACTTTGATAAAAATAATTTGGCGTAAAAAGTCTGATACTTTTTCGTTAGAATAATTATTCAAATCGGATTATTAGTTTATTATTGATTTCTATTGAGAAGGGCTTGAACATCATTGAAGACTATTGAGTTATCCTATTACGTATAATAGCTTAATTTGTTATTGTTTATGGATAAGGATTGCTCATTATTTGAATCTTGTTATACATTTAAAAATTCTCATCGTTAGTAAAATATTATTTTATTTTTATATTTAAATAAAATGAATGCAATGTAGAGAATACACTTATGGATGATATTGACTTTAGAAACGAATGATGAAAATATCGTTTGCATTTAAATAACTATCAAAGTAAGATATGTGAGACAAACATATTTGAAGAATAAAAGAAGGCAAAAAAAATTTCAATTTAAAAAAACGAACAATCAATATTCGTTTAAACACGTGTGATTTTATCCACCGTTATTATCTGCATATCTTTCTTATACTTAAGGTCATCAGTAAAATAAAATAGGCATTGATAAAAGAATAGAGTATTGTACTTCGATAAGTTAATCAATAATCGAAGACATGGCAAAAATGCTTATTGATCAAGCTTTGTCATTTATCAAACCAGGCTCACGAATTTTTGTTCATGGTACGTAAGGATTATGGAAACCTAACAGAAAGAAATATGTATTATTAAATATAAAATATCTAAGAAACATCCGGTAGTAAGACGAGTCCTAAATGATATTCTTTTAATAGATATGATAGAGTTACTTAGTTTCTCTTCTTTATTAGGTTGTGCTGCTACTCCAAAATATCTTAATCGTGAATTAGCAAATCGTGCTAGTCAACTCAAACCTCTTGAAATCACTGGTGTTCTCCTTCTTGATAATACATATTCTGATCCAAAATTCAAAGATAACGTTTTCCATAATAGTCTTTTTGTATCACCTTTTATTCGATCATATGTTGCTGATGGTACAGCATCATATATTCCAACATTACTTAGTGAAATGCCTCGACTTTTTGATGAAAATATTCTTCCACTTGATGCTGCTCTCATACAAGTCTCGCCACCTGATAAACATGGCTATTGTTCACTTGGTATTGCACTTGAGATAACACGATCAGCTGTAAGAAATGCAAAGAAAGTTATTGCTCAAATCAATAGACATATGCCACGTACTCACGGTGATACATTTGTACATATGAATGAGATTGATGCTTATGTTGAACATGATGAACCATTGATGGAATTAGATTATTCACAAGAAATTACTGAAATTGAAAGATCAATTGGTAAAAGGGTAGCTGAATTAATTGATGATGGAAGTACACGTAAGTAAAAGAAAATCTTATAGAGTATTCATCTAAGATTGACAGACATATAAATGTGAAGAATAATTGCATAATTTCTTTGTATTTTTTGTTTAGCGTAAAAAACTTGATTGTCATAGTTTAGTTATTCAAAGATAAAATATATATTTCAATTTTCTTTTTGTAGTTCAAATGGGTGTTGGTGCAGTGCCAGATTGTGTTCTCAACTCACTTCAAAATCATAAAGATCTTAGTATTGCTTCTGAAATGATATCAGATGGTGTCATTCCATTAATTCAAAATGGTGTCATTAATAATCGTTATAAAAAATTTCATCCTGGACATACAACATGTACATTCGTATTAGGAACTAAAAAGTTATATGATTTTGTTGATGATAATCCAAATATTCTTCTTTTCGATGTTGCTGTCACTAATGATCCAGCAAGAATTCGTCAAAATCCTAAGATGTGTTCGATTAATTCTGCAATAGAAATTGATCTCACAGGGCAAGTCTGTGCAGAATCATTAGGTTCAATACATTATTCAGGCGTAGGCGGACAAATGGATTTTATGCGTGGTGCTGCACTAAGTCAACATGGAAAACCAATAATTGTTCTACCATCACAAACATCAAAAGGTATTTCACGTATTGTTAACACAGTAAGTTACTTATCATTTATATCTTTATGAGAGAATGAAAGTGTATTATATTATTTTGTGATTAGTTAAAAGAAGGTGCTGCTGTAACAACAACTCGAGCTCATGTTCATTATGTTGTGACTGAATATGGTGTAGCAAATCTATTTGGTAAAAACTGTCAACAACGTGCTAAAGCACTCATTGGCATAGCCCATCCTGATCATCGTGAAGCATTAGAACGTGCTGCATATAAACGATTTAAAAATCTTTACTAAATTTTCCATAATAATAATAATATATTTAGTTGAATTAGAATACAAATGATTTTGATATTTACTCCAAAGATTTTACAATGGTTGAATGAATAGATAGAAAGTATATATAACGTATGAGAACAGTAGTTACTGTTCGATGAAACTTTTGTAAATCTTTGATAGTTCTATAAAATGTTTAATAATATTTCATGGATTACTACAATCATTTGATATAAGAATTTCTTAAACTGATGAATTGAAATTTCTTGACGTCATATTAATATATGCTTAAATATTTGTTGCATCAACTATCTAAAATAGTATGTACTGTTGCATAGTATTTTCAATTTTAAAAAATGACTTTGAATAAAATAGAATTATGAAATGACATCGACCATCATTTTTCACTGTAAAATATCGTGTCTTATTGGAGTGTAAACCTGTTTTATCAGAATGAAATTTTCGAACAATTTGAAAACATAGATTATATTTTCTTCTCAAAAAAAGTTATAATCGCATGATTTGTGGTAATACACCTCTGTACAATTCGATATCAATGTTATTGTCTTTTGAAAAACGAACGACGAATTGGTTATCGTCTCTGATAAATACGAAAGCAAAATGTTTTTATGGATGATATAAAGGTAAAAGAATGAAAAGAAAAATATATAGAAGCAATAAAATAAAGTTACTTTTATATTTATATGAGGTGAACCAAAGAAGATATGACAAAAACACTTATTGATCAAGGCTTGTCGTTTATCAAATCAGGTTCACGAATTTTTGTTCAGGGTATGTTATTAAAATAAATAAATATTGTCTTTTTTAAATATTGGGTTCAGTGAGTAAATAAATATATTGAATTCTATATTATCTGATAAAGCGGTCAAATATAAAATGTATAAACTTTTTTCATCTCTGATTCACATTATATTTTAAAAGTTTTATCAGTCATTCTGTTCATTTTATTATGAGAAAATTTTTATCTTGAACCACACGTGGTATAATGTCGATATTGGATTTCGATAAATGTTTGTAATGGATATTAGAATAGCCAATTCTTTCCAGTAGGTGTCAGTACAAAATATGCAATATTCGAAATTATATACCAATGAACATTTTGAAAATTCTATATTATATTTCTCAACAGATACACTTAACAATAAATATTCAATTCTTAAAATACATTAGAACTCATGCGAACTTCATTAATTAATTTCCATTTTAGTTATATATCTAACTTGCAAATGTTTTTTTTTCGTATTATTAGGTTGTGGTGGTACTCCACAATATCTTAATCGTCTATTAGCAAATCGTGCTAGTCAACTCAAACGCGTTGAAGTCTTGGGCATTCTTCCTCTTGATAATACATATACTGATTCAAAATTAAAGGATAGTTTTTTTCTCAATAGTCTTTTTGCATCATCTGCTGTTCGACCATGTATTGCCAATGGTACAGCATCATATATTCCAACATTACTAAGTGAAATGCCTCGACTTTTCGATGAAAATATTCTTCCACTTGATGCTGCTCTCATACAAGTCTCACCACCTGATAAACATGGCTATTGTTCACTTGGTGTTTCACTTGAAGTAACACGATCAGCTGTAAGAAATGCAAAGAAAGTTATTGCTCAAATCAATCGACATATGCCACGTACTCACGGTGATACATTTGTACATATGAATGATATTTATGCTTACGTTGAATATGATGAGCCATTGATTGAAGTAGATTATTCACAAGAAATTACAGAAGTTGCAAAAATAATTGGAAAAAAATTGGCTGAATTAATTGATGATGGAAGTACACGTAAGTAAAATGAGACTAAATGTTTTATTGTCAGTCGTTGAATTTATTCAAATGATAAACACTACTGTTATATATATATAAAAGTAGTCGTACAGTCTAATCATCTTCTCTATTTATTTTGTATGTTTATAGTAAAAACAAAGATTATCATATATGTACGTGACAAAACAATAGAAAGAATGTTTTAAATTATTCATAGTATACTTTTTGATAATTACGTTGAGAATTAATTTATTCATTCGTTTCAATAATAAATTCTTGAGAATAATTAGAAAGAAGAAATTCATAATCAATATTGTTATTTTCATTCTAAATATTCTTTTATAGTTCAAATGGGTGTTGGTGCAGTTCCTGATTGTGTTCTTAACTCACTTCAGAATCATAAAGATCTTAGTATTGCTTCTGAAATGATATCAGATGGTGTTGTTCCGTTAATTCAAAAAGGTGTCATCAATAATCGTTATAAAAAATTTCATCCTGGAAGTACAACATGCACATTCATATTAGGAACTAGAAAACTCTATGACTTTGTTGATGATAATCCAAATATTCTTCTTTTCGATGTTGCTGTCACTAATGATCCAGCAAGAATTCGACAAAATCCTAAGATGTGCTCAATTAATTCTGCAATAGAAATTGATCTCACAGGGCAAGTCTGTGCAGAATCATTAGGTTCAACACATTATTCAGGTGTAGGTGGACAAATGGATTTTATGCGTGGTGCTGCACTAAGTCAACATGGAAAACCAATAATTGTTCTACCATCACAAACATCAAAAGGTATTTCACGTATTGTTAACACAGTAAGTTACTTATCATTTATATCTTTATGAGAGAATGAAAGTGTATTATATTATTTTGTGATTAGTTAAAAGAAGGTGCGGCTGTGACAACAACTCGGGCTCTTGTTCATTATGTTGTGACTGAATATGGTGTAGCAAATCTATTTGGTAAAAACTGTCAACAACGTGCTAAAGCACTCATTGGCATAGCCCATCCTGATCATCGCGAAGCATTAGAACGTGCTGCATATAAACGATTTAAAAATCTTTATTAAATTTTCTAAAATAATAATATATTTAGTTGAATTAGAATACAAATGATTGTCCATATTTACTATAGTGATCGAATGAGTAGATAGAAAGTATATATAAGGTGCGAGAATAATTAATGTAAAATGAAGCAGTTGTATTGAAGGTTAGACGAAGCTGTTGTAAGATTTTGATAGCTCTATACAATGTATATTGATTAATATACAGAAATTATACTTACTATTGGAAAAAGATAATAGATGTGATTCGATGTGACCATGAATAAGTCAGTTGCTATCAATTGTTTTTTTCTTATATTGAAATGATGTGTCTTGGACAGGTGTATGTAACAAAGATGATGTTAAAATGAATTTATTAAGTAAATAAATGATTAATTTGTTCTTTTTATTAATTATATTCTACATGTCTGTTTTTCATTTGTCATCAATTAAATGAACCTTGATATACATAAATCCATCAACACAAGATGAAGACCTTGATAGAGAGATTCATCAGTTCTAGTTCAATTGACTAAATACATATGGTTTTATCATTTCCAATGTTACAATGACATGATTGCTTAATGTCAAATAATGATATATTAGTAATTTGGCCTTAGTGTCTGCTGAACTGATAGCATATGTTTAATATATAAGTATAAGATATCTTTTAAGATATAGGATTATTGGACATCATTGATACTTATATATGTATATATAAAATTATTGGGTTATCAATAATATAATGTATGCTATGATCTTCTAAATGAAACTTAATAGTAATATAAACCATTGATATGATATCAATAATACATATTTGTTCATACTAATTGCATATAATTGAATTCTTTCAATAGAAGCTCGATTAGAAGTGATATTGAGTATTACTATCTTGTTCAAAAATAGTATTATCAAATTATAATTTTAGTTGTTTCAAAACAATCAAAGACAAAATTATATGTACGATCTAATCTATTCCCTTGTCAATGCACAAGTTCTATCTATTGAACAAACGAAAAATGAAACGCGACGTGTCTGTCTATGATAAAAAGATGAAGAAAAAAAACATAACACCTAAAGCGATAGATAAGTTATCATTTGTTTTAACACTTTCCCACTTTGGTTCAAAAAAGATTTCTTTTCAATGCATTACGAAAATATCTATCAAACGTTTCATTGTTTCTTCAATCCTTTGATTATAGTATTCAACTTTAATATATCTCTAATAAACTATAATTTTCGTCTAAAAATAACAACCATATTATTAATTATGAAATCGCATGAATATGATGATATTATTTCGAAATAATCTCTAACACTTCTCAATCTCTTATTTGAACGATTATATTATTCTAAGCTATCGCATGATACAATATCCGCTCAAATGTCTCTATTAAAGTTATTCTCTATGTATCAAATCATAATATCAGTAAGAGTATATGTTTGCATCAAAGAGTCTCGGTATATATTAGTTGAATAGATTTAATAGTCTGAGTTCTAACCAGTGTGTTCATTTTTCCACGCCATAAATTTCAAAATACATTAACAGCTAGATTCATTTCTTATTCATAAACAAATATAACCTGTCTGAACATAAAACAATTGTCTCAATCTAGCGAAAAAAAAGAAGAAAAGGCAAACGAGAGAGAGAGAGAAGTGTTGCATTTTTTTTTCTAAAAGAAAGAGAGAACAGTTGGCAGCAGTGCACACATATAGTGTAATACGTAATACACACAGAGAGAGAGAGGCCACCAGTTCGTTCGTCCGATTGTACAGTTGTATACGGTCGGTCGACGATGAATATCATTTTCTCGCAATAACATATACAAACGAGAGGGAGAAGAGAAAAAAAAAAGAAAAGACAAATTGTTGTTCCTGACGGTAAACAATTGTCGAAAAGAACATATGAATTGATATTACTATGTTTTATTATTTATTCCTACTATATTTATCAATAAATTCTATATCAACCCAACAAAATCAATGTATTTTACTAAATAATAAATTAACAAAATATAATCTTAAACAAAATTTCCATCAAATATCCAATACACCAGGTATACGTTTATGTCAAGGTTTAATTAATGATCGATGTTGTCCACAAATCTATGAAGATCGTATACAAAATGCAACAGCTATTGAATTATATCAACTATTTGAATTATATACAATAAATTTATATGAACCATTACTACGTTTAACAAATGATTTAAATAGTTAGTAAAATTTATTTCTTATATTTAGAAAATTTTGCTTTTTTGTTAATTTAGATACTTTTATAAAATTAATTGAATATAGTCGAAATGAAACACATTTAGTTTTACAACGTGGTTATCATAAACTTTATCAATCGTATCAGTTATCTATCGATAAATTTTTTAATAATCTTTTAACGTTAACATATCGAACATATCAACATGATATAAGAACATATGTTGATCAATTATTTCGTAATATTTTACATATATCATTAACATTGGATGATAAAAAAGATATAAAACCAACATATTTTTCATGTCTATGGAAAAATCAACCGTTTGGAAATCATCCAAATTTACTTGAAAAACAGTTGGATGTAAATTTAGGAAAATTATTTCATTTAAATGAATTATTTCAATTAAGTCATGAACTTGTTCAAGTTTTGTCCACAGTAAGAGAGCTTTATTTTTTTTGATTTGTAAATCTTCGTGAGAATAATATATCGAAGGACTATTCAAGCATGTAATCATTATGACCGTTTGTATGATGTAACGAATTGTCCGTATCATAGCACTCATAAAATGAGGCGTGTCATATATACAAAAAATATATGTACTACTATATGTTATCTGAATAATCTTTAATATTCACACTATCGTATAAACACGAGATGCGTGAGAAATACATTGACAAAAGTCATTATCATTCGATAAACATATCACTAATATTCTATTAAAAGCAAATAAAATAAACAACAAATTAGTTCTATAAAGAATGAAACAAATCGATTTTCATTTATTAAATTAAAAGTGTTTATTTTCACACATTTTATTTATTTTTTTTCTTAAGAGTGTTACAACGGATTATCATTGTATCGATTCATATATGCAACTATCATATTGTAATCTATGTAGTGGACGACATGAATTACCATGTTTAAATAATTGTATGAATATTATCGAAAGTTGCCTTGTTAATATAACCTTAATCGATGATGTATGGAGAAATTTTATCGGTAAATTGTCAACGATGATATTTTTATTGATATTAATATTATTCTATTTAGATGCTATTGAAAATATCGATTATTTTAATAATATTGAAAAAGTATTATCATCAATTGGTTTGTCTATATCAGATGCAGTTATGACGTTTTTTAATTCAGGTGGAGTACAAAACAAAGATGTATGTAGTGATAGATGAAAGTCTACTATTATTTATAATTATACATATATATCTATATATTATAAAGGTCATCGATCAATGTGGACATATACGTGTACGACGTGAAGCATATACTATCGATCAAAAATCAAATGACGAATATAGTAAAACTGTACCATTATCTTTATTAGATCGACAACTAATTCATATGAGTCGATCATTGCATACATATCGTTCGTTTTGGATGAAACTTCCTCAACAAATTTGTCACTCAACAGGAATTTCAGCATTAAATGGAACAACATGTTGGACAGGAAGTTCAATTTCACGAGACGGAGGGTATAAATAAAAATAAATTGAAGAAAGAAATCAAATTTTTAATTTTATTAGATCTTCTGTTCGATCTCAATATGATAAACCATTGAGTTTAAGATTACAAAGGATCTTGAAAGAAATGAAACAAAAATCGGAAATGATTGGAAATATACGTCGAACTACGTCAGGTTTGTTAAAATAATAAATAATAGTAGAAGAACAAAACTATTGTTTGTTTGATTATGTTAATTTAAATCAATTCACTATAAGTATCATTAGGCAATCTCAATTTGAATTTCTATATCTTCACTCCATTATTAATATTTATTCTTTACAGACATTGAAACCATATAGTTAAATATAAAGGCTTCAATGTGATTGTTTCGTTTAAAGACTTCATAGTATCATCTATTTGTAATATATTCTCTTTTATATAGTACTCAATATGAAATCAACAACAACAACAACAGATTCATCTTTAATCAATCAATCGAAAGCAAATTTAATCATTCAAAATTTGACGGATACATTAAAAACTAATGAACTTGATGATTATCCAAATGATAATGAATTTGATTATTCAGATTATGCATATGAAGATTCAACAGATGAAATAACAACTTCAACAACAACAACAACTCTTCGATCAACAATGAAATTAATAACAACAACAACAACAACAACGACAGTAGCAACAACTACGACAACAAGAAGAGCACCACTAACAACAATATCAACAACTCATATTGACGATGATCTATCTGTTGATGATACTAATACTGCTTATTATGATTATGGTGATCATGAACTCTATAACGATAATGAATTAGAAGAAATCTCAACTACTGAAGAACCATTTTTAATAACGACGACTAGACGAATAATAACAACAACAACAACACCATTTAATTGGAAAGATAGAATACCATTCTATCATAGACGGCCACCGGTTATTTGGAATGTTAATATAAATGACAATGATGAACAACAATCAGAAAAACATGAACAGCGACGTAACAGTGGTTCTTCTCTTCATTATTCTCTTCTATTATTACTAATAATGTATATTTCTCGAGTCTGACGTAATATTCGGCCCGTTGTTTTTCTTCTTTTTTTTTCTTCTTCTTTCTCTATTTTTGTATATCTTTAAAAAACTTGTATCGTGTTTATTATGATTACATGACTGGTATTCATACAGTATGACAAAGAATATGATCATACTCATCAATCATATATATACATATATATATAAATATAAATATATGAGAGCAAGTTTATTTTATTGTATGATGTCATCTATCTGCGAGCAATTTGAAACATTATCATTTGATGAGGTGAAAAGAAAAGAAGTATATGTGAGAAAAAGACAAATGACAGTAAAAGTTTAAATGATTAGTGTCTAGATTATAATAAGATAGTTTTAGTAAAGAAAGATTATAGGTAATATTAAACTAGGACAAAAAAAACGTAATATGAGATATATGATTCATTCAATAGAAAAAAAACTTATATTTCCAAGTTATAATAATAAAATATTAAAATTTAGTTTATATTTCTTCATTGAAGAATTGTCTTTAGTTTTGATAATTAAATGAATATACCGTCTGATCTTTTTATTTTATATACTTCAAGTAAATTATGATATTATACTTCTATTAAAAATAAAATGCTTGAGTAAAATGCTTCCTATGTGTAGGATATTTTTAGAACAGTATGAAATATAAAATCATGAAAAAATAACATGTGGTTAGTGCAATACAATCAAATGAGTTTTCCATTTAATGATCTAGATATGAATTTTTTTGAAAGTTAATCAATACTCTAAAAATAATTGGTTACAAGCTATCCGGATATAATGAAAGTTATTAATATCTACTCATTCATCAAAGAAAATTAGTTGAATAATTATCTATCCGCCGAAAATTTTTAATGATATCACTATTTTCATCACATTATTTATTCACTCTTATTACATACTCTCTATAAAGTATAGTATAACTTCAATAGATTAATCTTTTTCGAATATCTATCTAACGAATGCTTGTGCAACTTGATATAATCAATAATTATATATGTTGAAAAAGATGATAGTAGTAAACAACTCAATATAATCATTTATAACCATCATATACATTTCTTTATGATCATAAACACTTATGATAATGTTTTAATTTTGAAGGACATTATAATCTATTTCTTATATCTTTTAAAAAGATTACATTTTCCTAGACAATATTTCCTGTACTTTAATATAATTTATTTTTTCATTTCTTATATACACTTTCATATATTAAATAATAATAATGCTATCTTGTTTCACTTATTAACATAAAATAGAGTAGTATATGACATAGATTTCCGATATAAAACGTGAGAAAAATTCATTTTAGAATTAATTATCTGATTTTACTAAAATTAAACAATGTCAGACTAGAAATTTCTTGATTGAATTATATGTGTCTTTAAATTGTGGTTTACTTGAAAAAATTTTAATATAAAGAGAAAAAAATGTTCTTAGATTTATTCAACGGAATTTTTATTAAACTGCTTAGAGATATTTTTATATTTAATCATGAGAAAAAAAGGTCAAGGCCAAGAATAAAAACTATTTTGATGTGTAATTGAACCGTTCTCTTTTTTTTATTACTAAAACTAGATTATAGCGCCCTCTGTATTATTAAAATTTTAATCCTAATTTTACACAATTCAATATGTATTCAGTTTGAATGAGTAGAAATTATTTTCTTAAATTGCGATATGAAAATTTCTTTGTTATCAATATGAATCGAGTCCGTTGTTATGGTAACATTTGCGTCCATCAATTCTTGTACTTCTTATCGGTGTTTTTTTTTTTTGTATTTCTTTATCTTACAATTCTTCACTACTGGCTCGTACTCACTGATTGCGTGAGAAAAACTCTCTCTCGTTTTCTTCATTCCTTCTTTTTTTTTATCCTCTGCTTTTCTTCTTTCTCTTTTCTTTTATTGTATTTTACTCGCATTTTATTTCGTCTGATTTATACATCATACATTTTAAGAAGAGAATATATTTATATATTTATAGGTATCTAATAAATGAAATTTTCTTATTTTCTTCTAGATTAATGAAAAACTATCCGTAATAATACACACATACGAGAATAACTTTGTATGTGTGTAGTTCATTAATAAAGTACAAAGAAAAAAATGCGTTCTGGCAATGTGCCCACGTTTTCCCGTGACGAAAACATTAGTGTAAGTTTTAGTTTTACATATCATTTTTTTTTACTCTTTAATTCTAAAAGAACTTATATATATATATATTTCCAATACCATAATCACTTTCCTCTCCAAAGAAACAAAAGAAGTGTGAACTTAGGGTTGAAGAGCAAGCATATGTGTAAACGAAATTCGAGATATTTGTGTTTATATACGTAATGATGTGGTAATGGTGATGGTAGTGGTGGTTTTGCTTTCTCCTTCTTTCTACCAACACTCCACTCAAGTGGCCATCGTTAAGCGGAGAAACGAAATTTTTTCTTCTTGTCGATTTATAACTACACATTGAGGTCTTCTTACTGCTCTTGCATACATACAGATGTAACTAGTTGATGAGATGACGTAAAAATTCTTCGGAAAATGAGAAAAAGGGTTTCGTTCAAGATTGAACACGCACGAACAAGCTAACTAAGTTGTTGGCGTGACTACATCGATAATAGAGAATAAAAGAGAAAAAAGAAAAAAGAAAAGAAAAGACTAACACTACAATCCTTTTTTTTTATGACTTATTCTTCATTTAACGATCATATTTCAATGGTCAACGTATGTCTATATATGCAAAGTAATAATTATTATCAGAAATCGAGATTTCTTTTCTTTTTTTCTTGTTCGTTGACTGATAAAGAATGAAAATTTTCATCTCCTTTTACACATTGTGTGTATGTATGGTTCAATTCGTTGAGTATCAATTATTAAAAACTTACACGCTATACAATGCAAATTTTTTTTTGGTATTGAGTAACGAATATAAGAAAGAAATTCAATTACAATAAATAAAATACATATGTGAACACCAAAAAGATACGTTAACTAAAACGAATCAAGCTGTATGTTTTTTTCTTCGTTATTGCAGACTGACAAAAAAAGAAATGCAAGAATTTTCATAGATTTATTTTAAGATAAAGAAAAAAAGAGTTTATTTATTACTTTAGAATATAAAACATCGTTGTTTTAACAAAACAACTTACAAGGTTGCTATGTTGAGTACTTTTAATCCCATTTATAGATCAAGGATATTATACGTTATGGATAAATCGATAGAAAAAGTATAATGAGATTTCAAGGCAATGTCTATAATAAACTTTGAAAAATATCATAAAAAACTAACAAGGGAATCACCCGAGGTATCAAAAAGCTTTTGAGCTATAATTTTGCCCATAAGTAGGGGATGCATAGACTAGAAAAAGCCTAAAATGATATCGACTATTTATGGTAGTTTTCTATAGAACTCTACCTGTGTGGTAAAATCAAAGTTTCGAATTTTGTCCACACTAACACCTCATTATGGATATCAGGTTTCATATGAATATTTCGATGGATTCATATCTCGAAGATAATCTGTCTAGAATTTCTGAAACTTTGTAAGCAAGCTTGTCTCGTTGAGATGTTAGTGTGGACAAAGTTTCAGGTCTAAATTCGAAACTTTGATTTTACCACGTAGGTTTTTTCTGGTCTATGCATCCTCTACTTGTGGGCAAAATTATAGCTCAAAAGCTTTTTGATACCTCCGGTGGTCCCCTCGTAAGAAATAAATTCTTATCTATGATTATTTTATATGAACCAGAATCAAAACGTGACAAGTCATACTCGATTATAAAAATAGTTTATTTGTCATGCCGCTCTATTGACTATATGTCACCTATGATTCGAAGTTTTGATTTGTAATTTATCATAGGGTATTACTGATATTATACAAGTAGACTAAATATTTGTAGAATTCCATTAATAAAAGAAAGAGTTAATTCATTCGATCTATAATATGTTCAAGTTCATTTATCAATCTATTTGACAGAATATTTCTATTACGAAAAGGAAATAGTCTTTGAAATGCATGAATAATATTCAATAGATGAATAATGCATAAAAATCGTATCATTTTAGCACTATGAATTATCTCATCTGCTTGGTAAAGGTGGTTTTGCTACTGTTCATGCTGCTCGTCGTAAATCAGATGACCTTCGTGTCGCATGTAAAAAGGTAAAAATAGTTTTTTTGAAAAATTCTTCTTAATTTTTAATCATACATATAGATTGATAGAAAAAAATTTGAACAGGAAAATGTTCATCATTTTCAATCATATCAAACACATCGTCATCCAATACCTAGTTCACGTTCAACATCCATGCTTGATAGATTAAATGCTGAAATAAATATACATTATGGAGTTAAACATCCAAATATCGTTGAATTATTGAATCGTTTTTGTGATGATAATTATGTTTATTTAATACTTGAATATTGTTCAAATGGTGATCTTGAACGTTATTTACAAGAGAAAAAAACATTAAGTGAAAATGAAAGTATGAAAATAAAACATTACTTTTTTTTTATTATTCTTAATTCATATTCTCTCGTAGCTCGAAATATTTGTAAACAAGTTGTTGATGGTCTTGTTTATTTACATACTGAGGGGATTTTACATCGAGATATAAAACTTTCGAATTTACTTTTAACGGCTACATATGATGTAGTAAGTTTTAAAATATTTTACTTAGAAACTTAATGTATATATATGTATATAATTCGATAGAAAATTGCGGATTTTGGTTTAGCAAAACAATTACCATTAACACGTGAACAAACAAATGAAACAATGTGTGGAACACCGAATTATATATCTCCGTAAATGAACTGATTTCTTTTTTTTATCATTTCCGAAATAATTTCTTTTATATTTTTATTAGAGAAATTGCCAGTCGAAATCCACATAGCTTTGCTACGGATGTATGGTCATTAGGTATTCTTATTGCTACATTACTAACAGGACGACCTCCATTTGATACAGATAGTATGAATTGATAAATTTATGTATTTATATAAATATGTATATTTTTTTTAAGCTGTTCATGGAACATTAAGTAAAGTAACACAAGAGAAATATGAATTACCAACAACATTTAGTGATGAAGCTCAAGATCTTGTGAATAATACATTAAGAAAAAGACCAGAAGATCGACCAACAATTTATGGTTTGTTAAAATTTTTTGTTAAGATTTAAAAATTTCGAAATTTTTTTGTTTCTAGAAATTCGTGATCACCCTTTTTTTTCGAAAGAATATTCACGTTCATCTCATTCGTATAACGAATCTAATAGTTATCAAAAATTATCATCTGTAAAATAATAAAAAATATCTATTATAAATCAATATATTTCTATATGATATATTTAGATGGGTCCAAATGCATCTGTCGATAGTGGACTTGGAGTATCAATGGGACGACAACGATCTGTATTGAATAGTACTTCAGGAACGAATGGAAATTATGCTGCTCATCAATACTCGTAAGTCAAATATGCATATTTAATAAAAGACTCCTATGTATTTTTTGTTTAGATCTGATCCAATAACATCTCCAACTCCATCTCATCATGCTGCACCAATGTATATGAATACTACTGCACGTAATAAAGTTCCACATGATGTTTTTATATATCCTGTTTTAACATCAACACCAGCTCAGCAACAACCTATTCATGCACGACAAAGGTATTTGATTATTTTAAATAAATCTCAAGTTATCTTTTCTGTTTTTCGTAGCCCATCATTTAATCATCATTCAAATCTAAATGATTGGCTTAGTAATGGATCACATAGTGTAAATGATCCACGTCCGGATAGTGCTACATCATCAGTTTTATCTCGTGATAGTGGTGTTGCTCGATCTGATCCAAAATCTTCACGTGATTTTAGTGCAAAATCTGAAACAAGTTCCAAAACATCCCATATTAATAATAATAATACAGGTAATTATTCTATTTTGTTAAGTCGATCTTATCTAGAATATTCATATTAGTTCGTAATGGTTTACCATCATTATCATCATCAAATACAATTCAACGTTTATTACAACAACAACAACAACATCCACAACAAGTACCAACAAATTTTGATCCAAATACTGATCAAATACGTGAAAAACTAACACCATTAAATACTCAACGATTAAAAATTCTTCGACAAGCAACAAAATCCTTTATCGTATGTTATTATTCTATTTATATATATGTATTTTTTTATTATTATACTTTAAATTCCATTAGATGAGTATTATGGAAAATGGTGAAGTTGTACTTGAAACAATGAGAACAAAAGGTACAAAACGACGTATTGTTGATGTATTTCGTGTATCAAGTGATGGTTTACGTATAATAACATATACACCAAATAGTCGTCATGGTTCACCTATTGGTGATCATCCACCACCAATACCACGTGATAAAAATGCTTATCAAGAATATGAATTTGCTCAATTACCATCGGAATATTGGAAAAAATATTTATATGCACACAAGTAAATTTTCTAATCTATTTATTCTTCTAATTTTTCTTCTTTCTTTCTTTTAGATTTGTTACTTTAGTTCGTTCACGTATGGCAAAAATAATACTTTATACACCTGACGCAAAATGTTCATTAATGGAAACGGGTGTTGATTTTGAAGCAATTTTTTTATGTGGTGTTAAAATTTCTATTTATCGAGAAAATTTTAAATATGATGATCCATTAAAAATAAAAATTATTAATAATATTGATAAATCCGAATCATCATTAGATTTTGATCGTGTTGCAACACCAAATATATCAGCTGTTGAACATTTTAGTCCAGAAATACGTCAAATGCTTGATAATGCAATTACAGTATGTGAAAATCAAAACTAATATTTCAGTTTATTTGAGAGAAAAAAGAAAATTCTTTTTTAGTTTTATTCATTTTGTTTATCAAAAGATCAAATACTTGAAGAACATCAACGACAATTTCCAAATATTCAAACTTTTCCAGTTCAATTTGGAAAGAAACATGCACAACAATCTGAAAACAATAGACCAGGTAGAATTTTTGTCTTTCAGTGATATAGATAATCTGAATATTTAAAATTTCTTTTTGCTAATCAAAGGTTCTGCTTGTTCAATTGGTCGTTCTCTTTCGCAACAATTCGGTGGTTCATCATCAACCGTAAATGAATTATGTATTGCACCATCAACATCCGTTGGTACACCATTATCAATGACATCTACTCGACGTATATTTGCATCTGATACTGATGTTCGAAGTACAAAAAATTCTTCATCTGTAAGTCCAATGTCTTCATCAGCAAGTATTGCAAATAGTAATGTTCATCATTCAACATCATCATCAGCATTACGTACAGCTGGTTATCATCATCAAGTAACATATACACCTCAAACAACTGTATCTCGGCCACTTTCTGTTCATCCACAACAAATTATTTCACCATCATATATGCCTGAAAATTTATCGACATCATCTCTATCGAATCGTCAACCACCACCACCACCCAGAGCAAATATGCAGCATCATTATACATCATCAACATCATTGAATTCAACAGCAAGTGGTGGAACAATAACAACAACAACTAATCCGGGAACAACGTCAACAAATTCATTAAAAGTTGAAGCTGTTGTTCAGTTATTTGAAGGAACTTATCATATTACATTTAACGATAATAGTATGTTGATACTTCGAGCTGATTGTGTTGATGAACAAATATTTTGTGATACACACGGTAATGAGCATAAATTTGATCGAAGACAGCAACATCAACCTGAAGCAATTCAAGAGCGCTTAGCACTCACGCTTAAATATCAAGCAGCAGAACAACAACAACGACAGCAGCAGCAGCAGTGAAATACTTGACAAACATTTTTTTCTATTTGTTTGTTTTTGTTCTTTTGCTAAAAAGCAAATATGTTATTATTTTTTCTTCTCTCTCTCTCTCTCTAAATTTTTTTATCACTCTTAATAATAACAAATGTTTTATTATTATTATTATTATTTGAATACACATGCGCAGACATATGCAACTATCGAAATGAAATAAAATAGCACATGTATTTTTAGAGCACTTTTGCAATGTGTGAAATTGAGCTAGGATAGAAGATTGATTTTTTTTTCTCTCTTTTTTGTTTTCTTATTCTTTTTTTGCTCGCTGTGTTTAGGATTTTCTATTTTTTGTTTCTATCTTTGAATTTTTGTTCACATTTTCTGTGTATTTTTGTCGGCTTTTTTTCTTCTTCTTCTTCTTCCAAGAAAAAACAAACAATTCACACATATTAAATCCGTCCATTTATATATGTTTCTGTTTTGATTTGTTATGATTTATTAATATTATTATTTTCTCTTGTCTTCTATTTTGCAGTGTTGTTGTTTGTTTGATATGATTTTTTTCAATGAAAAAAAAAAAAAGAAATTATGAAAAGTCAAATTATTGAAAAAAATATGTTCATCTCACTTCTATGCACATACAGTTAGGCATAATCCAAACCCAGACTCAAACCTAAACCCAAACTTAAACTCAAACCCAAACTCAAACTCCCGAACGGTTTGAATTCGAGTTTGGATTTGGGTCATGTATACATACAGTAAGAGTAATCTAGCTCATGTCAGGATGCAGCTGAAGGCCGTTTTTTCAATTCTTACTTTTTAAGTAGGAAAAAAAGGAATCACAAGATGAGCGGCTCATAAAACCCATAAAAAAATAGTTGCCCATTAATGTTAGTATGTGCATATGTAATACATAAAAAAAGATTAATTAAAAGAAGGATTTTATAGTGCATCCTGACATGCTCTTTCAAATAGAATTTTTTTTTTAATATATTTATCAAGTCTAGACAGAAGTTTCGGATGTGTGATTGAAAAAATGTAAATTGAAAAAAATATATTTTTCGTTTTTAAATAAGTTTAATGACAACTGTTTTCACTTCATAATATTCTTCGAGGCCATATCGTCCTAATTCTCGTCCATGACCAGATTGTTTATAACCACCAAATGGTGCTTGATTACAAACAACATCATAATCATTGATCCAAACAGAACCTGCTTGTAATTGTTGAGCAAATGTAAGACTACGTGTTACTAAACAAAAGAGAAATATCATTTGTTATTCGGAACAAAAAACAAACTTACAATCTTTTGTTATTACTCCAGCACCAAGACCAAAACATGTATCATTTGCACGTTCAATTACTTCATCGTATGAATCAAATTTTAATATAGACATAACTGGACCAAAAATCTAAATAGAATTTCTTTAAAACAAACTAAAATCTTAAATAGAAAAAACTCAAAACCTCTTCACGAGCAATTTTCATATGATCTTGAACATCACTAAAAATCGTCGGTTGAATAAAGTAACCTTTATCACCAACTCGTTCACCACCATATTCTAATTTTGCTCCATCTTTCTTTCCTAATTCAATATAATTTAAAATCTTTTTAAATTGACTATCATTAATCTAAAATGTTATTAAAATTTATTTTTCAAATAATTCTACTGATCATACTTGTGGGCCTTGTTTTGTATTTGCATCAAATGGATTTCCAACAATACGTTTTTTAGTTAATTCAATACTACGAGCAATAAAAGCATCATAAAGTTTTGTATGAACAAATGTTCGTGATCCAGCTGTACAATTTTGTGCAGCATTAGTAAATATTGCTCGATGAGCAAGATTAACCGCGAAATCGACTATGAATAAAAATGAATAAATTTATTTCATTGACTTTCTTTAACTTACGATCAGCATCTTCACATATAATCAATGGAGATTTCCCGCCTGTATTATATGAATAGAAAAGAATATAAATAGAAAAATTATTTACCTAGTTCAAGTGAAACACGTTTTAAATTTGATTGTGCAGCAGCTATTTGAATTTTCTTTCCAGTCTATTGTAAAAATTATCTAAATTTGTTGCATTTTTTTCGAGAACTTTACTTCAACTGATCCAGTAAACGCTATTTTATCAATATGTTTATGAGTCGCAATGGCATTTCCACATATGGGTCCATCACCTGGTAGAATATTAACAACACCGGGCGGAAAACCAGCCTAAATTAAGAATAAATAAATATAGTTTCTACTAAATTATTAATATATTACTTCTTTGATAAGAGCAGCACAATACAGAGCAGTAAGTGGTGTTTGTTCAGCAGGTTTTAGAATGATTACATTACCGCATGCTAAAGCTGGTCCTAATTTCCAAGCTAACATCATAATCTAGATAAAATCATAGTATATCATAATTTTGAAAGAAAAAAAAAGCAAACTGGATAATTCCTAGAGAAAATAAATATATGATTTATTTTTTGTAAATAAACAATAAACAAACCATGGAATGATTTGTCCACAAATACCAATTGGTTCATGTCGGGTATAAATAAATGAATCATGTCCAGAAGGAATTGTTTCGCCTGTTATCTTATCAACCCAACCAGCATCTACAAATTTTATTAATAGATTTGTTTTTTTAATTAGAATAGATTACATACAATAATCCATACAATCAGCTGATAGATTAATATCACCTCTACTTTCTTCTAGAGGTTTACCATTATTTAATGTTTCTAATTTCTAAAGAATACCATTTATTTGAGAATTTTGATATATTAAATCTTACAGATAAATAATCAATATCTCGTCGAAGTAAAGATGCAAATTTACGTATTAAACTTCCACGTGTAGCAGGTTCTAATTTACGCCATGGTGAATTTATATTAAAAGCTTTACGAGCAACTTCAACAGCTTTATTGACATCAACCTAGTGTAATAGAAAATAAATGCACCGATGTAAATTGACATTTAATTTCATACTTCACTAGCTTCTTCTACTTGACAAATTTCTTCACCTGTACTTGGATTAATAACAGAAAATGTCTTTCCATTGTCTGCTTTATGCCATTCATTATTAATAAATATTTGTGTATATTTTATTTCTATATTCATTGCAATAGAGTTAGTCGATACGATCAAAAAGAGATATAAAATATTATTATTATTTTTACCAGGTGCGTTGATTTATTTTATTCATATTTGTTCTTGACATTTTCTTTTGTTATTTACTTTATCTTCTATTCTTCTTTGCAAGTACATAGTTTACATTTTTGTTTTTATAAATATGTGAGAGAAAATATAATCTATTTAATATTTAAACGAGTTTATATCTTCTAAGTTAATCATCTGAATGTAAATATAAGAACTGATTGTTATAATAACGAGAAAAATATTAGTTTGTTTTTCTTTAAATTATATTATTTAAAACAAATTATTGTTAAGTTTAAAGTTTCGGTTTGTGAATAAAACACTTCGATCTAGTATTGTCAAAATCTAAAATGCAAAAATTCTACAGAGATCTGTGTCACTATGGATTATGAAATAAACTAATTTAATCTTGAATTTTGTATAGATTTATGTATTTACTTCTCTTAAAGAAATAAAAGTGTTTGATTTGTCTCTACTCTAAATGACATCGATAAAATATATATTGTACTAAACAATATTGACTTACTATTGAAAATTCATTTGTCGACAGTCTGTTATTCCGAATGCTTGGAGTAGACTGAAGCCATCTGGCTAAGAGTTTATATAAGCACAACAGATTATTCAAAAGCGTCATGACTCAGAAATCGGTTTCTTCGGCTCATCAATACTTTTATTTTCGTTCTCTAATCGTATTTAATGTATTCTATTCAACTAATTAATGAATATTCAAAATATTTTCATGTCAAATCACAGTTGTTTTGCAGATTACAAATACTTTTTTTTTGTTTTTTACTCGCAAGTAAAATAATTTATTAAATCAAGAAGGTTTTTGATTAATCATGTTTGTTTTCTTATAAAAATAATTTTCTTCGCCTACTAAATTATTATTTTAATATTACTATGGTTTTTAACGATGTGGGTATGGTTAATATATCTCACTTGTGTTCAGTTTTCTTGACAACGGTGAGTATTTCTGCTAGTTAATATTACTTTAAGCATTTTTAGCCCATGATTTAAACGCTGTATAACCCTTTCTTTCAGAAAAGGAAATAATTCTAATATAAAATCAATTATTAAATTATCGAGCAACGAGTCTAGTATTAATTATTATTTACTCTTGTAACTGATAATATGTCTACAACATTTAGTAGATTTTATTAATCGTCCATAAAAAAACCTATTATTAAAATTGTATCCTTGTGTAATATCAATATACCATTCAAAAACAAAAGAAGATGTTGCGAGACTTTTGACGTGCATTATTTACAAGGTGAATGTGGGTTTTTTTCCTAGTGATGATATTATCTCTTATCTTTAAAGAAAGTTGGAAAAAATGAATTCCTTTTTTGCTGTTCTTTATAATCATCTGACTCTATAATTTACATAAAATGATACAAAGGACAAAAGTCTATAATGATAAATCAAAATAAATAAAAGAAGATAGTCTATGACGTCATAAAAACACTGAGATAAAGAAATTTGATTCTCATATATATATATATAATAAAGCTTATTCATCGCCTTCACCATTATAAACTCAGGCAAAAAACTCACAAACTTACCATTTTACTGTCGCATAACAGACGAAATGGATGCCATATCTAATAGCAGAGATCAGCGACGACGTATGGTACAAGATTATTCACTCCTCTGGTTATATGAATGTATGGAAGAAGCAGACAAAGACAATCAAAGTATTTTGGCGCAGTTAAAAACCATTACTGGCAATGTCAACGTCTTTAAGCAGCGAAATGTATGCATCGACTATCTTACAGATGCTCAAGAAAACATCAAGTCTTTTCTCATTCTCGAAAATACTACAGCTCAACAAATTATGCCTCTCATCAATGATATTCCTCAGCTGCATGGTATTTATGTATTCAATGATATCGAAATCCTACATGAAGAATGGACAAGAAAATGGCAAAAAATCAAAAGCATTCATACAAACATCGATAGCTTATACCAAGCATTACAATTAGGTATCAAACAATACCATCAAGACTCCATATCCATGAGTTTTGTCACGGTCAATGATATGACTCTAACTGATAATTTCAATCAGTTGGAGCCAACTTTTATGTACACCCAGCTATTCACAGAAATTCTTCTTGATATGCAACATAATAAACAAGCTATCAAAGACTTTATTACTTACTGTCGAAATCATGACTGCTTGTCACCAGCATATATTGACCGTTTTGAGAAAGAATACAATTCTCGACCAGCTATTTGGTGGTATACTTTCCCATCCAATATCTATTCTATGCTCAATTATGGTCTTCGAACATTGGAAGCCGATATAATTATTACTATGGGATTTTTCCTACGTCGTCTACATCAAGAAATTCAGCAATTATACGAACAACAGGTTAATAGCTACGATAAAAAGCCTTTTTTAGTCTATCGAGGACAAAGTCTTACGGAATCAGACTTTGAAAAACTTCAAAAAACAATAGGTGGACTTATGTCATTTAACAATTTCTTGTCTACCAGTAAAGATAAAGAAGTGTCACTCCAATATGCTGAATGTGCTTCGACAACACCGAATACGGTGGGCATTCTCTTTATAATGTCCATTGATCCTTGTATTAAATCAACACCATTTGCCTCCATAAAAGAGATGAGTTATTTTAATGAAGAAGATGAAATTCTCTTCTCAATGCACACCGTCTTTCGAGTGGTTGCAATTAGACAAAAGGACAATGACAATCAACTTTATGAAGTTGAATTACAATTGACGTCAGATGATGATCAACAGCTACATTTACTTACTGATCGAATACGAAAAGAAGTTCACGGTACTGGATGGCAGAAATTGGGTGACTTATTGCATAAAATTGGTCAATTTCAGAAAGCTCAAGAACTGTATAACGCACTACTCGAGCAGACATCTGATGAGGGTGAAAAAGCGCTTTATTATAATCAGCTTGGATTTGTTCACTCAGACCTAGGTGATTACGGAAAGGCTATTTGGTATTTCGAACAAAGACTTGAAATTGGACAAAAAACTCTTCCTTCAAATCATCCTCTACTGGCTAGCTCATACGGCAACATTGGTTCAGTGTATGGCACCATGGGAGAGTACTCGAAAGCACTTTCATATTACGAGAAAACCCTTAAAATTCAACAAAAAACTCGTTCCTCAAATCATCCTTCACTGGCAACTTTATACAACAACATTGGTTTGGTGTATAAAAACATGGGACAGTACTCGAAAGCACTTTCATATTACGCAAAAGCACTAGAAATTCAACAAAAAACTCTTCCTTCAAATCATCCTTCACTGGCTACTGCATACAACAACATCGCTAGTGTACATGACAAGCGGGGAAAATACTCGAAAGCATTGCCGTTTTACAAAAAGGCACTTGATATTCAACAAAAAAGTCTCCCTTCAAATCATCCTGATTTGGGTATTTTACACAATAACATAGGGATGGTCTGTAGTAATATGGGAGAATATTCGAAAGCACTTTCATCTCACGAAAAAGCACTAGCTACTTACAAAAAAACTCTTTCTTCAAATCATCCTCTATTGGCTAACTCATACAACAACATCAGTTTGGTGTATCACAACATGGGAGAGTATTCGAAAGCACTTTCTTATTACGAGAAAGCACTTGAAATTCAACTAAAAACTCTTCCTCTAAATCATCCTTCATTGGCAACCTTATACAACAACATTGGTTTCGCGTATAACAACATCGGAGAGTATTCGAAAGCACTTACATATTTTGAAAAAGCACTAGAAATTCGACAAAAAACTCTTCCTTCAAATCATCCTGATTTTGCTAAATCATACAACAGCATTGGTTTGATATACCACAGCATGAAAGAGTACTCGAGAGCACTTTCATATTATGAAAAAGCACTTGAAATTCAACAAAAAACTGTTTCTTCAAATTATCCTTCATTGGCTACTTCATACGACAGCATCGGTAGGCTGTATGATGATATGGGACAGTACTCAAAAGCACTTTCATTTCACGAGAAAGCACTAAAAATTCGACAAAAAACTTTTCCTTCGGATCATCCTGATTTGTCTAAATCATACAACAACATCGGTGTATTGTATAACAACATGGGAGAGTACTCGAAAGCACTTTCATTTCACGAAAAAGCACTAGCCACTTACCAAAAAACTTTTCTTTCAAATCATCCTGATTTGGCTACTTCATACAACAACATCGGTTTAGTGTATAACAACATGCGGGAGTACTCGAAAGCACTTTCTTATTACGAGAAAGCACTTGAAATTCAACTAAAAACTCTTCCTCCAAATTGTCCTTTATTGGCAACCTTATACAACAACATTGGTTTCGCGTATAACGACATCGGAGAGTATTCAAAAGCACTTTCATATTATGAGAAAGCACTGGACGTTCAACAAAAAACTCTTCCTTCAAATCATCCTGATTTGGCTGCTTCGTACAACAACATCGGTTTCGTGTATGACAACATAGGAGACTATTCAAAAGCACTCTCACATTTAGAATGTGCTCTGAACATATGTCAGCGTGCATTTCCTGAAACTCATCGTCAGATTAAAGATGTGGAAAAGGGTATTGAAATTGTAAAAGAGAAATTACTCTTTAAAAAGAAACGGTGCCATAGTGCACCATAAGAGGTTTTAGCGAAGAACTAGAACCTTTTATGGTTCTAGATTTGAGTACCATTTTCAGAACCTTTTTTTAGGTTCTAGAAAAAGGTTCTAAAATGTTTTTTGATTCCGTATATCTGGTTAAAACCCTTTCAAGTTATAGATTTTGTTACTGGAACCGAAAAAAAGGTTCACTATGCCACCCTTTTTTTTACAGAGTATAAAGAATATTTACTAATTAAATAAACGAATATTTTGTTCACTTATTCTTAAATCAATTCTATTTCTTAATGTCTCACACGCGCGTACAGAGAACTGTAAATAATTAAAAAGTCATGGAGAAAGCCGACTGATAAAGTAATACACATACACACGTATGTGTATAAATGACTTTCTCAGACATGTTTATAGTTTTAATCCTTTGCGAGTATTCTCTGTAATAAAAAAAAGAAGAAAAAAAAATATTATCTTAAATAGTGATTGTGGAATAAAACAATCTCAAAAGGAGGAAAAATCAGAAAAGATAAAAAAAAGAATAACTTACATGGAATTGAGTTGTTATAGTGTTAAACGAGGCCTCGTCTGATGAAGGAAAAGTTACGAGAACTGCGATATATATATACCCGAATTTATTAAAGATATTCTATGAGAGTAAATGTAAATGTATAATAATATGTACTATAACTCATGATTCGAATATTATATGCTCTGCTTCCGAGCGGAAGATTGTGTAATTAAATGAAAATAGATATATGATTGAACTTTCATCTTTTTATTCTTAACTTTCAATTGAAATTTTTATCGGATGACGGATGAAGGAAATTGACTTTTTACAAATGAATCGTTTTCGTTCGTCACCATAAAAAAACTTTGCTAAGAAGAGAAAAAGAGAATGTGGGCATGAGCGTGAATGGAGTATGGGCTTTGATCCCTGCTTGTCCCACTGCCACATCCCACCCTCAAGATTAAATTTCATTAATGTTCAAATTAATCTTTTTTCAAAGACAACATAATAAAATATCAAACAATTATTGATCAGACATATTAATCACTTACAACTATATAAATTTTTTTCGTAGATTAATGAGTTTTTTTTTGAATTGACTATACATTATGCGTATGTTGACAGAAGCATGTAAGAAATATATATACAATTCCTTGATTACTGAATTTAATATAATACTAAATCATTATGAGAATAATATTGCTTAGGTCAAGTTTATGTATAATAATTTCGATATCTAAATCTTATGAAAACTTCCGATTTCGAGGTAGTGGTATCAGCAAATTGAAATAAGAAAATTCAATGCAATAGCATTACATAACTTCAATGATTTCTATAAATGAATACAAAAAGTTAAAATTCTAATATCTATTTTATTTCAAAACAAAACAACGACTGAAATTATTCTTTATCAATAACATTCAGTACTTCATAACATACACCCATTGTATGATAATCTGTTTTTCCTGCTGGTGATTTTTCATCGGAATATTTTTCATTTGTTGGAGTTAAAATTCTATACCAAGCTCCATATTTATGATCAACAAAATGTTTCCAACTATAATCCCATATTTTATCATACCATTGCCAATATCTTTCATCATTTAATCTACCACCAAGTAAAGCAGCTGTTGCTAAACTTTCAGCTTGTACCCAAAAATATTTATCACCATCATATAAATTTCCTTCAAGATCATAACCATAAATTAATCCACCATTAATTTCATCCCAACCATATTTCATTGCACGATCAAATAAACGAATAGCACGTTCAAGATGCCATGGTTGAGAATCATGTCGATCAAGAATAAGTAAAAGTTTAGCCCATTCAGCTTGATGACCTGTTTGTATACCCCATGGACGAAATATATTTGTTCGAACATCTTTATTATATTCTAAATCTGGTGTCCAATCAAGATGATAATGTTCTAATATTTGATAATGTAATTCTTTTGAACTAGCAGTCATAACTTCCGCTAATGTTTTTGCACGTTCTAAATAAATTTTATCATTTGTAGCTTCATATGCAGCTAACATTGCTTCACATGCATGCATATTATCATTTTGTCCACGATAATCTTTTAATTTCCAATCACCTGTTGCTTCACTTCCATATAAACGTTTATCTTTTAACCAAAAATGTTTTTCCATTAAATCATATGTTTCACGTATCCATTCACGTGCTTGTTCAATTCCAACACGTAATGCACAAGCATAAGCTAATAGAACAAATGCTAAACCATAACAATGATTTGCATCATCGTTTATTTTTCCATCATAAATGACCCATGCATAACCACCTGTTTCAGGATTACGATGAACATTTCGTAGATAATCAAGACCATGATGTGTTCGTTCAAGATAATCACTTTTACCAAAATGAATATATGCCATAGCATAATTATATACAAAACGTGTTGATGATACTAAATGTTTTGTATATGGATCATAGACAGTTCCATCATCTTTATAAAATTGATAAAAACCACCTTTAGGATCAACTGATTTTTCATAAAAATCTAATGTACGTTGAACATGTGAAAGTAGAAATGAACGACGTCGAAAATCCATTTTTGCCGTATTAGTATCTAAAACGAAATGATATAATATATACTACGAAGAAATAAAGTAAACGAAGAATAGATAAAAACAAATATAGTAATGACACGTCATCATAGAAACGTTTTAATCTATACTTTGTCTATTATTATAGGTAGTTACCTATAACTGGATTTAGTCAAAGACACCATAGCCGCAAAATAAAGTCAGAAACCTACCTTTCATTGACTTACAATAATACATTTACTTGTCGGCCTGTTCGCGTAAAACTGCTTTGTTTGTTTCGTAACGCATAAACGATTTAGTATCTATAGGACTGAATACATTTGTAATTCTAGACGACGAATTATGCTCTTTAAAATGGAGCGCTGCAACTTCTCATTCATTACAAACGATTTTAAGTTTTAGACGACAAAAAAACAATGTCTCTTGCTTATCTCTTATGAATGTGGCGTTTTTGTTTTTGATAATAAAAAGTGTAACTTATACTATACAGATATATTTCTGATAAGATACAACAACAAAAAAATGGGCATGATAACATTACAAACATTTTGTACGTTCTAAAGTATATATAAATATTTTTTAAATTTTATTTTCATGAAAAATATCTGTAAGATATTTATCCTTCTGTTCAACTTTTTTCATCGTATACTATCGTTCGTAGATCAACAATATTCTCTTTACTCTAGAGGCAGAACGAAAGAAAGAAGGAAAGAAAATGTCTTCACGTTATATGAATACATAAGACAAAATAAAAACAACGTGTGTGCACTCTTCGACATTTTCTATTAAATATCTTCGTATTTATATTTTATTGAAATAATTTACATGGGAAATCTATTTCGAAAACCTAATGTAGTTTATAAAACTTTAACTGAAGAACTTCTTATACATTGTCGTACTATAACTGGTTTTAGTGATGAAGAAATTAATGCTGAACATACAAAGTTTTTCTCTGTAACTATTGATGGTCGTTTAAGAAAATCTCAAATGGAAATATTATTAGGTGATTATTTACCAATGACAAAACGTAAAAATTCCAAATATTTAACTGATTGTGTTTTTTCGGCAATTGATACAAATAATGATGGTTATATTGATTTTCTTGAATATTTAATGAGTATAAAATTCTTTCAAACTGAATCACCAGTTGAAAAAGCTGATTTTGTATTTCGTATTATCGATAAAAATGGTGATAATCATGTTACACAAAAAGAACTTGAACGTATACTTAAATGCTTACAAGGTTATCACCAATCATTAGCAAATATTAATATTACAGATCTTATTAATGATGGTCCTAAACCAGCAGCTAATGCAATTGTTGAAAAATTAGATGAAGATAAATCAGGTGTTATCAATGTATCAGAGTTTGTTGATGCTTGGCTTAAAGATGAAACTATTCGAGCTTTATTTACTTTCTAATTTTGTTTACATAAAATAAATATTAATCTATCTAATAGAAACATTCATATTTTTTTATTCATACAGAATCTTCTGCATATGACATGATATTAAAAATAAAATCATACATTAAGTATCTAATTTTATACTATTATGTAAATGTAGGATTTTTATTATTAAAAGGATTATGTTACTTTCTTATCTATTTAAAGATTCTAGCACATCAATGTAGAATAGTTCAGGATTTTTTTTCATCAGTAGGATCTTTTATTATATATAGATTCCATGTCCAACGCCCTCTGCAGAATTCTTTTTTATTTTTATTGATTTTCTTGTTTTACCAATCAAAAAAAGACAAAATGACAGGTTGTTTTTTATATATATATTCTTCCATTAGTAAAAAAAATCATTTATTTACTTGTTAAACAATATGTAAAAAGTATAATCAAATATTAAGTGTTTTTTGTTGTTGCAATAAATCAAAATGCAATCATTACATTATAACAGTGGATCTATTAAATTAACTCGTGAACGAGCAACGATGGTTGCTCGTTGGGAATCGAATGAAGTTGCAAGATGGATAGCGGGTAATTATATTACAATAGATAAAATATATACGATTTGTCTTGTTTATTAATTTAAGGTTTAGCTGGAATTCAATCAGATATTAGTGAAATATTTCTTCAATATCATATAAATGGTATTACATTAGCGACGCTTCTTCGTCAAGATCTTATTCATATGGGTATTACAAAACTTGATCAACAACTTATATTGATGCAATCAACTGATCAACTTCTTACTCTTGTAAATATTTATTTGAGCGAGAAAAAAACAAATTTTTCACATTTCATTATTTATAGGTCAATCGATTAAATAGCGAAACATTAGCTTTACTATTTATGCGTATACATTGTACAGCTACAGCATGTTATAATCTATTAAAAAGACATGATGAACCATTGAATGACAATAGTAACGTAATGAATTCACCTGAATTTTATACATCTATTAGCAATCTATCAAATGCAATTGTTGAAACTTGCCATTGGCTTGGAAGGTAAACGAAACAAAACAATATTAAAATTATGAATTATTTATTTTTCTATTAGATTACCATTTATTGAAAATGCTGAATATATTGATTTACGACGTAAAATAATAAAAGCACTTGTTCAAATACGTGTTTTAATACGTAATTTACGTCTTGTTGATCAAATTAATATGCCAAAATCAAAATTGATTCTTGAAGTAAATTGAATAGTTTATAAAAAGATTTAAATAATTTTATTTTACTAGATAAATGAATTACGAACAACAGCTATTTCATTAGTTCGTCAAAATAAAGATTCATTATTTTCATCCGATTGTTATTTAATAAGAGTTAATTTACGACGTCCAATTAAAGATGATGTGGTATGAAATTTAGCAAAAATCAATTTTAAAAAAAATGTTTTTTTTCATTAATTAGAATATTGAATATACAACAATGCCTGATTTTACGCATTTTATATCAAGTATTGAAACCGAAGTAAGTAAATTTAATTTAATTATTAATATAATTATTTGAATTTATTATCAGGCTATGAGTTATATGGGATCAGGTTTTAATGCAATTAATATTGGTGATGAAATTATTGAAATTAATAATCAAGTTGTGGTATGTTTTATTTATGAAAATTTTGTTTGATATTTTTCTCAAGTTTAAACTAAATACAAATTGTTCAGATATGAGTGGTTATTACAATTTCAAACTAGACATAGAGAAAGATCAGTAATAAGATGATTTATATTCACGACCCAACGGTCGATTTTGAGCGCATTTGTCCAAAACCTTTTGTCATCTATCTAAAATATCTTAATGTTCATAGATCGGTTGGGATCCAATGCATTTTAATGAATTAATTCGTTCATCATCTCGTGCAAATGAAATATGTTTATTAGTAAAAAAGATGCCAAGACATAATGATGATGAAATATATACAAAACGTTTTGTTGATTTAACACCAAATCCTCGACGTACACGTGCACGTGGTAATTTAGAACGAATTAAACAAACGGAAGATAATCGAACGAGATTATTAGAACAAGAAGGGTATGAAAAAATTATTGTTTTTTTGTCTAATGATTTTTTCTCAAATTACCATAGAATTCGAGAAGAAGATCAGGTAGAATAATTCGTATATATGTTGTCTAAATAAGCGTCTCTTCTTTTACGAAATTTTATGTTGTATTCTTCGTTTTAATGATTTCATAGAGATAATCGTTGTTGTTTTTTTTTACATTATTTTTTATTTCGAATTTCTAGGGAGATTGATGTAGAAAGTGATGACGAAACTCTTTATCAAAGTAAACGTTCTTCCCAAATTAAACGTGATCAACATTCATCATTACCTGATCTAACTGAAACACTTACTGATACTAAAAATACAAAGAATATTAATCAAATATCTGACCATATTGTACCTTCATCCTCAACATCATCTGTATCTACAATTGCAATGTTATCACCTATTTCTCCTATAAAATTAGATTCGAAACGAAAGAGTATAGATTTAGAAAAAACAACAATAAATACATATATGTATGTTTTGTATAGGTAATAATCGAACACAATCAGCTGGTGGCATGCCTTCATCACCAAATGTAACACCGAAAAGTGCTAGAAAAATGGTAAAGAAAACTCTTTATGTAGAGATCGTATTGTATTAAATAAATAAATTTTCTTTTCAGGGTTTTGAATCATATTTTTCAACATTATTTCGTCCTCGTCATGATGCTAAATCGATTATACCAGATCTTGATGATCATAATACTAAAGATCAACCACAATTAGTAACTGTTAAACGTATTAATTCAACCTATAAACAAAATCCTTCAAACAATTCTCTATCATCAATTCAAGATGAACATATTGCATCATCTCCACCACCATTACCATCACCTATTGATAAACGTGGTAGTCAAAGTAGTTTACAAATGCCTTCAACACTTGCACAAATTTCAAATATTTTCAAAGTACAAAAAAAACTATTTTATTAATTAATTAAATATTTTCTTCTTCTATAGTCACCTGAACAAAGAAGTAAACGAACAAATGTCGATAGTGAAAAGAATATGACGTAAAATTTTGATTTCTAGAGAGAGTGAGAGAAATATCTTCATCTATATTTAATAGATTTCGAAATGAATTAAAAATGGAAATTGGTTCAATTTTTGGGCATCATAACCATGGTATCGTTGCCAATAAACCACCAGTAAATCATAGTGATAGTCGAAAGGTATTTGCTAATTTTTATTTTAATAATTATTTGATATCAATATTCATTAATTTTAGAGTTCTGTTACTACTGAACGACGTCGTCCAAAACGTAAACGTAAGTAATATAAATTACTGTTCGATATGATATCGAAAATATTTTTCTAGCAACTGTTGAGTGGTAAAGTAAGAATCAGAAGGTAACATTCTTCTATATGTATATGGGCATAGTATATTTTTATTTATATATATATGCTGAAGATTGACGGAAATTATTTACTAAGACTAAAAAGTTAAATTGCTTGTTTTCTAGCTAATGACTGCTTTTGAGAAAAAAAATCAATCCGATTTAGAGGATCTGTTTAATTAAATCACTTTCGAATTCCACCATCTTGAATATTATTATTACAGTATAGAATTTTCTATTAATTTACTGCTTCAATTTAGACTATTTCTAGTGTAGATATATACTTTAGCGGGTTGTGAAATTTCGATCTATGATTTACTTATATTTGTTTATTTTAGCATCGTATAGAAAAATCTCATGTAAAGATTTGGGTAAAGGTGATTGTGAAGGTTTTTTACATCGTTATTTACCTAAAGGTGCATTATCACTTGTTCAATGGCGACTTTATTGGTGTGTTTTAAAAGGTGGCACTTTATATGTATTTAAATCTAAAGATGTAAGTTAATAAAATTTAAAGATTAAAAATAAGAAAATATTTTTTTCTAGGATAAAAATCAAGAAGTAGAAATAAAACTTGAAGGAAAAAATGTATCACCAGCACCGGAACGAAGAAAATAGTAATTAAATCTTTTTTTTGTAAAAGACAAATGAAATGAAATCTTTTTTAGTGGTTTTCGTATTGCTGATGAGAATAGTAAAAATCGTGAATATTTTTATTGTTCAACACGTGATGAAATGGCTAAATGGATGAATAAAATGGGTTTAGCAGCTATTAATTTTAATATGGATGATTCAAAAATTGGTGGATTTCATAAAGGTTTTGTTGATTCACGTGAAGGTTCACCAGCATCAACACCAATTCTCGGTGCATCACCAGCATCAATTACTAAACAACAACGAATGGGACATATTGGTTCAACTGGTGATAGTGAAAATGATTCCGATAAAGATTCAATTGCATCATGGCATAAATCAACATCACAACATAGTAGTGTTTCAGATACTGAAACATCAAGAGATAAAGTAAGAAAAATTGATTTCGTAGTAAAAAATATTCGTTTTTAATAGAATGATAAACGTGCTGATCTTTCATCTCTTGCTCGTCATGCACGTTCAGCATCATCAGCTTCAATTGTATCTGATACACATAATAGTTCAATTACATCACCATCAAATCGTTTTGCTGGTCAAATTAATTCATCATCAAACAAAAATCATTATCGAATAAGTAGTTCGCCAATACGTTCTCAACGATCATATGAAGATGATCAACAAAATGCTTATGTTACTGCAGCACCAAGACTTTCGGATTCGGATTCATCAACTGAACTTCCTTATAAACGAATGTTGATTAATAATCCAACTATGAAGAATAATTCATCACAGAAAGTAAGATAGAGAATAAGTAGTTTGATAATAGTAATTCAATGAATTATCTTTTTCATTCAGCATCTTCAATCTTCAATTAATGATCAATCGAGAATGTTAAATTCTTCTAGTGGTTTTACTATTCCATCTTCTACACCTCGTCTATCTAGATCAAATGATAAAACTCTAGCACAAGCTTCTAACAATAATATGTTTCATATGGGTAATGAAGAACATTCATCGAATCTATCTTCATCTCCACCACAACAATATTCACCAGCAGTTGTACGTGTTGCTCCATTGTATATATCTGTTTATACATCAACTCCACCGATACCTCTTGTGAAAGGTACAGTTGCTGTTTCAACTCCTTCAACAAATAATGATGAATCATTTTTTACTCGTCGTTCACCTTCACCAACACCCTCACCACTATTAAAAACTACCGAACAATTCAATACAACAAATTCATCACCAACTTATAAATATCGTCATCGTCATCCTTCTACATCTCAACAAAAATAACTGTCTTTCTTCTCATATATTTTTGCTTTTTCTTTTGCAATATTTTTAAATATCAAAATAATTTTGTTCTTTGTTTTATTTTGTATTTGATTTCATTTTCATAAATATATATATATATCTATATATTTCAAATCATTTCTTCAGAAAGTATAACTATCGAATAATTACGCAAAAGAAAAAAATATGTAGTGGTTTTTATATCAATTGATCAAAACTATAACAACAACAAGAAAACATTCATTTACAAATATGTGTCGACTATATCAGTAAGTAAGATGAGTCATAAAAGATTGAGTCATCCACTATTATAGAAAAAAAAGTAGTAGTCACTTATAAAATTGTTGTTTTCAACATGTGGTAAAGGTAAAAAAATGTTTTCTCTCTGAATGATCGTAAATATTTAAGGTTGACCAAAATTTCTAAGCCCTATTTTTTGACTTTTATAAAATAGATAATATCGAAAGTTTTATTATTAGAAAGGATGGAATTTCGTATTAACAATAACGGCGACTATTTTGAACATTTAATGAAATAAAACTGCAAATATCTTTTTCGTTTTATTTAATGTAGCAGAGCTTTAGTTTAGTCCTATGTATTATAGACTTCATCTAAACGAATGTTAGATTTAAATCCAAGATACAGTTATTCTACTATGTATTTATGTAATAAAATTTTCGATATTACCTATTTTATAAAAGTTAAAAAATAGGACTTAGAACTAGAGTCCCTGTCTGAGTCAAGTAAATTTCATGTCAATAATTCAACTTTAAAGTTAAAAACTATTTCAGGTCATAGTTTTGTTGTTCGACATTTTCTCTACAAAACTATGTATTTTGAAGAATAGATTGGAGTCACTTTCGACTCCGACCTTTTCTATATTTTATTTTGGTTTGTAAGACTCGATAAGACGTCTGCCCATCCTTCAAAATACGTAATTTTATAAAGAAAATGTCGGACAACAAAACTATGAACGTAAATAATTTTTAACGTTAAAATTGAATTACTAACATGACACTTACTTGACTCCGTGCAGATCCCTACTTAGAACTTCTGGTCAGCCCTAAGTATTTCTGAGCATTCGAGCTTTTTTTTTACAAGAGAAATATTGCATAGAAACAAAATATTTGGATTTAAAATCGTTAAATAAATATTCAGTGTTATGAAATTATATATCTTGAACATTGAATTGTGTATTATTGATAGATTTCTTTCAGCCGAAGGGCAGATCTTGAGAAATCTTATCAAAGAAGTACGTAATACATGATTCAATATTGTTTTATTATTTTTTGAAATTGTCAAAACCGCAATATTGTTTCATCAATCGATTGAATACTAATTAAAATATTTGATATATAAAATTAACTTTTATTTTCCAATAGAAACATTCAATTTGTTATTTTGGTTTGATGATCAATTCGATTCTTCTTCAATAATGTTTATTCGTTTTCTTTTACAACTTGCTATTTTTTGGTTTAGTATTCATTTATTCAATTATCTCTTATTAGTTTGTTTGATTTCTTTTCTATATTTTATGTTTTCATTTTATTTATCTAGCGTTTTCAAGCTACAAAACGTTCCTATCTTCGTTTACTTCGTTCATTAGGTTGTCATATATCAATATTGAATATAACTTTTCATACAACTTCATTCAATCGACTTTTTTATCGAATTGGTTCAAATAATTCACGTCTATGGAAAATATGGTTTACTCTAGGAATATTTATTGCATTTCTAACAGCTATTTGTGCATGTTTAACATTAATCTTTTTACCTATGAAATATATTTATGATTTTCAACAAGCAAATTTATTTTCAACATCAAATTTAACAAATAACAATGAACGTGATAAATTACTCATTCAACCTATCGTATATAGAAAAATAGATTTCTCAATAAAATTATAATAAATAATAATTTATTTAGATTCCTGGTGTTAATGTACCCTTAGAACAACTAGGACATTTTTTTCTGGCACTATTAGTATGTACTGTTTTTCATGAATTTGGACATGCTGTAGCAGCAACAGCGTAAGAAATTTTTGTTGATATGAAATGATTATTAATTTGTTTCTGTAGTGAACAAGTTCGTTTAAATGGTTGTGGATATTTTGTATTGATTCTCTATCCAGGTGCTTATGTTGATTTAAATCATGAACAAGTATTAATGATTTCAGCTTATAGACAATTAAGGTAAATAAAGATTTTTGAAAATTAAAATTTTTAAAAATAAAAAATTATATTAAAGAATTTATTGTGCTGGTATTTTTCATAATATCGTTCTTGTTCTTGTTGCTGTTGGATTTCTTCTTATACATCCAATTTTTCTTCGTCATTTTTTTATTGAAACAGCAATAGTTTCTGGTATTGCAAAAGTAAATAAAATTTTCACTATAAAATCAATAGACTATTTCCATATTCTCTTAAGAATTCGCCAATTTCGAATCTTCTTCCTATTCATTCAACAATTGAATCTATTGATGGTTGTTTAATACATACATCGAAAGATTGGTATCAATGTTTACGCTCAATTCGTGATCAACATTCTCAAAAGAGTAGTGGTTATTGTTTAACTCAGGCTGAAATTCAATTACTTTCAAGTCATATTGGTAAGAGAATATTTCAGTTTTATCGATGTTTTACTTTAATAATTAATCGATTCTCCCAACTAAGGTCGAAGTGTAAAAATGTCGAAATATGATGATAAGACTTTGGGTGTTCGAAACAACTTAAGGGGAAAACTAAAAAACGACGTGAAGGGATGGGTGGGTGTGGGTGTCATCTTCTTCGCTTCCATACGCACCCCCACACCCTGAGGATTTTTAATACTCAGTTTTTCTAGCCATTCGACATTTCTGCCCTTCGATATTTTTCCTTTTCGACCAAAGTTAGGTTTACCAAATTTTTCGATGATTTTTTTTTCTTTCTTTTAGAATTAAATCAAACAAGTAATTATGATTGTTGTCAAAATTTATCTCAAAAAAATTATTGTTTTCTCTATCATTCCGATCAAGATTCACATCAAGTAGGAATATTTTTCATTATACTTAAAAAAATTTTTTGTCGTTTTATTTAAAAAGAATGGTGCATGTATGGAAGCTCGTAGTGTTACAAAACATAATTCATGTTTATTAAATAGTGATTGTCAAATACAAGGCAATGATTTCTTATGTGTTCATCCATTTTCAGCTGATAATATAACACGTTTAATACGAATTTCACATAATCAAGGTCCAGTCATATTATTTGTTGGTTCAATTAATGAAATCTATCGAACAAGTAAAGAAGAAAAAAAATTTTTTTTTGTATAGCTTCTGTCTATCCTAGAAAAGAAAGAGAATACATAAGAATTTCATTTTATTTCTTAAAAAACATTTAATCATATATTAATTTGAATGAAGACTACTATTATACTAAATTAAATCTTTTCATCATATTTCCTAACTTGAATTTATACTTTTTCTTCTTTTAATTATTTATTAAACATGTAAATAAAATTTATATTCTAGTTACTATTCAATCTTATCAAGCTAAATATAACTTCATTCCAACAATTCTCATTAGTGATATTCCATTATTTTTTCAGTAAGTTTTTTTTTTATATTTAGTAAATTAGTTTTTCATTTGATTAATTTATTTCCTTCCAGGTATGTCGGTGCATTTTCATTTGCTCTTGCATTTTTTAATGCAGTACCATGTTATGGATTAGATGGGCAACATATATTATCATCATTAATTGAATATCTTTCACCAAATTTATATCGAAAATATCGTTCTCATTTAACATTAGGTTTAATTTTTGGTACAGGTCTTCTTATTATTAACGTTTCATTAGCTTTTGCACGGTATTTTCTTTAATAGTAATTAAAGAAAAAAAAATAAAGATTTTATATATATATATATATATATATATGAATACGGAAAATCTATGATGAATGGAAGAGAATATGTTGTTTAATTAGAATACACATATATGAGGATATGCACCTCGACAACCAAAGCGAACAGTCAAAAAGGAAATGAAGGAAAATTAGAAATGTGGAGAGTGCCAATGAGTATCATATGATATATATAGATATATATAACAGGATATTGCAATTGAAATCAGCAATTGAACCAATAGACGATAGATAATGACGTTCATTCACTTTCTTTTTTTCTTATTGTTTTATTGTCATCAATATGATGATGATAATGACAAAAAAATGCTGATGGAGATGATTAAAGAATAAAAGCAAACCGGATATGAGCAATTCATCGGCAACAGGCACTTGCTACTATGACTGTCGTCATTATCAAATGTAATCAAGCTGCAAATTACTTCTTCATTCAACAATATTATTGTCGCTGTCGTTGTCGTCGACGTTGTCTTGAATGTTCACATTACTGTTGTTTCTTGTGAATTATTCACAAACAAGCATGTTATTAAAGATACAGAAGGCATATATATATATATATATATAGTAATTATTGCTTTTAAAAGTCTTCGCATGTTACCCACATCATCATCATCAACATGCTTCTTTTTTTTCTTCTTTTTCTATTATTTATAAAAGGAGAGTAATTTAAAAAAAGAAAGAACGAAAGAGAGAGAGAGAGAAACTCAACACATATTTATGACAACCTCGAATCTAATTATGAGTATTATCGATCTAAATATAAGCGAATATGTAACTAAAGAACAATTAAACGTGTTACACTCTTCAATCCATCGAGCCACTTGTATATGAGAATGTGAACATGCGATATATATATATACGAATCGTCCACAATTAACTGAAGTAGCTGTATTCATTCAGTAACACGACAGGTGGGATTGATGAGAAGGAAAAATCCTTGGCATAGAGACATTATAGTTACATTTTCTTTTCTTCTATCAATAAGATATAAATGAAGCAGAAAAATGGTTAAGTCTTTTTTCACAGTAACAGATTAGCCAAGATTATTTGATTAGATCGAGACTCTTTCTTTATGTGTGTTATCAAACATGCAAACGATTCTTTAAAGAAGAAGAAGAAGAAGAAGAAAATGTAGTAGGGCGTACAGACGTTCGTCTCTTTCTTTTGATGATGCATTTCCGTACTTTCCTCGTTAAATTACTACTTTAGTCTTCTTTCTTACATTTCCGTTTATCTATCGTCTAATTTTCCATGTTGTCATTATAAAATATAAGTCACGAAATATTCTAATAAATTTTTGCTTCTACAGAAAAACGAACCAATCGATTTATTTGCCATAGGGGAGAAATTTTCTTTTTTTCCTTTCATGTTTATATGTATATGTTCAAAAGATTCAACCAATCGTAAAACAATCCGATTTATATATTTACTAAATTATAGGTTTTCTTTCTAAAAGAATGATTTTTTTGTTATATTAATACATACTATAGTTAAATTCATTTTGTCATATTTAAAAAATAAGATACACACGCACACACATACAAACAAAACAAACTGTACAAGCACTGTATAAGAAAGAAATGAAAAAAAAAAAGAAGAAAAGTGATTTATTTTTTGTCAAGCACTTGTATCTTGTAGTTCTAGTTTAACACGTCTATGATGATCAAATCTATCAATGACATTGGTTAAATAGGATTCTGATGACGAAGAATTTGATGAAGGTGATACTGATGATGGATTTAGTGTTGTTGATGAAGAAGTTGGTTGATGATTATGATAAAGTAGATTAAAATGTGGATGTTGATTGGAAGGTAAACGTGTTAATAGTTTTTCATCAATATGACCCATTAAAAATGGAAGATAATGTGCGGGTGGTGGTGGTATTACTTGTGAAGGCCGATCATTTGTAGAATTATTCGGAGGAACATTTGCTGTTAAAGCATTAGATAAATACGATGACATTTGTTGACGAAATGATTCAATATCATGTGGTGCTATAAAACTTGGACTTTCACGACCGAGTGCTTTCTCACGTTTACGCCATTTTGCTCGACGATTTTGAAACCTTATAATAGAAGAAAATTTAATGATTTATTAAGAATTGATTAATATTAGTTATTTTATTCATTTGATCCGACATTCACAAAGTATAATTATTTATTTATATTGTAGATAAAATCTACTATACTCATATTTCACTTATTATATATTCAATAAGATTTAATCGCTTACTCACTATTTATAAGAATAATAAATTTTTTTTTTTCTAAAACTTACCAAACTTGTACACGTGCTTCACTTAAATCAAGCCTCATAGCAAGTTCTTCACGTGTAAATACATCAGGATATTGTGTTTTTTCAAAAGAACGTTCTAATTGATGTAATTGATAGGTTGAAAATGTTGTTCGACTACGTCGTACTTTTCTTGGTCGATCATCTAAACTATGTTGTTCACCTGATGAATCACGTTCTTCATCATTACTACTTGATAATTTATTATTGCAATTATCGTTATGATTTATTGATGATGGTAATTGCACAATAGATGATGGTGATAAAATTTCAGGTGCTAAAAATTGAAAAAAACATATTGATACATCAATTGTTTTTTTGTCTGATCTTATTCTCTTCCTCTTCTTCTTCTGTTAATGAGGTAATTGACGAACAAATTAACAAGACATTCACTCTTTTCTTTTTCTTCTCCGAACAATAAGAATAGATTCCCAATTCAATTGTATCGATTAAGTCCCATACTACTTATACATGTGTCGAGTGGGTATGTATGTATGTATATATATAGAGAGAGACAGAAAATATCGAAGAAAAGTTGAAGTGATCAATTAGAATGACAAGAACATGAACGAAATGAAGACAATTAAAGATAGTTGAAATGAATAGGATATTTATTATATTTTTCTTTTTTACCTTCAATTGTTTGTCGTTTATGTAATTGATGTTCATAATCATCATTTTCATTCGATATTTTTCGTTTTAAATGATTCGTTGTTGTTGTTGTTGTTGTTGACGAGGAATTATTTCCAAGTATACAAGCAATTGTAAAACCTCGCATTATATATAATAAATATTCGGTGTTTTTTTTCCTTTTTTTTATTCAATTATTAAATGTAGTGGATGATTTGATCGCGGGTGCACACCGAGAAAGAAAAACGTTGTATGTTCGTCAGTAGAAGTGGTAGCGATGATAATTATATTCGCTTTCTCCCTTCTCTTTCTCTTTCTCTCTCTCTCTCTTTTTCTTCCGTCGAAGAAAAAAAAATTGAGTGCGCCGAAGCTATTCCATTGGTGCATATTAAAAGTGAGACGAACCTTATGTTGTAATCAACAAACCAATATAATCATTTCACGCGTGCATATTGTACATGAAAAAAGCAAGCGCGAAGAGAAAAAGAGAAGAAACCTTACTTCGAGGTTTCTTTCTTTTCTTCATCGCTTCGAGCTTCCGTATGTATTCGTTTCGCTGTCTGGTTGACGACATTCTAATTTGTCTAAAATGATGACTATATTAAATAATAGATGAATTAACAAACGACGTTTTACTGCTGTTGATTCCTTATTGAATATATATATGTCAAAAAGAAAAACAGCATAAGAATAAATCTCATTTGATTTTAATCGAATAAAGATAATGGCAGTAGTTTTTTTTGTGTTCAAGTATTACAAACATTTTAATTCAATTTGAAGTTTTTCCATCACACGATTTAGTGTAATGAAAATAACTGAATATTTTTTTGTCACTTATTGTTAAAATCTTAAATTAATTAGTTCTCCCTAGTGCAATAGTGACATACAAAAAAAAAAATTTTTTTTTCTTATAATTAAAAAAACTAATTCATTTTTTTATTTCCTATTCATCTATTATACTCAATTTAACACTTGAGTTTTTCTTCTTCTTCTTCTTTCTTCATCAACAATCAATTTAGCATTAGTGAAAAAGTTTATTATCTTGTAAACAAATTTCTCGTAATTGAGTACTTAAATTAAAACTAGTGAATTATTTCAATAATTACAATTTTATGTATTAAAAGCTTGTTGAAATGAAATATAATAATGATCAAAGGAAAGTACTTATGAAGTAGTTCTATTTAAATAACATCAATAGAGAAAAGAAGGGGAAAGAAAAAAGATTGGTTAGAGTCATTTAATATTTATCGACTTTTTTTTCCTGTTTATGTGTGTCGTCTATGTATATTACACGAAGATATTATAATTGATCAATAATAAGAAGAAAACTGTCCTTAATAGTTGTCAATACGCGTGTCGATAATTGAACACTTCATTTCCTGTGAAATTAAACACAACTCTTTTTCTTTTTCTCTATTGTTTCATATCACTTGCCATTGTCGAAGCCCTCGAGCATAATTAAATGTATATTATATGTATACATTGTGTACATTAAATTGATAGAAAAAGACATATGACAATCATTTGATTTTTTTATTGAAAATAAAAATGAATTTTTCTTTTTCTTGGGAACTTGATTAATTGATTTCAATGTAAATATTACTATCATTGCCAATGGGTAATAAGAATTTAGAAAATGATATTTAATGAATAGATAATTAAAACTATTGATGCATAATGATGACCATTAACTATAACTAGATCTCGATAAAGTATGAAATAATTGAAGAGAATTTTGGCTTGAAAGTCTTTTTTTTCACATTTCGAGATAGTTAAAACGAAAGTTTGAAAAAATAAAATTAAGCATCATAAGATCGTCTTCAAATATTATAAAATGCAGTGCATAATCAATTTTCATATGATTTTGAAATTAACTAAATATCTGTCCCTTTATTTTTTTTTATAAAATTAAAAGTTTTTATGTGTTTTTGAGTTTTGTTAATTGTATTGTATATTTAGCTTTCTATCCAATACTTTTTATAAATGTATTATGAGAGAAAATATTTTGAAAACATGTTCAAGTCACCAAAAAAGTGAAGAATATAAATTCATATACCATTTTTACGACAGTTACTATTTATTAGTTCATAAACATTGCTTCAATAATATAGTTTTTCTTTCATATTTTGTCTATAGAATTTAATAGTATGTCATCTATTAATGTATATTATCATTTTTCGTATTTAATATATACATCAATAGGATACATTGTTTTCGAAAGATTTTAGTATTAATCTCAATAACTTTGTCATTAAAAATATATACTATCGATTGTAACTAAAAGATACTTTAGGATCCAAAATATTTAAATTAAAAACATCTTTATTATACACTTCGAAATCCAGTATTTATACTGTTCTTCTTCACTTTTTTGACGTACATAACAAATAGAATCAATCAATCTAACAAACTTCAACAATTCTCAATCGAAACAACAAAAAATTTCTACAAACAAAAGAGCCATAACGATAATTTATCAATATTTTTCTCCATTGATTGAGTGAAACTATTAGATCTTATTCTTTTTCACGTTTTTTGTAATATCTTGTTGGCCTTGTCGATTAAGTTTTTCTAAGAAAATAAAATTCATTTCTATTTATTTAAGCGAAGACAACGATATTTTACTATTCTTTTGCCTCTCATCATAGTAGTGTTGACAAAATACCTCCTCTTATTATTCATCGACGAGGGAAGTGTAAATAAAAAAAGATTGTCTCTCGTTTACAACGTCAATATTAACCTAATTTAAGTTGAAAGTTTACAACTTTCATTTGCTCCCTACTATAAATAAGAAGCACATTTCTCTTACCAACGTCTTCGATTCTCTTGCAACAATCTCTACAGATACGGCAGAAAACGATCACAAATGGACCAAGATCACATTCCATCGTAAGGCAATATATTCCCAAGCAACTTCGGCCATCAACAGCCCTCATTGGACAGTTCCCCTGCGCCTAAAGAAGATTATTCGTCCCGTGACATGGTTTGTCGTCATCGTGCGATACCTGGACATTGTCCAGAATGCGACAGATAAAAAAACGCTACATCAAAATGAATACATTGTAGTGTACTACAATGAATTGACTGTTGTGTGTTTTCTGTATTGTATTTGTGTCAATATTGTGTGTTATTATTCACTTAAGGGTGAGGGTAACATATTTACACATGAATCTTACTCACATCCACATTCTGAATCTCAATAATTTTATTATTCAAAATATATTCTATCGATTGTAACTAAAAGATACTTTAAGAACAGAAAGATTTAAATAATAAGCACCTCGAGGGTGAGGATGTCGTTATTCTCTTCACATACTCTCACGCTCACCCTCACCCTTATCATCAAGATGTGTAATAGTGTACATGTCAAAGTACATTGCTAAAGTTAAAACATATTCGATCGATTATGTCATAGATCTTACCAAACTGTCTTGTAATGCATATGATAAGCTACGGCGCGAAAGTCTTCGCACAAAATATCTGTCCAATTTTCTATCCCTGAAACTCCAATAGAGACAATGAAAAATAGTCAGTGAGAATCAAAATTTTACGCTCTCTCACAATATACATTCAGAAGTATTTGTTCACTTAGATCTGATTTAATAGTAGCAATCAATGGAATAAACTAAAAAGAGACGCTTGTATAAAAGACAAAATTAGGATATGTTGACACTGATATTTGCTCATTTTCTATACACTAAGATATCATCGAAGGGTGAGAAAAGTAGTCAACGTGAGTCAGAGTTTTACACTCTTCTTATATATATTATCGGAATTTTCTTCTGAGTTAAACCTGTTCAACTGTGAATACATAGTTGAATAAACGAAAGTGTTGTTTTCATTAAATAAAATCAATCAATTCTGTGAATATTATTTTTAAACAGTTTTAAAATGTATATTATTGTAGAGAGTTTAGTTTTCTACGAAACCATAAGGTGCCATAACGCTGAACTTCAAAAAATCAAAAGCTATAAACATATTTCGACAAGAGTAGGTGTCGGTGTAAATTATTGTAGATGTAGATGTCCATATCGCTTTAATCCACAATCACACTCCTCAACCAGATAAAATTGTATATATCAATAGTTTTGACTATTCAGTTGTGGATGTAGCTACGAGCGTTACTTGTTCTTTTATGTAAGCTTGAAAGATTTCTACTCTTGGAAATAAAGTCTTTTTTATAAGTAGTTCTAATCATGTATTTCAAACAATAAAGAAAAATATGAATTTATGTATGCTAAAGCCAACGTTGATAGTTTTCGACAAAATATAAAGAAGATATAAATCATATTAGAACTATTTCATTAGGTACAATGATTTATACGACTTGATAATCAAAAAGAATGAGACGTGTAACAAGTTGTGAACAAAACATAGTTTGCAACATTTATATGATGTTTTCCAAACAACCTATTTATTCAATTATCTTTCGTTTGATTGAAGGGAACTAATGAATACGATTCAATGTACCTTTTCTCTATCATATTTTTGTCTATGTTTACAATGAATTAGAATACAAAATAATGTGTACGAGAAGGAAAGATATTCGTTATGGAGTCAGAACCAAAAACAATATTTGGCTTTTTTCTTTGCACTCTATCATATTTATTTTAATGTGACTATGGCAAAATCAGCACAATTTCCGCCATCGATCAATATTTGTTCCATTTGTATCTTTTCATCGATTGTTATTTACTTTCTATTTATTCTATTAACTAACGATGCATTGTGTTTTCTCTTATTTTGTTGTCTTACAAATGCATCCATCTCCTTATTTTCTCTTCTCTCCAATCCATATGTACATGCAGGAGCGTGATTATGCGAAAGAAAAAATAGTTGTGAGCGCTATAACACTCTATCTACTTCTCTCATTATAAAAGTCTTTATTTCGTAGTGTTGTTTTTGTACAATGTTTCAATAAGAAAGACATTGATGATTGGTTTTTTTTCTTCTTAAGATTGTGGCATATGAGAATAACAGAATGCAAAAATCATTTGCAGAACGATAAAAGTGAATTATAATGAGAGAGTGTTTCTATTTTTGATACACTTTTTTATTCAGCTAACAGTATTTCTATAATCAAACTCCATACTTTATATTTCATTTCATGCTTACATAAAATTCATTGATATGACGCATTACTCAAGTTTAATCTTCCTTATTGCTCAATTACTACTCGTTCAATCCAATAATTTTGATTCAAACGATTTTCATAAAAAAATGTTGATGAAGGGAAATCGGCGAACAATGTTAGATACAAATGATCATGTTTCTATTAAAGAAAGAAGAAGAGTGTTCTATCCACATACTTATCATCGTGGAGATTGGCGGACTGGAACTCAAGCAACAACTCCGAGAATTTTTAGAAATCGTTATCATGACTTCTCCGACTACGGTACTGTTGAATCGCAATTCATTCGACTTCTTCACGAAGAATATGATTTTGAACGAACATGGACTAAAAAGTATTGTGAGTACATTGGGGGTGACATTCGTTAAGTAGATTCTATCACACTGCAACTGAGTATCAATCGTTATTGATAATCAATAGTAGTGTTAATTAGAGTCCATCGGATTCAAAATTTGTGATCCAGTCGCAATTTACTAGGCGTTTCTCCGATCCGTATCTTAACAAGACTCTTATATTTCGAACAAATTTCTTTAATATTTGTATTTGATAGTCGCTTCTCAATTACGAACTTCTTTTCTTTTGCTTATATGTGTTGGTAAGTAGCACTTTCGATACATGTCTATTGCAACTTTGTAGATAATCTCATAAGACTAGGTCTAATACATCCAAAATGTTCGGATCAATGAAATATTTAATAGAATCCATGCCATCTATTATCATATATCTTGTATGATATTTCAGTTTGTTCACAACTGAATGGACAGTTAACTATTTTCTGAAATATGTTTTGAATTCACTATCAATAATAAACTAGACTTTTCCCAATGAGAAAATAAAATATCAATAATTTCTTTCTAAAAACGATAGACACCTTTTCATTCAACATATGGGGATGTCCTGCAATAGGTGTATTTTGTAAGTGGTATCAAATGTCAATAAATCGATGTCATCCTTCATTTAGATTTCATCTCCTATAAATATAAAATCTGGAAATTTCGTTATAATTGAATTTAAAAAATATCGTCTAATGTAATTGATACCTCTCTTTCAATGGATTCTTCGATTTAGACATTTTAATATTAAGTGTAATCTATAGGTGTTTGGAGGTATATAGTAGCCTGAGGACATCGTGTCGCTTTCGTTAGTAAAATAATCGAATGTTCTGTATATTTTTACATTTCTATTCATTATCATTTCTTTCTTTTCTAGTCGAAACTTCTTCTTCTACGACTGCTGGTACATATCGTAAATTAAATGGTAATGATATAGTCGGAATATTCTATTTAATGTTTCTTGTTTTTTTTTTGTTCCTTGTTTGCGTAAGACAAAGTGTAAAATCTATCTGTAAAAGTAACACTAAAGAGATTCACACAACAGTACAACCGAGAAGAAGACCATTCGATATACAGTATCGTAATTCACCACCTGTACAACCGCGAAGATCGATCATAGACACACTACAAAGAAGTTTATCAGTTTCAATAGAAATGCAACCATTACAAAATAATAATTCTAATGTTGAAAGAACAACAACTTCAGTTCAACAACAAACTTCAAATTTGCCACCAACATATGATAGCGTAGTAGAAGAAAGTGGAGCAATAATTATAATCCAGCAACTGTCTTTACTACCGCCAACCTACGAAGCTTTTACGCAAGGAAACAATGAAAGAGAGGAAACTGGTTCATAGTTTTTCTTTTTATGTCAGTATATTATCCCAAAATTTTCATTTATAAACGAACGGCTGAACTTGAGTGTAGATGTGAGTATCTATTCTACTGTTAAATCGATACCAATAGACTCGAGATATTTGTATAAATTAATTTTCTACAGTTTTTAGATGAAAAAGTATTTTCATCGTCATCTTTCGGGCAACGTCCGCCTCGTTTCTTAGACGCGGTATACATCTCTGGCATAAATCATTAACTAATAAACATTTACAGTTTTCTTTCTTATATTCATCATAAATTAACTAAATACACATCAATTATATTCACATATCATTTACACTCGACAAAATGAAATACCGTACATAGATAGATTATTTTATTAACCATGATTGATTTATCAAGTAAAAAATAAATAATTAGTTTGAGCATTTCATAATACTATAAATACTAAGAAATAATGAAGATTATATGCTGAGAAAGATTGATCGTCTGATAATATTAACGATCTATTTTGATTATCTATAGGATTATTAGATTAATATTTTTAATTGATCAATGACAGATAATGACTTTGAACATTATACTAGATTTGACTATAAATATCAATATTACCGTACAATTGATATAGTTCACTTACCATCTCTTTGATATCACACCTTGAATAATAGCATGAATATGATCATTCTTTGATAGATTAATCCATCGAGAACAAGTACTACAAAATTTTGCAAAAACAAAGCATGTTACATAGTGAAGATTCGAAATAATTGCAAATGTGTTAACATATACTTGCTACAGTAGTTATATATATTTTGTTAGATAGTATCATCATCATTTGTTTTATCTCGTCATATGTATATCTTCTTTCATTCTGTGATTACATACGTGTATTTCTCCCTTTCGTTCTTCTTTATGGATTTCTCCTTTTATATTGTCATGTGTGATAGGACTTTTTGTTATCTCGTTTTCTTTGTTCACCTGTTGGGATATTTCCTAGTGTTAGCCATTTACCGCTCTCTCTAACGCGCAGAATTTTCTACGAATAAAAAGAGAGAGGATTATCATCTTCACATTCATCATCCTCACAATATATTTAGAAAGAGCGTAAAATCCTGATTCTAACTGACTGTTTTTCATTGTCTCTACTGAAGTCTAGAGAGTAGGAAACTGAACAAACATTTTGTGTCAAGATTTTCGCGCCATAGGTTAATTGTTGTAATTTCTCACCATTGATATTCTTTTCTTTCAGATTCAATTCAATAATGTGTTATCGCTTAAGTAAAAATAATATTAAAACTTACTAAATACAAATGATAACTATCGATGGTCTTGTTAAGTCATATGCAAACATTTCGACAGAATAAAAGAATGGTTAAAGTATCAAAATTATCAAGAATAGAGTTAAAAGTTTCGACAAGAAGCGTCAACAATGATGATCTATGTATATTAGACATAATTAGTAATTTCTTATGAATTATGCAATAGATAAGAGTTATCTTGTCAATAAACTTAGTAGTAAACTAAAGAGCATTTGTAAAGAATCTAAAATTTTGCTGTTGTTGTTAACATATGAGTATTGATGCATATGTCTGTTAGGTGGTTTTTTTCACCAAATTTTTTTTTTTGTAAAACAAATATCAATCACATGGCTACACATTATAATAAATATATTTTTCGTTCTCTTTCTCCTCGAACTGTTCTCATGTACGACATCAAGAATAAGAAAAAAATAATTTATTAGGATCAGATAATTCAAGAAAAAATTAATAAAAAATCTTCATATTGAAGGGTGAGGCCGTTGTGAATGTAAATATGTTTTCTTCATGTGCACTTGCATTTATATTCTCCCAGATCCATATTATCGATGTCGGTTACTTATTGTTCATTATAATTTCTTTTACAGTCAAAGTTCAATAGACAAATTTACGCTGGAAGATGATAAAATTTAGCGAGTTTATTCAATAACGAATCAATTGTTGCTGACTGTATGCGTTGATCATGGAATAATGTTTTTAATTGTTTCATCAAAATCTCCAAACCAGTCATCTCTATTTCCAATATAGTTAATGCACTTTTAGACCTGTACTTTTGCATAAAGTCATCAATGTGATTAATCATTATAAAAACTCCATATCCGATTAAGATTAATCCACTGACAACTGAGATGATAGAACTTTTCACGTTAGATGGATTCACTTTTACCACTGTATGTCCTAATCTCACGGTAAGCACTCCTACAATAATACTAACAGCACATTTTGTAACTCCTATAGCAGTTGTTCTAACTTGATCGTAGAGAATAACTCCAGTCAGCGACGATATTGTACTCTTCATTCCATACACCTGGCTATTGTCAAAAAGTTCGACGATTTCGTTTATTGCTATCTCAGTTTTAACAGTGTTCGTAGAGATTTCGGCTTGTACACGGTCATAATTCTTGATGATATGAGCAAGTTCGATTAAACGATTCTCTTTTACAAGTGTTTCTATAGATTCTGCATGTTTTGTCCAATCTACTATTATAAGTGATAGATAGAACATGTTCCAAAGTGTTTTTTGAAAAACATCTACTTTGTCAACAGTTGCATTTACTTCGATTAGAAGTTCGTATGTTTGTAAAAGATTTCCTTTGTTTTTCGCATTTTCCTCAACGTGTTTGCAAGCTCGGCGCACCGTAGGTAATGACTTCTGGGTTAAGGAAATTCCGATTGACGCCTCTTCCTTTATATGCCGAAAGGTATTAATAATAGTGGATTTTAATTTATCCACAATTGCTTGAACAACTTGACCATGATAAACATTCAAACGCTTTAACAGTTCTTCTATTGAGTTAATTTGATCAGTGATCCTCGAGTGTATGTCATCTGTATCGGTATCCATTTTTTTCAGCATAGAGGTAGCATCAGGATACCAATGATGTCGACTATATGTGAAATAAGAAAATGCAGAAGAATTACACATAATTGTAATAGTAAATAACGTAAAGAAAATGATAATCCAAATAAGGACTCCCAAAATCAAATAGAATGTTGTAGGATTTGTAGTGATGTGTGATATAATAAATACACGTGCATTATTTGCAAATCGGCTGGCTCTGTGGTACATTGAATAAAATTCTATTGGCAGTGCATAGTAATTATATGCCGGTCGATTTTCATCAAAACTTGTGAAGAAGTTATTTACTTTCGTAACAAAATCAGAGATAAAAAATTTTAAGACTAATATCAAAGTTATTATGGTTACAAGTAGTAGCAATGCTAAGAATTTCATTCGAAACCACCCAAATGTTTCAATGTGGACATTATGATAAAATATGTAGCTATCGGATAGTAAAATTTTTACAGGAGATTTGACCGAATTAAATTTAGTAGAAAAAGATTTCAATAACTGTTCCCATTTATTAATAATGCCGATGGCACAAGAATAGTTCACTTGCCGCAAACAGCTGTAAACTAAATTACTGCTATCTAATCGACGAGTTAACATTTTTGAGAACGTGCGACACTCATTTAGTTGTTCTTCCATAAATAAATAATGCTTTTTAGCTATATTGACCATATCGCTTAATTTATGTTGCATTTTTGAATAATCTGGACATTGAATGTGCGAATATTTTAATAGAGTTTCGAAATCATTTGCAATAGGAAGTGTAGTTTGAGCTATATGTGTACAAAGAGAATTTATTTTGTTTTCAAAACGAGATATTCCTTCGTGAATCAACGAAACATCCTGATTGATGTCACTTGACACGGTTTCAAATGGAAAACTAATAACAATTATTCCAAGCAGGATGATAAAGAAAGTATTAGTGTTTGTGATTGTAGTTAAACGTGTCATATAATCGGATGAAGGTTGATGATCTATAAGCAAAAATGAAAAAAATCGAATAGAACGTAATTTACATATTAAATGCTGTCAAGTGTGGTTCCTCAGATTTGTCAAGATCTAACTCTGTCGATCAGGTTAAATTTAAATAATACAGAAATACAGAATAATCAGACATGTTAAATAGATTTACGAAATGATGTGAAACATATTAAAAATCATGGAAATCGAAGTGCAATAAATACAACTGCAGATTTCTTACCTTTACTACATGCATATTACACTAGAAAGAGAGTAAACAAAAAATCGACTGATTTACACAGATTCGCTGGTTTCTTCTTATTTTTCTCGTCGTTCTTTACATCAAATTCAAGGTAATAAAAATGATTACAAAGGAAAAAAATATGAAATACATGTACATATTCAACTAAAACGTAACAATAGCAACAAAAAATAACGAAAAATAAAAATCTTCATTGAGGAACGATTTTTAGATTCTAGTTATTTTATATTGTCAAAATGAAAGACGCTTATTATTATGCAATTAAAGGAAATTTATATAAATTAGAAGCATTAAAATTCAAGAATAGGCAGCGTCCTCTACCATGTTCTTAATAAAAAAATTGCGAAATATATGTATTATTGAAAAAAGCAATTCACTCTAAAGTATCTTTTGATACAGAAAAACATATCATATTGAGTTACAAAGTTGTTATATTTCCGAAATTTTAGTTGGTTACTGAGAAATAATTTTTTTACTCATCTATTGTGTGATTCATTATTTTGTACATCGATATAATACATACATTCATTCAATGCATAAACGTAAACATATTCAAAATACTACACAATATCCTCTTTTTGTTACATTAGTACTTATTTGATGGTATTTTTTTTTGTTCGAAAAAGACCAATCAAGAAAGAAAATCACAAAATCGATAGTACTCAATAATAAATGGTTAATTAAAGTTCATTTCTGATGTTATATTTTGACGTAAACAGACCATTTCAAATGAAAACTGCTAACATGATAAGCTTGATATATATGAGTGATTTCGCATGATAAGAAGGGATTTAATAAAGCTACAACTGTTTTCCAATAATCTGAAATTTTCTCATTATTTAAAAAAGGTAAGGGTGTTGGGTAAGCTGCTATCTTGCACAATCACACTCTCAAGATAATCTTAGAAGTAGA